ACGGTACTAGGCCTTGCGGCCTAATAATTTGGTTCAATAAAGTAGTTCCCTCACTCACTCACACCCGCGTCGTCCGATTAAAATATGACGCACTGATATTTAGTTACTCTCTCTGTGCCCGCTGTCTTGCCCGAACTCCAAGAGACGTGGAAATCTCAAAAAAGGTAGACGCTTAAATATGGTTGCAGGGCCCTATAGCCAGCCGGCAACGGCGAGGCGGCGCCAGCAGGGTGAGAGCCCACGGTTATACTCTGTCTCGTTGTAACTTGGCAAAGGGTGAACGATAAGCCCCACATTACGTGCCGAAGGCTTCAAAAAGTGCGACGTATACGAGCGCAATGCACACATATTGGAGCATGACGCAGCGAAAAGCCTGATACTTCTTCGGAGTTGAGGCGCGCTCCGGTGATACGCAGTCACGTTCCGATTGGCCCGCCAGGGCCGTAGCTTCAGCTGTACTGTCACGTTACGCGATTACGGCTTCCTGGGATACCCAGTATTTCTTGCTTCATACACTAGGCTAAGCGGCGCCACCAGAGTAAAAGCTCACGTTTGAACAATGCAGCCGCCACTCCCAGGGGTACCCAATATTTCTTGCTTCAGTCGCTAGATGGCGCCAAACCAAACAGCATTGCAGGTTGCCTATAGTTCGTCTGCTTCTTGCACAGGGGTTTCGATTATGTCAGAACGCCGAAGTCTTATTGGCTGAAAGAACGAAAAAAAAAATAGTGGGTTGACCTCAAGGCATCCAGCATTGAGGTCTACCCACTATTCTTTCAATCAAAGCCAATCAGAGCTCGGCGTCGTTCTGACGTCACCGCAACTCCTCCGCAAGCATCAGAAGACTTGCTCTCCGCATAGTTATGGCATAATCTTCGCGGTGGGAACACTGGCGTGATATCGGTAGGTTGTTTTTGCAACATTTCGGGGAGCGTTTGAGAGGGACCCAGATGCCAGGGTGCTACGCTTTCGGGCGTAACAACTGGTATGAGGCTGGAAATTAGCTTTTTCGTATCCTGGAGGGCAAAAAAAAACCGGGAACGACGACATTCATGGGTACCGCGGATCAGTAGAAAGGGTTTAGTAGGGTACGTTGTTGGGCTATATAAAATAGCGCAAAAAAAGACAAGGACAAGAAGTATATAGGATAAGCGCTTGTCCTGTATACTTCTTGTCCTTGTCTTTTTTGCGCAATTTTATATGTTTAACAGTAGAAAGGGCTTCACTCCCACCTCTTTTCTACGGCTGTGAGTGGTAAGTAATATTATTGCGAAAATTGATGTAACAGTGTAACCCTGAAACGGGAGAAAGACTACGATAAAGGAGAGGAAGGACAGGAGTACTCTTTCCTCTCCGACATCGTCGTCTTTCTCCCGACTCATGTTTAATCGTCACCAGATCGCTTGTGCCCTAACATTCTGCCTTCGCACACAAGCCACGAAGATGGTCTCCTTCCAGAAAAATGGAAAAGAAAATTAATATTGTTTTCATTTAAAAACTATGCGTGAATCGTCCCACGGTACAGACTCTTGCTAGCTCGCCGTGAAATAGTCCCGTCATATTATACTTATCATGTTTCCCAGGTGAGCGTAAGATAACCCATTGCTTGTTACGCATGTGTACCTCGGAAGTAAATCTGTGTTCTTTGGAGTCACTAGCGCTTTTCATGAGACTGCTCACTTGATTAGCGCGTCTTAGCTTAGAGCACGTGCAATTAAAGTTCGCACTGCAGAAGGGGATTTTGGGACCTGGGTTGAAACCCCGCCCCTTCCCGTTTCGATATGGTTGAGCATTCGAGGAGGCAGACGTTGCCTCCTTTTTTTGCTACCTTCTGTTGTGTCCTCTTTTCTGCCCCAGTCTCAGGTTTACGATCATGTTCAACTCACCAGCTCGCCTGCACTCCGAGTATTTTTTTGGTGAAGGGTAGTTTCACGGCGTCGTACACGCACATAAAACACTGCTCACTCTAAGATGTTCCAATTGGCTTGCTTCTTTCCACGCTGAAATGCTTCCAGCCACGTTTGGAGAGTGCACGAATCCCTCCTGGACCCCTCTGCCTTTTCGCTTTCGTTGTGGGTCGAAAAGGTCGAAAATAAAACAGCGAAAACATGTCCTAACCGGAAAAGGGCGACACGTCACGCCCGGACGCTCGCTGATTGGTTCAAGCGCGCGCGTCGAGGGAAAAATTGGGTTCCGAGGCGGTCGTCTCCTATTAACGGAAAACAAACAGCGCAAGGACAAGGACAGAGTAGAAGGCGGTAGACACACACAGCGCTGCGTCTCCCTGCGTCCTCCTCCTCGGCGCGCGTCTTTTTTCAATACCAAAATAAGCGAAAAATTTACCCCACAACGCGCGTCTTTCCGCTGTCTGAATGCGCCTTTGAAACTCCCAGTTCTGACTGTTCTGCTTCTGCATTCTGTTCTTTTACTATATGACCATATCTCCCGGGCTTCACAATACAGCTGTCCATGTAAGTTTTCTATTTCTGAAAACCTACGAAGGATGGGTCCAATGATGGGTCATTGTTTCACAAATTTTCATCCTACTGAATTTTTTTTTTTTTTAGGGGACTTAGTGTACACAAAAAGTGGCGCATCTGAGGGTTGAAAAAGAGAATGTAACGTGTTGTTTTTTACGCGTATGGAGAACATGAAGAATTGTCAATAAAAGGCTTAAAAATCCTTGTTTTTAGTCTTGGCTTGCTTGGCGGTTTTTTGGTGGGACCATCTGGCAACACTGGCGTCCGCTCAACTTATCTCAGGGAAATGGAAAAGAAATTAGAGCAGAGCAAGTTAGGTTTTGATGTGGGTTATATGGAAGGAGGGAGAAATGTAATACAGGTAATACCAGGACTGATGTATGCCGATGACATAGTACTTATGGCAGATAACCAGGATACGTTACAGGAACTAGCTAGAATATGTGGAGAGGAAGGGGACACTATAAGCATGCGTTTTAGTAGAGAAAAGTCTGGAGTAATGGTGTTTAACGACAAAAAGAGGGAACCCCTGAGGATACAGGACATTGAAATAGACCAAGTAGGAAAATACAAATATCTGGGAGTCTGGCTCAATGAGGGAGCGAAATATCTAGAGGAACATGAGGAGAATATAATTAGAAAAGGGAAAAGAAATTCATCAATTATGAAGCTCAAGGCGCTATGGAACTATAATAGATATGAAGTGGTCAGAGGTATATGGAAAGGAGTGATGGTGCTAGGGCTGTCTTTTGGCAATGCAGTGCTGTGCATGAAATCAGAGGTTCAATCAGGATTAGAAATTCGACAAAGAAGCGTAGGCAGGCTGGCACTGGGAGCACATGGAAAAACACCAAATGAGGGAGTACAGGGGGACATGGGATGGTCGTCTTTTGAGAGCAGGGAGGCAGTTAGTAAGTTGAAATTTGAACAAAGGTTGACCGAAATGGATGATACGCGGTGGGCACGGAAAGTATTCAAATATTTGTACATGAAAAGTTTAAACACAAAATGGACAAACCGAACCCGAAAGCTTACATTTAAATACCTACACACTGGTGATGGGGCTGAACAGACTACTTCAGTGAAAAAAGGGGTGAAAGAGGCAGAGAGGAAAATGTGGGAAGAAAGAATGCAGGATAAATCAGCTCTAACAATGTACAGGTCACGAAAGCAGGACATAAGAAAGGAAAATGTGTTTGACAACTCAATAGGAAGTTCTTTGCTGTTCGAGGCGAGAACGGGGGCTTTGAGGACGAGGACGTATAGGGCTAAATTTCAGGAGATAGACACATTATGTGCTGCTTGCCATAATGAGAGTGAGACACTTGAGCACTTGGTATTAAAGTGCACGGGGCTTCGTCCTGCACTCCCTGAACGGGTAACAGATCTGGCCGGGGCCCTGGGGTTTGCTGGCGACGATGGAGGGACGGAGGAGAAGAGGATTGCAGTCACAAAGAGGCGATTAGAAGATTGGTGGAAATTATCTAGGGAAAATTGAATGATGCAGAACTAACTAGCACAGCTGGGGACAGGCGGGACAGAGGAAAATTGGGACTCCCTCCCGCGTGGCTCCGGCCCAAAGTCTCAACCCTGTCTCTCAGTGGGTCCGGTGCGGGGGTAACGCCGACAAGGTCTAACCAGAGGAAAATTGGCGACTCCCTCGCCGGGGGGAAGAGGCGGGGGGTGATGTTTTTAGTTTTTTTGCCCGATCCCCCAAAGGTCATCCTGGTGATATCCCACACTACCTGGTGATAGTTAGGGGGTAGAAAATTGGCTTAGAAGGGCGCGGGAAATCAAACCAAATGTTTGTCTTTCTTAGACTTAGGCTAGGTGGCGCAAGCTACCACCCGCTACAAAGGGTATAGCCAGTAACATTCTGAGTAACATCAGAGCCGTAAATGTAGAGAGTTTGGAATGAGGAGGCGCCATTGGCCGAAAGCGGGCTGGGCGTGTTCCAGGGCGTCTTCAGAAATTCGAATGTGACCAACCAGAAGCCGAAAATAATACCCTGGCGGTGGTCGCGAGAAACAAACCTGATAACTGCATTGGAGTAACTCTCAATGGCTGAAAATATGGTACACGTGATGTTTCAATCACGTTAATCCTTCAAAATGAAGGTGGAAGAGTGCGACTAGCGGAACGATCGACATGATCCGTACGCCAAGCGCCCAGGGCCGGGAATCTGCCGTCCGAACGTCCCTGCAAAACAGAGTTGCGCGGTGCATTCCTTTCTTACATCTTTCTGCATGATCATGATCAAAACAACAAGTGCACCCTATTTTCAACCAAGAAGAGTTACTACACTTCACTCTTACGCGTTTATTAAAACCATATACGAACATAGACTTTTGATCAGAACTGTTTGCCGCTACCACCGCTAGGGGATTCTTTTCGGCTTCTGGTTGGCCAAGAGCGCATGCCAAGCCCTCTTTCCGACTCTGCCGCACGCCCTGACTCTGCCCGCACCTCCCATTGACCAAACTCTCTCAATACACGGCTCTGAGTAACATCCATCCATCCATCAAGTGACCAAGTCAAGCCAAGCCCAGTCAGATCATCCCAGCTTCCGTCGGCAATTTCTAGTTTGTAGGTGCCTTCAAATTTCTCTAAGATTATGGAAGACGGTACCAATGATTCACTCGACCCGGGCAGTGGTGGTGCGTCCGACTTGATTGATCAAGCCGCTTCGAACAATTTGATGGACGGCGGAATGTGTTTGGCTTCAAACCTCAACTCCCTGATCAGGAGTCAAGTGGTAAGCGAGCTTTCAATCGCCGATGTAGCCACTCTCAGGATGATGACGGCAGGGAGGTTTTTCAGTTGTCCCGCCTCTAGCGCGAGCTTTTTCAATACCACTTGGGCGTCTCGCAAGCCTCGAGCGTGCACGCGCAGTCAACGTGAAAGCGACGCCGTTTTTATCCTGTCAGTGACTGTCATTTACGTTTGTTTCCTCAGAGAACCGTTCAAGTGGCGAACCACAGGACCGACATCGCAGTCATGGATTTCGCGGACAAGTTGTTCCTGGTGGTGTCGCAGTACGAGAAGATGGGCACTCTGGTAACGAGCCACTTTCAAAGACCCCCGAAGATTTTGGGTTCTTTGCTCGAGCGTCAACCCGTTTACGCAGGTTCTCATAACCAAAGACAGTGCCCCGAACACCGAACCTCAGGAGCCGGTTTACACGACCAGGGTGCTCTTTGGGAAAGATGAGGTAAGGGCCTACTGGATCCTACTCTACATGGCTCGCACTGAAGGGGGATCGGTGGCCGAGTGTGTTTGCGCACCGCGACTCTGAGCGTGTGGAGCGAAAGCTTGCGCTGCAGAACTCAAGATCCTGGGTCGAATCCCCGCCGCTGCCCATTTCGATCAGGAGGAGCGTCGTACTGGCACGTGGCCGTGTATCGCTGCTGCGTGGTGCACATTAAAGACCCCTGGCTAGCGGTCGTGTTGAAATGACTAAATTTCTCATTTACCGGGGCGACACCAGACGCTCATTGGGCCTGAATAACTTCCCTTTGTCTAAACCATGGTCTAGGATGAGCGTGTACATAGGTGTGGCCACAAAGCACGGTGAACAATGTAGTGCGATCGTCCAGATAAGGTTCTGTTGGCATGCATCCGAGCAACCACTGCAGACAGCATCTCCAGACGATGCAACTGAAGGGAAAACAAGCAAATAGTGTCTCATCGTCATAGCTCCCAGGTGCATGTGCTTTTCACTTGATGGACCTGCTCCGAACTTGACGGGCGCTGGCCTGAACATTGCACCGGTGATCTCTCTGCTTCAACACATTCATAAAACTGTTCTTGCCGTTGTTGAGGCACAAAGCTGTGTCTAATGGTGAATTCCACTCGCAGATTTGGAGCTCTCCAAAAGCGCCCCTTTTGGAGCCCGCATATTCCTCGCAGATTCCGCTCCGCTCAAGCTGGTTATCTTCCGCTTGTAGATTTGTGACAGTGCAACCTCCGTGGAGCACTTCCGACCACGCCGCAACTGCCCCCTCAACTTTGGGAGATCTCCCCGGAAGTTGACAGCAGCGCATCAGTGCGCATGCGCGTCGCAGGCAGAGCATGTTCGGTCGGCCAGTCGTTTACAGGGGTGGCGACGGGCAGTGCGTGCAGCGTGTGCATTGTGTCTCGTACGCTGCTACCTTGCATGGTTCAGGGGGTGAAGAGGCAGGACTGGAGCATGGCAAGTCGCAAGTGCCGACATCTGCAATCCCGAGAGTAAGAGCAAGAAAGAGAATGAGAGAAAATCTGAAGAAGGAAGCAGGTTCAAGGTTAGGCGTGTTCATTTTGCTGCAACTGGTTGTTTACCTTTATACCCTGCATGGCGCTTGTGTCTTGCATAATAAAGCAAGAAAAGAATAGGCAGTGACCGTGCAAGGGGTGGTTTGCTACCTACGTGTCTTTATTAATGTCTTACCAGCGATCTGAGCTCTGCCGTTGGCAATCACTGTGTGCCGTGCCGGGGAGGCGAACGCGGACCTATTCTTCTCCGTTTGTGACATGGACTATGTCAGTTCGGCGCTCGACCTCTGTCGGGTATCTGCTGCTGGACAGCAGATACCCAACACAGGGTACTGATTAGTGGTCGGAGATTTCATTCCGCCCGTCAGGCTTAAGCAACTTCAAGCAGCAGCCATTTTGAACCACAGGCCGTCTTTGGCAAGTCGCTCCAGAAACGCGACTCCATCTTCCGCATGTCGATTTGGAGCATGTGCCACGAAGCGGTTTTTCCCCTCCCGTGCAGATTTTTGAGACCGATCTGGATCTACCAGTGGAATTCACCATAAGCAATACGCATAGCGCAGGTGCTAACTTCAACAGCGTGTCCCCCAAAAACATTTACAGGATAAAAGGCTAAGAGCGTGAACAACGGGGACAATTTAGAAGCGCAGTTTTCATTCGTTGTAAAATTTTAAAACAAAGTAAAATTATATTTTTTGTTTTTACTAATAGTGGAGACACATTCAGCCCAGGCCACACGTGCAATAAAGAAACAAAACAAAAAATACAGTACAAGATCAAAAATTGGAAAAAGAATCGGTTAAGAGGTTAATTTACAGATAGCACCAAAAACTATGGTATGATCCATTGGCAGAAATACTGGTTCGAGAGTGGATAGATTTGGTACCCTCCCTCTTTGCCTTCTGGGCGAGCAGAGAGGGAAGATGGTTTCTTTGCATCAACTTGGGGTCTGAAGAGAACCCACCATGGGGACAAAAGCAAAGTTTGGGGAGCTGTATCTAAAACAGCGGTTCAATGGGCACAAGGGATATAGCCGACGTTTCGGGTGTTGAACGGGTCGAAGAGGGCTTCCGCGCTTGTTTTCTAGCCACTTAGTCTTGAACCCGGTCGCGTGTCTAGGTGGCAGCACGTATTTGGAAAAACATAGATTGTCAAGTGCGAAGCTTCATGATACATGGTGTTATACGAACATGCACAGAGCATCATTTATTTTCAAACGCTGCCCGCACTGAAGTATCCACAAGGCTTGCTTTGGGAACCACACCTCTTATTTTGTTTCCTTCTCTCACCGGTACCGGGCACATTTGCCAAGTGTTTGGGTCACAGGCATGTTCTCTGGAATTTTGGAGAATCTCATGCAGTGATCTGATCTCTGCGCCATTTGCGCTAAAGTGTGCACCCTGCTACATGTCGCCAAAATGTGAGGAATTTGTGCCAACATTGGACCAAAACTTAATTTCACTTTACTGGTAGTCGAGATGTAATGGCTTGGGCCTCGCTACACGGCCGGATTGTCGCAGTAGGTTTCTGTGAATTTTCAGACATTTTGGTTAATGCCTCGAATGACATATTATTGGATTTGATTTGTCTTTCAAGTCTCTTAACATTTCTCACGTTCGTGGTTTGTTTTGGCAGGTTAGAAAGCTTTGATGAGTGAACTCACCATGCACTAGTGTATTGCAGTGAAGCAACAACCATAATTTGGCATCACGACTTTATGCATCTTGCTTTGCCACAGCGCATTGGTGTATGAAAAGGAAAGCACTCCTGCAAAACGATACGTTACATACAAAAGCAACAAATATATTGGAAAAATAAAATGAAAGAAAAAAAAGGTGAATGTTGATGGGACAACTTTACATTGCAGTAAAAGATTCCAAATAAAACTGCAGCTAATGGATATGTGACTATGATGTCCGCACAATATATCTTGCAAATGCAAAAATTTAGCTAGGATATCTGGGTATTGTGGGAAGATCTGGATGGAGTGGCCTATTGGTTAATTTTTTATGTCAACTCTAGTTTGTAGCTATCACCTCTGTGTAGGTTGGATCTGTTCGTGGCACAGTCAGTCAAGTAAATTAAAACTAAATTAGCTGGAACAGCAGATGGGAGCTCGGGAACAACAACTTTAACTAGGTCGGCTGAATTGTTTTTAAGAAGACGTATTTAGCGTTCAGATACCAATTTCTGTCATGTACTTTGACAAGTAAACTAGTGTTGATGTTTTTTATTAAATAACGAAAAAGCTGTCTTTTTATTTAAAGCAAGAATTGCAGTTTTATTTCAAGTTTCAGAACTTGAATGGATGCTGTTTGGTTTGCCAAAATAACCATTCGCAGCATTTTGTACGTCCTCCATGAGTCAGCATCCTGTCGCTGCACCTGGTGCTTATACGTGGAACTAAACAGCTAGTTGTGTGTTTGATGAAATCAAACTTGTGCAGTTGATGCTAACAAAAGCTTGCATGGAAGTGACAAGTCAAAGTAGACATTGTCTTTCAGTTCGGCAGACCATTACATAAATTCTATCATCATATTCACACTGGTATAAATGAAAATTAAGCGTGCGCTTTGTCCCAAAAGTTATTTTTACTGCCCCAAAATGGACATTTGGCTGTTCCAAAAGGTGCTCCAAAATGACCGATCGACTGCATCACTTCCCATGGCTGTGTCCCGTTTTCATCAACTCGGGACTATAAATGTTTTTTTTTGTCCCACGCAGGATCTGTTGAAAAAATAAACCCCGAAAATGCAAAACCTTAGTCATCATTACCTATAGTTTGTTTCATTTCATGTGCGAGCGAAGCCGAAGCTACAAGCAGGAGCATGCATCCTTGCAAGAAATGCCGAAAGCCTGGAGCTTTCTCTTGTAGCTTCTGCTACGCTTGCGCTTACTTGCCGTTGAAGCTATCGCGTCTGCTTCCAACCCCAGGCCGAGGTGCACGCTGCCGCGAGGCATCTCGCCACCACTGTCGACTCTCCAAAGACCATCTTGCTGGGCCTGGCCCTGAAGGACTTCTCACCCAACACCGTCCGGCTCCTGGCAAAGGCTCTGCTCAACCAGGTCACCTTGCTTGGCAGAAGTCCGAGCTGAACGACTTACCATTTCCGTGCATGCCGTTCTATCATCATCATCGTCACCATGCAGAGCGCCACCGCTGGTTTTCAGTGAATAAAGCGAGTTGATTTTGCCAGCTCTAATTTCCTGTCCACTCATTCTGAAGTTTAATTTTGGTGAATTACTGTCGTCTTGTGCGGAGAAATGTTTTTTGCCTCTAGATATCGGTTCCCTCCTTAGTGTGCGTCAAGGTAAGTAAATGCGCGCTATAAATACTCTAAGCGACTTATTTTTCGCGGGCTCAATATTTCGCGATTTAGGTCAAAGCTGAAGTTTTAGAATTATTTGCGGGTTCTAATTTTCACAACACGGTGGGATCTCATTATAGATTCGAATCTGTTTACATTTTACTGGAATGGTTAGCGGGACCATTTTTCGTGAATTATAGGCGATTTGCGAAGTTCACGAAAATGAGGTCCTCGCAAAAATTAAGTTGTTTACAGTAGGTCAGGAGATGTCTGCTTAAAGAAAGGATGCAACAATTTTCCAACTGACCAATTACTTGTCGGAATTGGTCTGTCACCTATAGAACGAAGAACGCGAAAACTTTTTTTTCTTGCAAGCGCTAGTTTGTCTTCTCAGTGAGGTGTGCAGCGAAGTCACTCGGAGGACCATGATGGTTTTATCTTGGGGGCGCACAGGCCTCCCTCCACGACTGTCAACTTTTCAAAGTCCGATTCGGCTACGATGAGGCACTGCATCCACTTCGCATCATTGGAGGTTGAGCGATCGAGACACAAGACGGTTCAACGTGGGATAGATGGAAAGGGCAGTGGCCAAGAGGAAACGGTTTGTTGGTTTTTGATACACGGCACCACAAAAACTTGAGCACTCGCGACAATTGAGTTTCGCGAATTCTAAAGGCTTGAATTTGCCTGTCTAGAAAATAGAAATATTCATGCCCTCTAAAGTTCGCGAATTTTCTGAGTCATGAAATTCGCAAAAGTTATGGGCTCACAAGCAGGGGTTTTACAGTATGTGTACCAAATATATTCAAAGTTGTGGGTCATCTAAGGCACACATTCAATATTAAAAATAGAAAAGAATATGAACCCCACTTTTGTGGCCTTTAAAAAAACTGCAAATACAATGATCGATTGAAAAAAGAAAAAAAAAGTTGCGCAGATTACAGGAAGCACAGTACATGAATGCGTCATCCTCAACAGGGCGACGTACTGCGGGCTGGATGACGTGATGGCGGCTCACGACAGACCAACATTGCGACAGATGTGGGGCCACTTCTACGGAACTGTCGTTTGTGGTACCAGCCAATCTATCTTCAAGCGTAGAACATCGAGCGGAAGGAGTATAAGTGCGAAACAATCTCATGACCAACGATACGTGCAACTTCGTCGTCATCCCTGTTTCACACGCCAAAGCGGAGGAGAAAAAAATCTGGTCGGGTGTAGCCACGCAATTTCCGGCCATGAGCTTTCGTTCTCGTGTTTCGGTTTCAAGCAGTTGAGTTTTTTGGCTTCATTAAAAATAAGTGTGACTCAGTAGCAAAATACTGATTGGCTAGTCTCTAAACACCATATAAAATCTTCTTGCAAAAAAATTTAAAACAAGTTTTAGGAGGTGTCAGTGTTCCTTTAAAAAATGTATGCAAAGGAAAAAAAAATTTGAAACAGTCTCGATAGGAAAAGGATGTAAAAAAAATGAACTTGCAACTCTCGTCCCCAGCCACCTGGCAGGCATATCCCGTATGGGCGACAAAAAAATAAAGCATTTCAACCTGCAAATACTAGTAAAAAAATAAAGGGGAGACAAAACGAAAGTGGGTGACAGTCAGGCTTATATCCTATATGTACATATACATATATAGAATACATAGAATACATATATCCTATATGTATTCTATTGGCATGGCAATGTCAGAAAAATGTTTTTGCCCATACTGCAGGTGACGAAATTTCAAGATGGCGGCGCACCGCCATCGTCAGTTTCTGACCAGCGTACAGGCCTATCACGTAGTGCTTGCGCTCTTTCGGGAGCTTCTTATGAGCTCTAGAAGTTATTTATTGTTTTTTTTTTTTGTTCCATTTAAAACGAAGATTAATAAACAAGTTTTAGAGCTCATAGGAAGCTCCCAAAAGCACCACATGACTACAGTGGCCAGTCACGTGACTTCAATGGCAGCTTTTCCACAGGCTCCCACGGGTGCCAACTACAAATTTATTTCATGCCATAAACATAGCTCTAAAAAATTTTTTCCGTTGTAAATTTATTGTATGACATTTTTTTTCATCCAGGCTGTTTAAATTTTTTTTTTTCCTTTACAAGTTTTTTTAAAGATGTTCCCAGATTCAGATGGTCTCAGCACACCTAAAATCATAAGCCTCATCTCAATCGTCGAATTTTGGGGCTTCTGACACTTCCAAATAATATTTGTTTGCACGCACTAGATGATGGTGTTGGAATGCCACACCAAATATTTTTTCACGGCAGAGTCGTGTACAGTCACATCTCGATAATGTGGAAACCACAGTTACATAGAAAAATTGCCCACAATTACAAATTAAGCTATTTTCTTTTTTTTTTTCTCTCTTTTGCCGAACACAAGGTTTTGTTTATTGTTGCTGCACGTGTGACATGACCCTAAAGGCTGGTTCACACATCTGCGTCGGTTGCATTCACATGCAACCGAAACCACTGTAACGACAAAGTCACCAAAACAAGAGTTTGCCGTACGCAGCGTGGCAAGCGATGCAAGGGGTAGCTTCGCAAAGCAGTCCAGGAGTCACTGTTGTTGCGCTGTTTTGGTCATCTCGGTTGCGAACGCAACCGTTGCAAAAGTGTGAACTGGCCTTTACTGCATTGTAAATGACAAAGAAAGCGCCCTGGCATGGTGCCTGGAATGTGTCTTTGACTGGTGTGTCTAGCTTCCCATGTATTGAAAGTGGTCCTGAAAGCGGACCACAAAAGCTGGTATGTCATGCTGTCGGATGTCGCAATCCTTGGGGTTGGTCATAGCAAGCTTCTGTAGATTCTCAACCTCCAGCAGAAAAGGCGTCTGGCATACGCGCCACGATTGTAACAAGCAACATGACACGGGTGCAATGCCATCAGGTGGAAATGAAGGGACCACGAATGGGGATATGGTAACCACACCGGTCGAAGACGACCGCAGTTCCGGCTTGCCCCTTATGCACAAGGGCTGCATGTTGCCGGTGATGTTCTTCGGGGTTGCCGTCCCTCACCACGAGCACGAATGAGAAGGGTACGACAGGCGACCCACTTGGCCCAAGAGCACGCCAGAATTGAACCACTGTTCGGTGCCCAGGTCTTACCTCTTTCTCAAGAATGGCCAGAAAGAATGTATGACAGGAAAGCTCCGCGACTGAAGGGCTCCGCTAATATTTTTGTTTTCGCGCTTGGGGACTTCAGCTGACTCGCGTCCACGATTCTGCCGTAGCAGAGTCCAAACTTGTGGTTGCCAAAGCTTTCGTATACTGTCAAACTCCAGAACAATGCCCGCCCGTGGTGAAGAGATAAATGGGGAATATCGGGTGGCTGATCTCTGGGGACGAGGTGGCAAAAGTTAGTTGAAAATTAGCGATAAACACGCAAGAACCTACTGGGAACTCCTTTGACGCACGTACAGGCGCCGCACATCTTGCAATTGATAAGCTTGCCGTGGGACATTGTGGGATATTCGAAAAGAAATGGGGTTAGCCGAAGTTTTAAGGTTTTTAACCTATGGATATTTAGCCATAAAATGGGATGGGCGATCTATCGGGAGAGGGCATTCATACGTCATTTTACAATTCAGAAGAAGAGGCGTCTGCTGCATCCACGTCTGCTGCCGCGCCACTGCCAGGGCCGTGGAAGTCGACAGCATGGCACGAGCAAAACGTCGTTGAGTGAAAATCAAGGGACCACCAACAAGGATGTGGAAAACACGTCGGTCCGAGATGCGGTTCAGGTCCCGTAGCTTGAAACCTTATGGGCCGTGTTTTCATAAAAATTGAGGCACGCAAAGTGCCTCGTCAGAGGGTGCAGCCTTTGGTGAACTCGAAATGACTGAATACGGACTGCAAGACATGCAATGTGCACAACTTGTTGCTCAGCACAAAGCATACAACACTCTGGCATCGGAGAACTTGAGCAAAGGAATAACAAACTGACAGGCGAGCAATGCACGAGAAATCACTTCACTTCGATAACACTGCAATGACACTCAAGAAGTCTCTCTGATCACTGCATGATTCTTACACTTTGGTGCACAATGCATCTCACCCTACAGAACAGCAAATTTAGGGGAGACGGGTTTATGCTACACACATGAAACTTCTAGGAGTGCTTCTCCAGTGGCAGGCTCAGCAAAAGTGTTGGGCGTGCACAACGGGTCCGGCAAATCACTGAAGAATGTGCTGTTTGTTTTACATTTCGAAAATGCCACCACTGTTTAACAATAGGTCGCGTCGGCTGCCGGACATTTGTTACACGTAATGCAAGCATAAAATCGACGCGTTCCAATATCTGAATGAAATTGCATCGTCGAGCCTCGGTGTCCGACCCCTACTGCTTAGATGAAGATTCAACCGTTTCAGAATGAGAAAACCTGCGGAGCAACGCTGGCATTCATACTCTCAAAGCTTAGACTCCACGTTGCAAGTTGCATGCGGTGCTACGAACGGCACAAGCACTAAGCGTTGCAAACTGTCCTGTTCGCACGCACGCAAGCGTAGCATCTTGTAAAGCACATGTGCGCTCCTCTTACCTCATGCTGCACTTAAGAGGTGGAGCACACAACAGAGAGCAATGTCCTTGGAGACTGTATGAGAGCACACACCAACTACAGCCAAAAGTTCCAACCTCGTTTACGACGTCAGACGCCAGCACAAACCCGTCTCCCCTGTGCACACCGACCAGACAAAATCTCAAGCGCTCTCAACGTTCACAACCTAAACAACAATGTGACGGTGTCAGGTCTAGAGATGTCACGAACCTGCCAAAGTTCAACCTTTTCAAACTTTTCAATGCAAAGTTTGACCAATGCTCGACTATTAGGGCTTGCAAAATACAAGCTGATGCCACCTGGCTGCCAACTCAATCATTAAAAGTTTATATGTTTGCTTTTATCCTGTGCAAACATTGGTGATTGTTTTTAATATTTAAAATGAACTCAAGTATGAATTTTCGTTTTTACAAAAATTTTAGCTTTTGTGTACAGCCTGTCCCCCTCCCCTCCCCCTCCCCTCCCTCCCTCCCCCCCCCCCCCCCCCCGAAAAAAAAATTTTAGATTTGTTTTGGATGCATCGCCGAATGCTGTTTCCACCCAAACATAGTGCCAGTAGTCCGGTTCAGATGCCAAAGTTCCAGAACTAACCGTTACCTTATTCAAAATTTACTAGTGATTTTCTAAAACTCTCAATAGGAAAATCGGGCTTGATCTCGGTAGTTTGCGCCATTCAGCCCCGCGCATTCGTGAACTTTGTGGACCATTATTTTACCGTTTAAATTTCCGAAAATTGCTTTTATCTTTCGAATAGAGATAACGACTGGTTCTGAAACTTTGGCACCTGGTTCAAGCCGCTAGCGCTACATCTGAGCGGAACCTGAGCGTTCGACAATGTTCATTTTCGTGATAAAAAAAACAACAAAAAATGTGTGTGTGTGGCTGTGCATAGCAGGGGGGTGGGGCATCTTTGTACAAGTCGAACACTGCTCAAAAGTCGAACTTCCTCGAACTGTGCCAAAAGTTCAAAGCCTCATCAAATCCATCAAATCTCCAGGTTAGACAAAAGTTTGCGGCACCCCAGTCAGGTCTGCAAAGTAGTTGTCCGAGCAAGAATGGAATGTCACGGCAGACTCTGGCATCCCTCATCCTCGTCATCCCTAATGAGTATCAAGAACATTTGCTCCGAAATAGAAAAAAAAAAAAAACACCCTTTCTTTTTTTTTTAATTGAAAGCAAAAATGGGCACTTCTCAAGAACATACGCTACACGAAACATGCATTTACCAAAACAAAAATACAAAATGACTAACACAGCCATGTATAACAGGGATATAGTATATAATAAGTGTCATTTATGTAATATATATATTAGACTTTGGTGGCTCTCTACCTTTCGAGCATTCTGCTACATGTACGGCGTGAAGACGGACAATGTATTGTACTGTAATACGCTAAATTAACCTATTTGCCAAAAAAGAATAAATAAATGAGCAAAGTGGCAGAGTAAAGTACTTAAAGTGAGCGATACCAGAGATTTCTCCCAAAAGCCCACGATTGAAAGTGTGATGGTAACCAAAGCCCAATCGCTGTGAATTAGCAGTAGAACAGACAGACTAAGTTTGATCAGGTTACTGCCCTTTCTATTACATCATTTCCACTTCTAAAAAATCTTTACAAACAACAGTAAAAGCACTACGTATTCACATGTCCAATCACATCTTGTCTTTGTAACAGTTGTGCCTCCAAACTTCGAACTGAAGTAACTCAGTAAGGGAGTGAATATGTGATAAACGGCTGCAACAACAGTTAATTTCAAAAGGTACTTTGGGACGGAGTAAAATGGCATTCATACACTAAAATCGCTCGTTTCCCAATAACACAATCTTACACACTCAACATCTGTCATCGCCACTGCATCTGCGCTTAGGGATGTTCACATAGATCTTTAATCGGCAAATACCGCTGAAATAGCCTTAAAGCCAGTTAGGCTCACGCACATCTATGCACAAATGGTAGCCCCTTGCACTTTGCCGTGCATTTCCGGAACGCTCTCATCAAAGCCCTAACTATGGTATGTCCGAATTTTACATATTAAACAGGTACCATAACACCACATGAATGCAAATGGCCACACGCTCGCGACACATGCTACCCCACAGTGTTTGCACGTAGGCCTGTAGTTTTAAAAGGTGCAAGATAGGCAAGTGAGGAGATTTCTGCCGCTCCTAAGGCAATGCTGAATCTACACAAAGAGATGTACTCTCGCGGGCAACATGACCGAAACATTCCGTGCTTCTTTGTCATACCTGCCGGTTTTTGAGAGCTGTGGTCCAAACGAGGACTGGAATGCCAAGTTCAGGTCCCATACTTCGGATAATTTGACAAATTGGAAAGTAACAGATTTTGTAAGGATCGTGGACGAAGGGAAAGGCTGGATCGAGTGTTTCAGCTCGCAATGTTTGCAAGGGTACAGAGTCTTCTCGAGCGCCGTTCTGTCGTAAAACAAAGTTGCATAAATAAAGCCAGTGGGCGAAATGCAATTATAATTTTCACACAGGCGTCTTTAGGTTGTGCATTTATCGTACTAAACTTTTGCGAGTGTAGGTTTCTGAAAAAAAATCTTAAAACCAAAAGTGTGTTATTCCTATATATCGAGAAATACCACAAAAAAACACAAAGACGAAGAGAAGTGGAGGATGGGACAAGCGCTGACTGACGATTGAAAGTTTATTGAAGAAACACAACACCAGAGAAAATTGGAACCAAACTGCCTGGTTGGCACTGCAGCTCACAAAATTTGAGCACGATAAATGGACCGCCTAAAGACAGCTTTGTGAAAATCTTCATTTCCTTCCATTCACTGTCTCCCTTATGCAAGTCTCTTCGACGACTGAATGGTGCTCTAGAACACCCGTAGAAGAGGTTTGCTGAATGGAAGCTTCTCCTCACTAGGTGCGTCGTTTCAGAACTCTGTGTATGTCCCGTTTAACTTTTCCACGTGTGCTCGGTGCATCCAGCCTACTGCATCTCGGGCCACGAGTCATTTGCTTTCATAGCCGACGTCAATCGCATGTTCCGGACTACCTTAAGACCTCTTGGAGTAGCACTGTCACACAGGCAAATCTCCTGTCCTTCTCAGCAAGCACACACTGCCCTAAACATCACTTATGCAAAGTCGAGAGGCAACTTTTAGTCACATTCGCCGGAAAATGCACTTGCCATCAATTGACTTTAGCGAACTCATTTCACCAGACCCAGCAGACCGGCAGCAACGTCCGAAGACCAGAAACAAAATATAGTAGGAAACAACAACAGCCGCATAAAACTAACCTTATTAGAGAAGTGTTGTCAGACACGCGCCTCTTTTACATCAACAAAAAGTAACATTTTTCAGGAAGCAAACAGTTACGCTTGGTTCCTGCCTACCACATAGCTTGCAATGTGCGACGATGTTGGTAGCGGTTTGGGTTAGATATGTTTTTTTTTCTTGTCTCAGCCCGTGGTGCTTGATGATAGACAGCAAACTACAGTTAAGCTCGTCAATTAATGCAACAATGTCTCGAAGAGTGAATTTATCGAGGACACAAAACTATCATCGAGACATTTATGTATATACTTCTGTATCTTATGCATCTATTATTACTTAACTCGTCGTCGCAATCATCATTTCCGAACTAGGAGGCGCAAGCCACTAACCTCCATCCATCTACACTTTTTTTTGTCAGGTAGCATTGCATGCTTTAAAATGAAATTCGAAGACGTACAGTGCACTCGCTGAAAATTATGCCAAATTCGCCTGTGTGTGACAGAGATGTTAAGTTCCTAAACTTCCTTACGACTAAGATTTTTGCCGAAGAGAGAATTTCTTATCATTCTGTTGCCGACGGCGAAAGGTAACAAAATCGAGAGACGGGCAAGAGCGGAGTTGTTAGGAAGGGTGCCTCTTCGAACCAGCAGATAAGAGCATGGAAGACTGTGGAGCAGCGATAGCCCACCAGGGGCACAAAAGGTGGAAACACAATTTCTCGGGAGACGCGTGCATCCGACGAGAGACATTTCTGGCCCATGAACCGCTAGAAAAACTTTTAAATAGTTTAACAACACTAAAATGCACGATACTAGTGTTCCAGAAACTGCCTCTAATATTTTATAACCTCCCTTTCCCCCATAGTCACTCGCTTTCAAATGTCCTGCGTGGCATTTAGTGCTGAGCACCTTGAGCCACACCACGTCGAGAGGCACTAGAAAATTGGACGCATTAAATGAAAGAGTGGAACCGCGTTTTGCCAACAAGTTTCACCTCCCGCATCCCCCACTTGCCCGTCTCGCACGTTTGTTTTCGCGACAGTTAAGTACTGGAACAGGTATTGCAAGAAGAATAAGTGCCTCAAAGATGGGCCAAAAAACAAGACGGCACGAAGCGCTTATTGTTTTCTGTTCCTATCTTTGAGGCGCTGATCCTTCTTTTGATGCACCAACAAGCCCAATTACCCATTTTGCTACAGGCATCGCGTCTGTCTCGCGCGCAAAACAAAAACACAAACCAACTTGTGGCCTCGGAATGATGTTCGTAAACAATGCGACTGTACAACAACAATGTTCCTTCTTTTTCGTCTGTCTGTCAATAAAAAAAACAAAGTACCGAGTGTTTTCAAGAACAAATAACTGAGGTTTCCGGCCCATGTATACAAACTGCCCGTCGCAGGAAGCCGAAAATCTGCGAGAATGGGGACACTGGTGGTTGAGATAAAATGCCAAATTTTGAGAACACCACATCACCCGGACAGAAACATAAAAGAGAAAGACCACATTTTTCTACGTGCCAAGGCACACCTAAGCCTAATATAGTGGGAACAAGAACCGACACTGTCGATGCACGTGGCATTTATATCGGTGAAAAACACTCGGAAGCCAGAAAGAGAAAACTGTTCTCGTTCGAGCAGTAAATTCTAAAGGCACCCACAATGCCTTTTCGACGATATTACGCTTAGGTGGACGTCAAGTTGTAGAAAAATTTGGCCTTTCTCTTTTACATTATGATCTGTGGGTAATGTTGCGTTGTCAAACTTACACGTTCCATTCTCACGGAGTTCAGCTTCCTGTGACGCAAAATTTACTTACGCGGGCCAAAAAACACTTTTCTTTCTTTCTCTCAAAGACACCGGCCATTTTTGTTGTTTGAGTAAACGTGCCATCTCGGCAGACGACGACGACGACGGAGCCACCGGACATCCCCAAAATGCCAACACTTGCGAGTCTGGAGACGCCAACGGCAAACAAACATGAAATGAGCGCCTCGTGCTCAGCTGCAATTGAGACGCTTGTCTCGCGTATGCTTCGGGTAAACGTTTTAAGGCCTCCGCTACAACTCCATAAAACGTAACAACCTCCCCGACGGGAGAGATCAGCAGGAAGGTCTTTCGGTCGCTCAACTTCCGGCACAAACTTCCGACCTAGGGTAACAGTCCGGCGTCGGCTTCGAGCATACGCAGCCAAAGCACCGAGACAGACGACGAGCACGCACTGGAGGTCGGGCAACCGAAAGAGACACCCCAAAATTCTCATCCTGTCAGAGACATTAAAAAAAAATTACCCCAGTTAAAAAGAAATGGGAGTTACGGTGCACTTCGAATTACCAAGAGTCGACAGCATACGCCAAGGTAAGCCAAACGGCAATGGGGGAAAAACGTCTGCCACGCCCCGGTAACAAAGTTTTGGGATATGAAGCAGTTCAAATCACTGTGCTTGCCAATACAAAAAGAAATGCGTTTAGAGCGCAAGTGAAAAAGACTACCCTCGAAGGCCATAAACGCAGATTTTGTAATGCTGCACTCGTTCGTGGCTAAAAAAATATGCACTTATAGCCCGCTGCAAGTTTAGAAGTGCGGGACAAGCCCCTCCCACGAAGACCTCTGGCTGCCACGATTGGTAGTTTCCTCCTCTCCAGCAGTTGCCCCGCTAAAGTGGAAAGAGCAGAAGGCTTTCTGGGAGGAGCTTGTTCCGCTATTCTTAACCTGCAACAGTCTATAAGTGGCTTGCAACTTTGGGATAAATAAAAACATTTTTTGAATCACTCCCTTTTACGGTTGCATGTGCGGACTATTCCGACATAAGAGGCCCACCGACGTCTTCGTAGACTGGGGGTTTCCGAAACCGTCTGTCCTACGGCCAACGTCGACACTACCCGACACAATTGACCGGTGAGCCCCGTTTCCATCCGCAGCCGACACCGTCAAGTGCCGCACTCCAAGAACATCCAGTGACTCCAGACGACGCGACGACCCACTAGTCGTGAGCGACGCACCGAGAAGAGCAAATTGCCGTCCCGGGAAGATAAAAAAAATTAGGGTAAAACGAAGAACTTCTGGGTACACGAAGATGCCAAGACGTCCTCAAGAATGCGTGACGCCTTTCCTCGCGATCAGCATATTGAGGACGGGATGCTTCTTGATGTACTCGACAGCCTTCTTGTGGGTGACCATGGTGAAATCGTACCCATTCACCTGAAAGACGGTCATCCTCGATCTCGCACTCCATTTCGCCGTCATCAACAAAACAATGTACAGTTGCAATCTATATGAAGGTGGGCGTGGATTGTCGGCTGCTCCGTACTGGTAGCGTCGCGAAGCGACAGTCGTGGCAGCGTGTGCTTTGAAAACAAAGCGTGACAAGGTGCAAGCTGAGGTAGAAGCTGTCAGGGCCGACGCTGCCAATATGGAGCGCCCGGCAATCGCGTGCTCACCTTCATATTGCCACATGCATGGCCGACAGGAAACGCCTCTCCCTACTTCTAGAAGATTTGTGTTTACTCTAACCCCGGGTGTAATAGATAAAGAGGCCAGCATAACCTTGCCAAGTCAGTCTCGCAAGAGCCAACTGTCACGCTGACATCTCGACGCTCGCTGCTGCCACCTTCAACACTCGCTACTGTCTTCTTGATGCTCATTGCTTCTTTTGTTTCTAACGCAAGTTCGCAGATTAAATCTTTATTTTCAGTTTTACGCTCGTCAAACTTATTCCATCCGCGACAACGTAAATCCCAACTGCACTCATCACCATGATTCGCGGATGACGCCGAAGCTTGGCAGCCCAGTGTCGTAACAACCCCTGTGCAAGGAGAAGACAGTCTTGAACTAGCTTCCAAGTATACCCACTATCATCCTCAAACTGGAGTGCGGCGCTACAATGCCCCGGCTTTGCGTCTACCCACTATACCTTTCCAAACAGGGTTTGGCTCTATGACGTTGGTACACACTGTGCAAGAAGCAGACGAACTTGCTCGCCGTATCGACCCCCCATGTCACACTCAATTCTGTGGAGACATGCACCTGTTTATCCAGTGCTTACTTCAAGTGTGGTGCCCTGCACACATCTCTAATTGATGGGTCTAGGAAGTTTCCTGTTTTCATCGTTGTACCTATACCTCACAATGGAGCAAGCCACACATGGCTTGCATTGACGTCGCATCGGTACCTCTTCCAGTGGCCTTATTGATGCAACAAACCTGGTTTCCTCGGCCAGAAGCAGGAATGACCACCAGCACGGAGCGACAACGTCATGTGCAAGCCATGTATAGGAAGCAGCCTCACCTTGCACCTACAGCTTGTTCAGAATTTTTAGCAAAGAAGTATATGTAACCAGAAGAACCTTCTTTAGTTTAGCAGTGCAAGACTTTTTTTTGTTAAAGTTCCGAAGTTTCATACGGCTTTAGATAAGAGCCTTAAAAAGGTAGGGAAACGAAATTCCGGCGCTCATTTTTAGCTTGAATGTGTTGCATGTTGCACCCTAACCTCAAAAACACCAGCCTTCCATCCAAAGGCACAAGAAAACTAATTTTAAAGCTAAACAAAACAATCTTTCAATGTGCACCTGGTGGATGCATGCGGAGCCTATTTGGGAGGTAATCTAGCAACGTTGGGGAACTTGCTACGTAGTCGTGACGTAGCAGATTCCTTCAGAGCAGCGCCACTCTTTGGAATTTCAACATTTTCCTTCTTAACTTTCTTCCTCAACTCACAAACCGCGCATTGTACCTAATGGTTCAAGAAGACGGAAAGGAAGGACTCCCCTCTTTCTCGGACCCTTGTTCATGCAACAGGACACAGCCATTCTCCTCCTAAAAGATTAGCCCGTCGCACAAAACTCGAACAAAGGTTGCTTTCCCCACCCCGTTCAGCCCTAAGCTGACAGTGTTGAGGAAGCTACATGCTCCTTGGGCCAGCCACACGCTCGTCACCCCACGGGTACTCCGAATGGCTCGGTTGTAACGCGCTGACGCTATTGACACCACCACAACGCTGACAACGCTACCAAGGACCAAGGGCAAAGCTCATAACCATGCCAGCCTTGCTACGTCACGAATGCGGGGAATCTTTTTTCTGTTTTTGTTTGCGCCGGATATCCCATGACGCATCGCACTCTCCGTTCGCTTCTCTTCAAGTGCCTGCTCGAATGCACCGTTTGGAACGAAAAATATAGCTAGCCATTCAAGATACAAACGTGCAATTATCATTTACGGTTATTATCCGTCATGCTTGACTCATTTCCGAACGAAATTTGAATATTTAAATTTTTGTTTCCGTACTCCTTTAAGGCCCGGCCATTCACACACTTGCATCTGCTTGCCACCGAGTTCTTGTGATCTCTTACGACGAGACAACACGCTGGTTTTCTGGCGCCATCTATAAAGTGACCTTGGAACTGCATTTAACAAGAGCGAAGGTTTTTCACCGAGATCAAATGCAAATACCATCTATGAAAAACAGTAATTTATAACATCGTCAAAAGTGTTTTGAGTCAAGCAGGAAAGAATGACGAGAGAAAAAATATATCTAAATGTCGAGTGTTCCACTTGACAAATGGCGCCATCTCTCGTCGTAAGAAATCCTAAGGTTTCAAGGCACTCGGTCATAAGCGGCAGCAGGTGTGTGCCTTCAGCTCGCAGAGAGGCACTTTTCAACGGTCTCTGCTCACCTGTAATATTTTGTCGTGAACCTTGAGGCCACACCGCGCGGCCGGACTGCTCTCGTAGACTTCGGTCACGTAGATGCCCTGGAAAATTACGAAGAATGGTCACCGGTAATGCGTCCCTTGCCCAAGCTCATACATCCGTCAACTCACATTGTCAGTATACCCCTGCGGGCTCCGCGTAAAGTCCTGGTCGATCCCGCCTCCAATCTTGAAGCCGCACTTCATCACTTCTCTTCCCTCTGGATCAATGCCAACTTCTTTGGCTAGCTTGATCGGAATCTGCAATTCACGGAGGAGGAAAAAAAAATTAAATTTTCTTTATAATTTTGATTAACACGGTAAGTGTGGAATGTGTCGTGCATGCATCCGTTACGCTTGGTTACAAAATGCTTCGAGCAGTTTCAGATTTAGCTTTGCTGAGTACCCGCGACGTCGCGAGATTACGTGGGGAGCTACGCTTCGTCATTCGGAAGCCAGTGGCGTGCACAGACAGTCCACTACCCCAGGCTTTCTCGAGTCAGCTGCTTGCGGTCCCGTCTGCTAACTCCTCGTGGAGGATCCCCCGATCCGGGATTCGACTCTCGCTGCACCGCCTGGTGAATCTCGCTAATTATGATTTAAAGTACGATTAATTATGGCCGAGTATGCCTCTATGCATGCTTTGTATGTTTATGCATTATCTGCTATGGGCTATGTATGCTTTACGTTGCCTGGGCCCGTGCGTAACGGCTTTCTATTACTTCTACTTGAGCATAACACTTCTCTCGTGAAATCCAGTGAATAGACACATTGTGCGTTAAAATGTGAACGCTCGAGGTTGAGGAAAACCAACTTCACCGCAACTGTCAAACGAGACCCTACATCGCAGCCGTGTGATCGAGCTACCAGATTATTATTTCGAGTTCCTCTACGGTTTCCGACTGTGTTAGGTGTATTCAAGACGCATTTTAATAAAAATATGTGCCCTAAAAAAAAGAATATATTGTGCACTTTGGGTGTGTGTGCGTTGCTAGGCGAGCAAGGAGCGAGTCTAAACAACGAAGAGGCTACAGATCTATAAATCGAGTTCTTTAGTCAATGGAAGCACTCGTGGAAATAGGAGTACGAGGAGCTACGTACACTTAGACACTGCATCGCTGTTCCGGGTTGATGTTGGAAAGCCATTTCACGGTCAATCGGGGCCGCCGAACCTCCTCCGCTGCTACTTCTCCGTTCGACAACACCGGAAGTAACCGAGATAACCACGCCTAGCGGAGCAGTAAAGAAAGTAAACGCAGTCTCATGCGCTATTAAAACCTGTTATGATCGAAAGCGTACAAGTATAAAAGTTCGAACCACAAAAACACCGAGCGGTATTACCAGTAAAATTCTGTAGGCTCTTTATTATCTTTTTTTTACTCGCAAACCGAAAGTAAAACAAAGTATTTTGGCCAAGCCGTAGACAACGAGTCAACCGAAGGGATCGCGGGATTGTGCGTTTCGCTTCCCAGAATCCGGCTCCCGATCTTCTCTGCGACCAGCAAGTTTAAATCCTACGTTCCTGTCAAACTTTGCGGTCAAGGCGAGTAATCATAATCTCTGTTTTGCCTTTTTTTTTTTTTTTGCAGCATTTTGCTGGTTGAAATGTTGGCGTCTATCCAACGCATGCAACCCGCGGATCTCTCTTCGTAGCTCGCCAGACCCGCCACCCAGGATCGTCTTGAATGACCAGAAACACTGCACGACTCATCTGCTTGTTGGCGTGTGGCGCGGCTCTGCTGATTTTGCAGTCCTTCGTGCTTCAGTACCTCTTCAGACAGGTGAGCGATGTAACGCACGAACGAAAACACTGGATTCGCTAGGCCCTCGGTTTCGGTTTAGGCAGGTGTTCTAAACAAGAAAAATCCAGGCAAGCTGGTTACGTACAACCACGCAACTGCAATACTTAGAAAAAACGGGAAGAAAATGTGCTACAGAAGGGAAAAGAGAATGCAGCACTTAGGAAGCATAGGGGTATGGAAAGGAGTCATGGTGCCGGGATTCTCTCTTGGCATTGCGGTTGCATATTCCGGCATTGAGGTATGTGTAGCGGGTACAGTGAGCCTTTATGGCATGGGCAATAGCCTTTTCACTGTCACCCGGGTTTTCGAAACTGAATAAAGCATTATTATCTGAGGACCAGTCGAGCAGAGACCCTACAGAGGAGCGTGGGCAGACTGGCACTGGGGCGCATGGGAATACACCAAATGAGGGAGTGCAGGGAGACATGGGCTGGACATCTACCGAAGCTAGAGAGGCTATCAGTAAGTTAAAATTTGAACAAAGACTGGACACAATTGAGGATACACGATGGGCGAGAAAAGTATATAAGCATCTGTACATAAAAAGTTTGAACACATGAATGGACAAACCGAACCCGAAAAACTAAAATTAAACTACCATCCGTCAAGTGTGGATGCAGAACAGACCACCTTCGTGGTCTGTTCTGCAGAGTTGGGAGGAAACAATGGAGGGAAAATCAGCTTTAACTATGCAGGGGGGACGAAAACAGGAAATAAGAAAGGATCATTGGTATGATATAATTCACGGGAAAGCTCATTGTTATTCGAGGCTAGAACAGGAGTATTGAGGACTAGGATAGGACAAAGTATGAGGAAATGGATATGTGGTATGCCGTGTGCCAAAGGGAGGACAAGTCCATAAGCATGTGGTGTTGAGGTGCACAGGGCTTGCACTTGCACCCCCCGGAGGGATTTGGCCGAAGCGCTGGGGTGTGCAGACGAGAATGGAAGAATGGATATGATAAGTACATTTTAATAACAAAGACGAGATTGCAATGCTGGTGGGAATTATCTAGGGAGGATTGAATGACATACAACTAGGCTAGGTGGTGCAAGCTGCCGCCCGATATACGGTACAGCCGTTAGCATCCATTCATCCATCCATCCATAGCTTCCCAGGCAAAAATTTTCAACTGGGACCAATTGGTCCCAGTTGCAACTGGTTTATGGAACAATTCTCAGTTGCAGCTGGTCCCAGTTGGAGCTGTCCAACTGGTCCCAGTTGGAGTTGGTCCCAGTTACCGCTGGTACCAACTTCAGCAACAATGAAACACGGCACAAAATGGAAGGTTGATAAGACTTTATTGTCAAAAACTTGAAGAATGAAACTAAATAATAGATTCGGTGATGTACACGCTCCGAGTTTAGCCACTTGCTTGCGACGGTTGAATCGCTTTTTCAGAAGTAGTATTCGTGAGATGAAGGAAGATCAGCCGCAGGCGTCTGTTAGTGAAGACGTCCTCAGCTTCTCTCCCCATCGCATAAAGAAAGGTGCTCACCCGTGATCCCGCGTTGCGCAGGTGAAGTCCTGATAGGATGCGGTAGCGCTCCCACCTTGCAATCTCTGTCACAACAGTCGTACATTTTCGAGGTAGAGCTCCCGCCATTTTTGCCATTGTGCTCTCCGCGGCGTTTTCTTCCGTCCGGTCTTTCCTGGGTGCCCTCCGATCGCTGAACTGCATCTTTCCATCCCCGAAGTTCACTGCCGTCACCATGGTGTGTGTGCAGTTAGGTCCAAAGAAGCGCAGCTGTAGTTTTGACATTTTCATAACGACGCCAACTTCGGCGATGGCGACCCTTCTCTACCGCGTCCGTCCGACTCCGGCGTCACGCGGCGTCAGCATAGGCAGCGCTATCTGTCGACAGCGCGTACCATTAATCCGCACCTGCGTGCCACAGTGGCTGGCTAGCTCTGATTGGCCAAAAGATAAATTTATTTATTAAAAGTAAAAAGAAAACAAATACTGTAGGTGTTTAAATAAATGTTTTAATATATTTTAATGATGCACTAAATGTTCATTTAGGTGAACACATTTTGTCACTAATTATATTTTCTAATTAAAAAAAATATTCTATTAATTAAAACTTTTATATTATTTTTATAAATATAGAAATGTACCCAGTAATTAAAAATTTCCCTATTTGTATAAATTTAAAAATGTAAGTGTTTTTAGTTTTCTTAATTAGCAAAGGTCAATGCAACCCCAACTTGTCAAAATTGTTGCCCCGTGTGAACTGGGAACGGGAAAGGCATTTGAAGTCCGACTGGGAATCGCTCCAACCAGTTACGTTCCTAACTGGTCTCAGTTCACTCCATTCCCAAGTGGGAGTCAAACCAGTTGAATCCCAACTGGGAATGGTTCAAACCAGTTGACCCCTCAGCTGGTCCCTGTTGGACTCCTATTGGTCCCAGTTGATTCCCAGTTGGGACCAGTTAGTCCCAGTTGAAACCAGTTGAGGTGCCAACCGGTCCCAGTTAGAAATTTTTGCCATTGCTGGGTACTGGCGGTCATTTCTACTTACTGGTTTCTTTAAACTACAACCTCTGCGTGTGAAACTAACATGGCAAACCAAACGCTCGCCGCGCATAAAATACTGGCATGGCTGCAAATGACGTCACATGCAACCTATGCTTCTTGCGCAGGGGTTGCTGTGACGTCAAAATGATGCCGAGCTCTTATTGGCTGACTGAAAAAAATAGTGGCTAGATCTGAATGCTAGAGGCTTTAAGGCCTACCCACTATTTTTTTCTTTCAGCCAATAAGAGCTTGGCATCATTCTGACATCACCGCAACTTCTGCGCAAGAAGCGGACGACTTGCTCTCGACATGGTGACCGCCTCCTTTGTCTCCTTTTTTTTTATGGGGGGGGCATTTGGTCCGGAAGGATTGGCGGCGACTTTGGAAGTTTTGCCGACTGTCAAAAGCCGTGACTCTGATAGCATTATATGCTTTACCCACAATTAATGTAATTTTACGTGGATTTCTCAGATTAGCTAAAATGTTTTAATTGATTTTAAACTATTTTTATTTTATAATTTGTTAATTAAATATGCTGCAATTGGCACCTGTGACATCAATTTGCAGACATTTTGGATTGCCATACTTGTTTGTGCATTTGAAATTAGATCATAGGCTACAAATTATATTAGAGCTTGAAAAACTATGTAATCTCTTAATTGTATTGTATTATTATTGTGTATTCTTATTATATTAATTGTATTATTATTCGTAATGCAAATTGGGGCAATCTATACCTTGAATAAACGCCACTATCACAAAAATATGCCGTTTAACCAAATAGTCTTTCCAGAATGGTCTCATTTTGTTTTCTTAGCATATGAAAAACTCTGACATCTTTATCAAGATCGACAAACAGTCAAACACTCGATCTAATATAAAGTCCTATGCGTCGTGCGTTGCTTTAAAAAACACGCACACTTCCATTGTCTGACTCGGATTCCAACTTTGGGTTTTCATATTGAGAACAGCCTTTTTTAATTTATATGTTTCGTAACATATAAACTCATCTCTGTGTCAATATTTGTTAAAATTTGAATTGATTCTCTTATTCTTGTACTGAGAATAATGTTAAAGCAATTAATCCTCTAAATACCCCAAAATGCATTAAAAGGCCCGCAGTTCATTATTTCACGTGACAATTATCTGAGCAAGAGAAGGCAGCAAGAAAACACAAATATCAGCACTGAGTTTTTCAAGAAATACAATGATCTATGTTTCCTGTGAGGTGTATGTAATACCCTGTCTTACTGAACTCCAAATATTTTAAAGTGTCTGGATCGGACACTGATGTCACAAAATAAAGTTTCTGCTAATAATTTCTCTTGCTCAATAATTACGCTGTGGGACACATCTTGAGTTATGGAAGAATCCAAACTTAACACCAATACCGATCAATTGAGTCAAAATAGAGTAATGCGGATTCTTGGGCAAGTTGGTACTGAAACTTGGAGAACATAATAGCGCTTCACGACAGGGACGAAGGGTAGGAACGAGACAACACAATGCGCTCAAAATAGAGGTTCGTTTTGTGTTCGTTCCAGAATTAAAACATGCCTCCTAGCGTAAATATAACGCTAAACATTGTTTTTGTTTTAGGGATAAAGAGGTCACATGCGCTAATAACATGCTAGCTTCCTCGTTAAGCGGGAATATTTTTGTGTCACTCAGTGAAGCCAGCCCACTAGACAGGCTCAGCAACTGGTTTACTGGCACGCATCTCGGACAAGTGGCACCACCTATACTGAACTGGAATCGCGAATAGGGCCTCGAGGCTCGAATCATTAAACGTGAAAGGAAGTTTGCCTTTCAATATAAGCTTGGCTTCTGTTTTGTGTGATGATCTGTGTGGTGATCGAACAGGAATTTGTTCATCATGATTGCAACGTGTGATGGTGCCCCGAGTCTTGATGCTTTTTTTTTTTTTTTTTTTCAAATTGTTTCAGCAAGAAAAAGAGCCTGTTCAACACATTAGTCCGATATGGGTGTGTACTTACCTTTACTTACATTTTTTTCCATGCTTTCTTTCACACGCTGTGTGTGGTCTTAAATGTATTACAGTGGTTTAAAGGGGGTAGTGTAACGAACGAAACCGGAGAAGCGGCACCGCGTTAGAAGATGGCCGCGGGTGGCGCTGGCGCTTGCAGCACCGTCGTTCTGGCTATGGCTCCGTCTTGGCCGCTTGTTCAGCTTGGCTCCGGCCGATTTGCAGCTGTCGACTACACTGTCGTCTGCTAGTTTCACATTTTTATTTACCTTCAAACACAAATAATGTTGTCTGAAGTTCACTGGAAACAAATAATTGGTTTTGAGGTATTTATATTAGTTATCAAGCGTGTTAGGGTGCCTCTATCTGCGGTTGATTGAGGCACCCAACGGAGCTGCGGATCGAAGCGCCGCCTACACCGTCTTCCAAGGAGCGGGCGTTCCCGATGCATGGTGGAGGCTACGCGATAACTACACTACCCCCTTTAAGCCACTGTAAATGTATCTCTCCTTTTCTCTCTCGCTCTTTCTCTATACTGGGTTTTCAGCAGCCATTCCCAAAACAATTTGTGGGAAAACTATGCATCAACACAATAACGATCATTGCAGTAGTAATTGCTGCTGAGGAGCCAATTTACTGAGGCACAAATTGTTTCCAATAATTACCTTCCCAACTAAATTTGTCTAAACTATTTTTTTATTTTTAACAATAAACCTAGGGTTCGAATTATAAACTTGCTGAGTGTCATTGATCACCACAAAATCGGTCCATTTTAAAAAGGCTTAGGTTGCCATCGAAAGCATGGTGGTGTTGAAAAGCGCTTGTCACAAGGTTTGGTGAGTCTCAGCACGATCGGAGTGAATAAAATGGTGCAAAAAATATAACAAGGACAAGAAGAAGACATACACTGTCCTTTTTATTTATTTTTACTCTTATTTGTTTTGATCAGCACCGTGTTGGTGCCTGTCTTCAGCTTGCATTCTTTTTGTCGCTTTTTGTTTATACAGCTTGTCCTATACATTTGATAAGGTGAGGCTCGTAAAATGATTAGAAAATAAAAATGGCTCAATCAGTACCGCCTCAATGGGCACAGCCGATTTAAAGCCAATTCGATAAAAATTAATTGGATCCTTGGATCAAATGGAAATTCCACAGTAAAACTAATTTGGGGAGGGAGGAAAAAAAAGGGGGACTGGCCAAAGGAACAGTTTGGGAAAACCAGCGGAAAAAAGAGCACTTCAGTGCTGGACCCGTCTTCGACCCCGCTACTGGGTCATGAATGTGCACCACAGCGGATCCGACTGTCACTGCATGGCACTTAGTTTGATGCCCCTCAGCTCCCACGCAGAGAGCGCCCCAATGCGAGGGCCCCTCCCACCTTGGGAAGACTGGAGGACGCTACTCTTTATGTCAGCCTCCCCCTAAGCTTGTCCTACAGGAACCAAAATGCAGATGATAAGAAACGGAAAAACCGCGCGGGTGCATCGAAGTTGGATGCATCTTCAAGACCCAGAAAACCAAAACCGACATAGAAATCTTTCAAAATTTGACTGATATAGTGTTTTCCGACGATGTCCAGTAAGTTTCTAATCGGAAATATATAGTACATAATTTTACTTACTAAAAACCAGTATTGTAGGCGTTAGCAAAAAAAAAAAGTAACGATATACGTTATTCGTTACTCGCAAACTAAAGTAATGCGTTACCGACCTACGTCTCCTCAAAATAAAAGGGACGTGTTATGACGTCCAGGACGATGTCAAGAACGACGCCTAGAGGGCAACGTCTAGGACGATCTCTAGGATGATGCCAAGGATGGCGTCGTCCTTGAGCATACGATTGAGTGGCGCTTGCTAACATCAGGCCAGTGCATGCTCACATCCCCCCCCTCCCAATTCGCCACCAGCAGATCGAATGGCTCCTTAGCGACGATGACGCCGTTGCTATGGAGCCACATGACGCGTTGCAGCCAATGGGAATTTAAGGTTTGTTTCGCTGCTACAGATTACGCCGGCTTCACTCCATGGGACAGTTAATGCTTTCGTATAAAAAAATATTGCATTACCGGTATTGACATTACTTGTAACGCATTACCGCCAACACTGCTAAAATCCCCGGTAAATGGGGCCCCTGGTGGTGACATCTACGGTGCAATCTTCTGTGAAAGTATTTATGGGGAAAGCTTGACTGATGTTTGGTGAAGCACCTTTTTTTTGTAGAGGTAATATTTTATGCTCTTTTATTACATGTGTCATCTTACTAAAACTTGAACATACACCTCTTGTACCTGTCTGTAAGAAAGGCTTTTCTCTTAAAGCACTGCACTGCCACACAAGGGCATCACTCGCAACTCTGCCACTATCGGTGTCTGGTCACTAAGGAGCTGAGATTCCACCGGAATGTAGTGCTAGTGGCTCTAATTAGATGACGGAGCTCTAGCCCAGAGGTGCGCAAAGGGGGGTTGCAACCTCCCGGGGGGTCGTGAGGTGACGTCTGGGGTTCACTGGGTTTTAAGAAAGCCAAGGCGCTGACATCTTTGATACTGCTTTAGGGGTGGGGTCGCCGGACGGCGTTCGAGCATTTTAGGGGTCACGAGCCTGGAAAGTTTGCGCAACTCTGCTCTAGACGATTATCTCGTTTGCAAGATAGATGCAACTGTATCCAAATTCTAAACAAAAAGTGTATTTCAGTGGAGCGCGCAGGTTTATGAAGACAAACAGTGTGTGCTGCCGAGTGTGGGTGCCATTTTCTTGTTGGAAGTTTCTGGCATTGTATTGCCAGATAGGGTTGAGTTCTGAAGCAGTGGCATCTTTTTATGTGTCGTTATTCCTGGGCAGTGTGTGAGCTGTCTATGTGCTACATAGTTCATCTATACAAGAAAAACTCAGTGTGTTTCTGTGGCCCATACTGCGCAAAGTCAGTTGTATTATAAATAGGATTTCATGTTTTCGGAGTTTATTTTTTGTCAAATTCAATAAGTGTTTGTCGGAGTCTTTTTTTTTTTTTTTTTTGACAAAAATCTTGAGTTTATTTGAGTTCTTTTTTTTTTTATTTTTAGAAATTTGAAGCTCAATTTAGTGTTTTCGATTTAAAAAACAATACAAATAAATAAGATTCGGGTGTAAATGTGTGTGAGACTCAAAAGAATGCGCTTGTATCAATTAATATTTGTTCAGCTGGATTCTGCATTGGCGACATTGCCATTGGCAAAACTGATTTGTCCCCTGACAGCAGTTGCAAATGGGTGTTGCTTTGATAAACGTTGGTAGCTTCAAATCAAGAGACTCCTGGAGGCAGTCGCCGGGAAGCTAGTATTCATCCCATCCTATCCATCAACCTACTGCACGGCTGCGTGGAGTGGAATGGTAAAGGCTGTAATATAGAAGCTTCAGCTGTCCATTCCCTTTTTCCCCTTCTGTGAAAAAAATCTCTCTGGTTCATAGCTTTCACTGTTACAAAAACACAATCCTTTCTCTAAGAAGCAAAAATAGCATGGCCTAGACTGGAAACCGGAACAGTGGCTTTTGTCGTGATGAGAAAGTACAATGACCTGTTTTCCTGGAGGAACTTTGACAAGATAGGCGGTACGATCCCTTCTGTCAATGGTCCGAGATTTGAAAGAAAACTGGGGTGGCATTTTCTCGGGACCATTTACCCTCTACGCTGACCAATCTCAATTGTAAGATACTCTCTTCTTTTCTTTTTTTTTTTTTTTTTTGGCATTGGTACATTGAAATTTTGAGTTTATTGGAGAATTTTGAAATTATAAAAACTCTGATGGTGGATTTTTTTTTTTTTTTTTTTTTTTCGGATTTATCCGAAAACATGGAACCCTAATTATAGAATTTGTCTGCGTGGGCATGGGTGCATATTATGCAATAATTGAACTGGTGTACTGGAACACATTAATTCCAGCGGTAGAGGTCAAAGGTAAATGCCGGAACTTTCTGAACCCACACCATAAGCACAATTTTTTTGTTGAACAAGAAGATCTTCTTACTTTGTGTTGCAAGTAAAGGCCTGTTCACACTCTTGCAACCGGGTAAGACCGAGAGAGACCAGACCGGTTTTTAAGCCTCTTGCGATTTCTTAGGACCAGCTCCGCTGCAGCGCATCCGGTCCTAAGATGTCACAAGGAACTTAAAAACCAGTCAGGTCTCTCTCATTCTTACTCGGTCGCAAGAGTGTGAACGGCGCTTAAGGCTTTGACAGCCACGTTCAGTTTAGGGCCACTGAATAGCTTCAGAGTAAGAGCACTTCAGCCATCTTGTTGCTTAAAATCGTTGTTGCCAGTTGTCTCAAGCTTTATCTGCAATTGCAGAAAATTCCCTTTTATCCTCCAGAAACATTCAAACGCTCTGCAAAAAAACGGAGCTCTATGGCCCGAGCTTTCGTAGCCAAAGCTCAGGAAGTCTCATTTCCGAATCATTAACTATCGCCAATTCCAAACGCTCTGCACTAGCAATAAAATGGCGCCGCCCACGAGGCAACCTAGGGAATGAAGCGTCGGTACTCTGAAACGTGGGCTATTTAGCAGCCTTAGTTCCGTTTACCGAAGCCCCAAACACAAGAGCAGCAAAAACTTATGTCGCGCTGCAGTTGCCATAGCAACTACCGCTGCAAACGCCGTGACATGGACTTATGCGGTGCCACCACGTCGCGGCGTCCGCGGTGGTTGCTATGGAAACCTGTGTTGCGTTTCACCCGTTTTCGACAACGAAGCGTCGACCGACCTGTGGCGCGATATTTGTTGCCCTCCGCCCTCAACGTGATTCGCGGTGATTTTGTTCGACGATTCTGCCTTCAGGAAGTGATCAAGGACGTGACCGGCGCCGCGGAGCAGTCCGGCTTTCCACTCTTCGTCTTGGACCAGAATGCCCTGCAGTGCTTTGCAGAGAAGCCGTCTTTGGCTGACAGGTCCGGCTGTTCGTCTGCCTTGCGCGAGCAGACAGTCGTCCAGTTCGGTTCCCTGGGACAATTTGCGAGCCAGAAGGTGCGCCCCTTTTATTGTTTTACGGCGACGGCTATTATAAGTGACGAGACATTCTGGCAGTGGTGCACTATTGCGGTTTCTGTTCTGCCATCGCAGCCAGATTTTGCCTCGTCGTGATGTCACGAGTTGCAATCTTGGCCGCTTATCATCGGTTGCTATGACAAGTTTGATGGTGTGTGTAAACAGCGCAACAAAAGCTAGGAGTTGTCGCGTTTTTAAACTGGCACCATCGAAGTCGGCACTGTGACAATGTTCTTATGCTTATTCTTTGGCCAACCGTGGAAAGCCAACCACGGCGACGCTTTTCGTTGCGCATGTTGCCGATTGGGACCTTTCGGCTGCACTGACAACATAGGCGTTGCGCCAATCAGGGAAAGCAATTTTACGTGCGCTCACGCGTGCACTGCCCCATGGCACCAGGGGAGTGTGCGCACTTGGCTCTTCCAGGAAGCAGTGTCCTTTACCTCTTTTATGGTTGATGGAGAATGGCACTGCACATTCCTCACGATAGAACTCGATTTGCGTGTGCTATTGGATGTAAAGCAGCCCACTCGTAACAATGCTCGATTTGATTTAGTGTTAGGCAGGGTCTCATGTGCAGTGAGTTCTCTTTCCCACATACAAGGTGTCACAAAAAAAAATTTACAGGGTTTTTTTTATTAAAGAAATTCGCTAGACATCACCGAATGCTCATTATCCGCCCAAAGGTAGCGCTAGAGGTCACAAACAGATACCAAGGTTTCAGCCCAAACGGACACCTTATCCTAAAGTTATAAGTGATTTTCTGAAAATTTCAGGTGGGAAAGTAGAGCCTATTCTTGCCCGTTTTCGGTTTCTGGTGCCATAGAGCCCCATATGTATTCGAAAACTCTGTCGGCCGCCATTTTCCCATTGAAATTTTCAGAAAATCACTTATAACTTTTAAATAAGGTGTCCGTTTGGGCTGAAGGTTTGGCATCTGGTTGTGACCTGTAGCCCTAGCTTTGGGCAGAGTATGAGCGTTCGGCGATGCCAAGTTAATTTTAAAAATAAAAAAAAAAAAAACTAGATTTTTTTTTTTACACTTTGTACTTCAATGATTATAGTGCCGTGTTGCATGTAATTGAATGAATAAAGAGTGGATATGCATAAAAGTGGGTGTTACAACGCGCAACGACAGCTATGATTGTCACTTCTTTGCATACTGTGGCAAAAAGCTATGATTTTTTTTTTTTTTTTACTATTATACGGGGATGTTTAATTTTATTTCAGATTTCTTTTAGAAAAGGGGGTGAGAGTTGGACAAGTGTCGTCTTCACCATGTGTTTGGCAGGCTTGGCGGACTTACTTACATTTGGGAAGACGAGCCATCCCAAAACGATCATTCAGAGCTTTGAATGAGAGCTTTTGGTGGCACGATCGGCTAAGCGACAATCGAGCACAGTTTTCACTCCACTCCACACATTTGTATCTTGCGTTATTTATATTTTTTGTCTTAAGCCTTTGGGGGTAAACTTGGTTCATACTTTGTCAAACTTTTGTTCAAAAGTTTAAAGTCTGTCAAACTTTTGAACTTAGCAGATACGAAAGTTTGAAACGGAAGTTTGAAAACTGTAAAATTTTTAAGGGACACTGACAGTGTATTTATGCTCGCCGAGGTTTTAGTTGTACGTGACATATGAGAGCTCAACTACCCAGAACAGAATTTGCTGCTCGAAATTCGGTTTCTTTCCGCTCGAAAACCGCCGATCAAGAACTGGCCGGTTCGAGTCTCGCTCACTCTCTTTTCCGCGGTCACGGGCCGTTTTCTAAGGTATCGATGCGACCACCAAATTTAATCAAAGTCGTAAGTCACTGAAGGCACACACTCAATATTAAAAATAGAAAAAAAAAAAATATGAAACCCATTTTTTGTGGCTTCTAAAAATCTGTAAATACGTTGATTGAAAAAAAAAAGTTCCACAAACAACCGGAAGCATTCTGTGCGTTCGTCGTTTCGCATATCGTGGGACTCGCGGGGACGGCGATGGCAGCGGACGACGGGCGTGAGACCTCTATTTCAGAACTGTCGTTTGCTGTACCGGCGAATTCTGTCTACCATTAAAAGAGAAATTTGGGACTGATCAAAAGAATTGGTATTCATCCCGTACGACACGCCCGGCCACCAAGCCGATTTGCACGAAGACGTCGCCGAGCCGTCGCTCCCTTCTCGTGGCTGAAGACATCGCTCGCGCAAACGTCAAGCACGACGTGTCTACTTCGAGTTGAATATGCACGCGTACGATTTCTTTACTAGGTGCGAATGTCCCCAAAGCGTGGTGCTTCCCGACTTCGACCCGGGAGTGCTTTTGCTAGAGAAAAATCGACAGCAAACTTTCCCACTTACAGTTTACCGGCTGAATTATTACTAAGGAAAGTTATCCACCAGAAAAGAGGTGCCCCAGTAGCCGTTCCCGGGTTTCGGCAGTGTTTTTTTTTTTTTTTTTTTTTTCTTTTTTTTTGTTAATTGTTATTGTAAAAAAAAAAAAAAAAAAAAAAGTGCCCCAGTAGCTCAGTGGGAAAGACGTCCGGTTCACACGCAGTAGGACCGGGTTCGATCCCCTGTGAAACTTTATTTTTTTCAAGCATTTTTCGACGTTTACATATCTTTTTTTCTTTTTTTTACAATCATCACTGAAGAACCAAACAAAATAAAAAATAACAAACAAATGTTGCGGACGATACTTCGCTGAATTAAATGGTACGGGATTTCCGTTTTGACACCTGCGAACTCAATGTAATCACTTTCCACAAAATTCAAGGAGCATATAAATCAGGTAGCGTCCGCTTTCCGGGGTGCCCGTATATGTTCTACAGGAATTGCAGCCAGCCATTGGTCCCGATCCCGTTGATCTTTCGGAAACTCTGTCGCACAATGCCACTTTTTTTCGGATGCAGGACATGTGAGCCAGCTCTTCACGCAACATCTTGGGTGTATTCTTTTCGGAGCCGATCATGGAAATTCACCACGGGCACTCACTACTCATCTCCAACTCCTCAATGTACAAAGCAACTCATCTTGGAGTACAGAACAACGAGCGGAACAAACATAACTGCAAAAGAATCGCTCGGCGAGCAGTTCCCAACTTCCTGCACATCGCATCGCACGCCGCATGTCGTGTCGTCTGCTACGGAGAGGAGAAAAAAACAAAAAAAACCGCACGGTCGGGTGTAGCCACGTGACTTCCGCCACTCACTCTCTTCTCTCCACTTCTCCGACCTCCGTCGGGTTTCGGTTTCGGTTTCGAGCAGTTGCGTCTTTTGGCTTTATTAAAAAAATACGCTACTCTGTTGGACAATATTAATTGGGTAGACCTCCGACACCATAATGACGCGCCTGGCAAAAAAATAAAAACAAATTTTGGGGGGGTGTCAGTGTCCCTTTAAGTGCAAAAAGTTTCAAAGTTTGAAAGCAATCAAATTTTTAGCTCCAAAAGTTTAAAAGTTAGAAAATCATTGAATTCTTTATGTAGTAGGTTTGACATTTCAAAACGCTTACACACTTTTCAGACCCCTCTGGTTCGACCTTCAAACCTCGGTTTCGAAAAAATGTTTGCAGCGTCTCTAATAATAATAAGACTTTGTTCGAACTTTTTGTCCTGGCTGATGGAACAAAAGCTAGACTAATGCCGCCTGATGAGACTCCTACAGCTGTGTGCAGTGCTCGTCAGAGAGAGAGAGAGAAGTGGTGTCAACATAAAGGTTTTAGCAACTAAGCACAATCGCACAGCACAGAATTAGTTGACAACACAATCTAAAGGTTCTTTTTAAAATAATATGAATTGGAAAGAAGAGGAACAGGTTTTTTCTTCTAAATTTCTGTCGAAACTGAACTTTAAGGACATTGTATTATATGCAAGAAAGAAAGAATTTTCTCAAAATCTATATCTTGTAGGCAGATTGAACTTATTAACATGAGACGAAGGATTATTAAAGTTGTCTTATGGTACTGGTAAACATTCAAGTAGTACACTATGTGAGCTAAACGACTGGCCAATTAACACAAAATAAAGAGCGACTGCCCACCCAAAGGTTGATGGTAATCGCAAAAAAAAGGGGGGTGGGCACTCATCAGGCCTGACAGTGGAAATGCAGAAGGGGCACAGGGTAGGGCTTTGTATAATCCTCAAGTAGGGCAATGAATAGAAAGTAAAAGCGCAATTCCACAAATAGGCTGAGCGGACGTCCCGTTTTGGGTGGGACAGTCCCGTTTTAGAGGCTCATTTACACCGTCTCGTTGTTTCCTCGAAAAAGCCTCGTGTTTTGTGGAAATGTGCAGTTGCGAAATCAGTACTAAGCGAATGGAAGAAAACCGTAATAATATTTTTTCCTTAAAAAGACTTAATTTTATAAAAAATAAACGTTCTATGAAAATGTTTGGGGAAAGAGCACGAAAATGTTTCGGGATGTAACGAGGGAAAGAGCACAATTTCTAGCTTTTTCCCTCATTACATCTGGCAATAAATCTGCCAGACTTTTCCTGTAGTACTAATGAATTGGACATGTTAGTTAGGAAACGATGAAACAGTCTGTAAAACTGGTGAGACTGGCGACCAAAGTAACTTGTCAGACTCCGGAACAATATATGTTTTTATGCTCAAATGACACGTCGCACAGCTTTTCTTTTGCATTGCCCCGCCCTAATCCTGAGTGTTCCGTTTCTACCCTGAGGATCGTGGTCACCCTACCCATGAATAGTAGCACCCTGCTTACTACATGAACAGTAAGCACTCTACTTGCTTACTATTTTATGGCAAGCATTTTACAGCATTATGTGTTATGTGCTAGGATCTTGAGAAAAATGTGTCCATGAATGTTAACAATAAAACTCGTGCTTAAACGGCTCTCCTTCGTTTTGATCAGTCGTGGCCAGTATAAATAAAAAGAGGGGGCAATCGCATAAGTCACCTTTCCTTGGCATGGTCCTGATTCCTTGTTACCATCTACGGTCACCGACTTATCTCAGCTAAGAGTGCACCGTGACGACGCTGAGGGCAGAATGCGCCGATCTAACCTTCTTTTCTTTCGCTTCTGCAATTCTGATAAAGGGACTTTGGCTCAGTTAAAAAAAATTGTTCTCGAGGTGTGCCTCAAAAAATTCGGTTTAGAACTTGCAACGTCATGTATTGAAAGAGCTTATCGCTTTTATTTGTCTTTATCCAATCAATATAGCAATTCGCTGTAACGTCACTGTAAAACCTAAAATAGCTACCAACCAATGGCTGTGTTCCTTTGTCTCTTGACGAAGCCATTTCCTTGCGCTCTTTGGGCTCGCCATGACTAGGCCGCGTGCAGTTCCCTCTGAAGGGGAAGAGCGTGCCTACAAGGATCATCGGTGCTCTCAGCACCGCGAATGTGTGTTGTTGAGCGTTGTCATAAAGCTGTCAAAAAAATAACAGCTTTGCTGGTCCTCCATCTTCACGTGAAATTAATGGGCTCTACAATTTTTCTTTGGCGACCATTGGCCCCGTCCCTTCCAGGAAGAGGAGTTCACGGCCCTGCTCTCGAAGGCGGGCTATAGGACGTCCCGGCTGGCGGTCCCGAACCCCAGGGTGCTGGCCCATGGCCTGGAGGTCCTCATCCCCACAAACTACTTTGTGACTCTGGGGGACCTCACGCTGCACGTCGTGGTCTTCCACGAGCGCCCCGGTAACTTCTGGTGGCACGCGGCGGCCGCGGAAACGGACCACGGCGACTCCAACGGCACCGGCGGACTTTGGAGCGCCGCACCTGCTCCGACGAGCGAGCTGCGGTACCTGCGGAGGGGCGGCGCTTACGACAAGTGAGGATCTTTATGGGTTCCTGTGGCACGCCCTCGTATGGCAGCAGCGATCCGTTTGTTATGCGTTTCATACGATCGTCTAAATTGGGGGGGGGGTTTCAAAACCTTTTAGTCTCGAGAGACCCTTTCTGGTTGACAAGAAACCCCATCCCTCCCGGTCTTGACACTGATGCAGTAGAGCAGTTGAGGAGGCCTACGGAGCTTCTAAACAATAATGCGCAGACTAGAGATAGAGAGTGTTTGACCCATAGTTCTGCGTCAATGTGCATCTTAAGTCTGCTAAAATCATGCTTAAACTGGGAAAACGTTTTACTTAGCGGTTGAGAAAGTTTGGGAGTTGGGGGAACCCATGAGGGTATTCTGGAGAACTCCCGTGTCCCTGGGAGAACAGTTTTAGAACCCACAGTCTAAATGACGAGACCGACCGCCGAGCTTGCTGGCGGACGTCGGCTTCTATTTCATTGCTCTGTCAATTGCTTCCGCCCGAGCTTTGTACCTTTGATAACGCTTCGGCGCACGCGGAGCAGCCAAAGTGCGACAAAGAGCATTGAGCATGTGCTCAAAGCAGAGCTTCTCTTGCACCTGGTTTGTTGTAAGAGACTGTAGACATATAGTGTTCACACCTTCGTCTGATCACACGTAAAAACATGGTTGAGCGAGGAGAGAGAGGGTTGATTGACCCTCTCTCTCCTCACTATGTGGGCTATCCAAGTAGTATACACATTTATTTTCCCGCTAAATTTAGCGGAGAAATTTTTGCTCTTAATTTAGCGGGGAATTCTTTCCGCTAAATTTAGCGGAAAATTTTCCCTTAAACAGGAGGCGAGCAGGAGGGGCATAGCCTCCTCTCCGTACCTTCCCCTCCTCCTCCTCAAAAGCTGCGCTCTAATTCGACATTACAGGGGATTAAAAACATCTTTAATTTTTTCTTTAGGACTACATTGTTGCAGGCTCTGTCATGTCCTCTGAAAGGAAAAACATTTTCCTTAAATACCTGCTAGGTAGGACTCGCACATTAAAAAACAATGTTTTCTAGAAAAATATTTTGGTAGAGTGTTTGCACTGCAATACACATTTTGTGTTAAAAGCAATTATAAAGCTTACTTCTCCTTCAGTATGTCAACCTAAAATAAAAGCACCGTGTCGTAAAACAAAAATACTGTGAAAAAAAAAAAAAAAAATTTCATAAGGGAAAATTAGTTTTGCAACAAACACATCCTCCCAGGCACTTTAAGATAAAATTTTAGCGTGTCTCGATAATGTCTGATAGACTCAGATGCACAGAACATCTTGCTAATAAACTGGAAATATGCCTAATCCATATGTGTCTGATCATCATCATCATTGTAATAATAATCATCATGATGTCACGTGACGTGCAATATAGGGCGCCTTCATGTTACACACTGCTGGCTCAAAATCTCACCGGATGCGACATTGTTGAAAAGACGGTGAGAGTGCAGGCGAGCTGGTGGTAGCTAATCATGTCGTATTACACCTGAGACTGCGGTGGAAGAAATCGGAAGAACTTTCAGTAGAAGGAACAGACACATAGAACGTCTCTCTTTGAGACGTTCTCTGTGTCTGTTCCTTCTACTGAAAGTTCTTCCGATTTCTTCCACCGCAGTCTCAGGTGTAATACGACATGATTAGCGACATTGTTGTATTTTTGCGCCATGCTATGTGCAGAGGCAGTATATTTTAGATTGCTCGACTCAAGGTCTGGAACGTCAAAGAGCATCATCTGGTACAGTATAGACCACTTACAACGTAACCGCTTATAGTGTAGGACCGGGTATAACGCGTTTTTTTTAAACCACCGGTTCGCCTCCCATAGAACTCCATGTAATTACATACCGCTTAAAATGCAGGCGCGCGAAGGGAAATACCGGTTATAGTGCGGTTTCTGGCACAGCCCGCCGATCGCGCCGACGACCGGAGCAGCGAGCATGCTTCCCTGTGCGACACTAGATAACGGCGCTGACGGCGCGAGCCGCAAGCGGAACTTGCGGGGCACGGAGATTGCTCGAAGGAGCGGGGAGAAGCGAAGAGAGAGGCTTTAGTTGCCATAGCGACGGAGGGACGCACGCATGTGTCATTCACGTGCGTGCGTCCCTCCGCTGCGTTGGAAACAAACCGCAACGACAGACCAATCGCAGGTCGAGGAGAAGTGTTCGCGCGCGTTGCATGCAGTTATGATCGTCGTCGTAGACGGCGTTCATCTCATCGATCGCATAAAAGTGCTATCCTTGACTGTGAATTTTCGCTGTGTGTCGCTATGATAACCCAGCACATACTAGAAGGGAAGATTCACCTACTCGTGCGGCGATGTCGTGGCGGCGCTCCCAAGACGGCAGAAACGCCCGTGTCGTCGTGTTTGTTTACTTCGACTACAGTGGTGATTTCTAAGCATTTGTGTCCTCGAACATCGCCCGGATTTCTTACTTGGCGCATTTCATGCGTGTGCTCAAGTTCAAGGTATTACTGGCGCGTACCGTATGAAGGATGCGAATTTTCACGCGTTTTCATCTCCGGAGAAAAGTGATTAGGGTTACCAATCCTGAACGCTCGCAACGTCCGTCCGCAACCCGCGACGCCGTTAAAAGGCTGCGCCAGGCAAAAGCTGCTCATTTCTTTCAAAATGTGTGACACACTTGAGACAGAACTGTACTAGTCTGGTGAAATAACGACTTTCCTCAAATTAAGCTTTCTTTTTCATCTAACATAAAATAAATTCTTTTACAAAGGTAAGTTGTCTCATGGCATGTATTTTGGGCTGAAAAATTGATGTTTTGGTTATAATGCGGTACCGCTTATAGTGCGGATTTTCGCGACTCCCGCGACATACGTTATATGCGGTCTACACTGTACTTGATTTTTATACATACCAGTCTTCATTTGGATTTGAGTGTAGCCGATGGTCAACAAGTTGGATCTGCTGGCAGCCAAAATGACCTCGGCCAATTCCTCCAAGACTGTTCCGAAAGAAAAAAAAAAAAAAATGGGAGTGAGCATTTGTTTATGCGGCCCCAATGCATCCCCGGTCATACTCATTGAGTTCTGTCGTTGCAAAGTCACTCTGCATGCTTCTGTGTTTCACTAACGCGAAAAACGACGCCAATAACTATAAGCGTCTGCATGCAAACAAATAGGGAAAGTGGAAGACGTTCATCAACATGTAGGAATGCGGCTTACCGGAAGCAAAAAGGCATTTCGTGAAACCACACTAGAGCCCCTATGGGCTATAGGAAGGTGTCTACAAACCTGGAAACCTGGAACTGTCAGGGAATTTCAAAGCATATTTATATGTCGGAGGCTTGTCGGAGAACTCCTTAAAAGATTGTTGAAGTCAGGGAAAATGACCGATGTGCATGGGGCAGTGACACACCATAATGCGGGAGAGTGTGGCTTGTGGTTGTGTCGGTAGCCTTGGCGCCAAGTAATGTTTGCCGGTGGCATCATCGGGCAGGGTAAGCTACCTTCTTATTCATTAGATTAAAAGGGAGTGGCTCAAAGTACTTCTGAAACCCCCTCCTCTGCATTTTCTTTCTTAACAGGAAACATTCTTTAGCTAGGTGTTTGGCATTTTGTAAAGCCTGGATAAAAGCATGGCCGTGAGTCTTAACACTGATTGGTTGATGGGCGGGAGAGGAGGAGTGAGGTGCTCGACGCTGATTGGTTAAGGGGGAACATTGCCCAGAAAAAACAAATTCTGCAAAAAAAGTTGATTTTGAAAAATGACATATATTAATCCACCAACATCCAAAGAGTATTCCCAGAAAGTTTAATTAGTTTACACTGCATAGTTATTTTCTTATAAATTATTTTCTGTCAAGCGAAGCTAAAGAAAAGGTAGGGTTGGGAGCACTTTGAATGATTTTTTCTCCGTTCCACTTTTTGGTATAAATTTCATTTTAGTGAATCTATCGTTTGATAATGGCAATACAGGAAAGTCTCGTTCTTCACCTTTCCTGACTTAAATTTAATAAGAAATGCGGCTATGAAACTTTTCTGTCAATTTACGAATGTCTTTTATAAAAAATGTTGACATTTTGTTGAAGACACAGAAGACCAAAAAGTTTACCAATTTCGCAGACGAGAAACTTATAGAAATAAAAGACTTTTTACAAAAATCTTTTCATAGCCACACCCCCTAGGCATTCTGCTACATATCTAGCAAATAAAAATCTTGAATAGTGTGATAGTTTTACGACGACAGGTTAACTAAACAATGTAGGCGTGTTGCTGATAGAAGCTGCTCTAATTTCCTTCCCATTCAAACGGCAGACTTGAAGTTTTGTTATGCATCCTCTAGCATGACCACCAGCCTACCCTGTATATTTCATTAATTTTAAGCCAAGGGTTCAAAAGTTGACCATCCCAGGGGGTGTGTCCCCTTAACGGGAATGTCATGTGACCTGAGGTGGAGTGAGGAGGAGAGGTAGGCGAGGCGGCAAGGCGAGAGAGGAGCAGGTTAGAAGGTTCTGGAAAATGACCGGGTTCATCATTTTAAATGTACACATGCGACACGCTAAATTATCTGATGAAGAGCACCGTAAACGTAAGCGTCTGGCTGAACAGGCTAGACGAGCTGCTAAACAATGAAATGTTTGTGACGCTAGAATGTTTCACACGTGTGCAACACAATTTGCCTGGCAATTTGCTATACATTTTTTTGTAGTGGTTGGGGGATTTAATCGAAATATTCGGGAAAAATTGGGAAAGGGAATTTGAAAGAAGCAAATTTCGGTAGACACCCTGGTGTTGTTTTTCTCGTGAAACCCAGCCCTATAACAGATTCGGTTTCCCCGTGAGCTGCTGCTGAGGATGGGCTGTGCTTTGCCCCCAGGGTGGAGATCCTGCCCCTGGACCTGGGCGGTGGGGTGCGGACCTTTGCCCCGGCCAGGCCGGAGGCCTTCCTGGAGGAGCAGCCCTTTGTGGAGTGCAACGCAACGCGTGCCCGGGCCTTCCACGACCAGCACGGCAGGGACGAGAGCCCCGAGGCGGAGCTGTTCCGTCTGAAGGTACACGGCCTGCTGGCCAAGGTCCAGCGCCTCCTGGACCGCCTCGGGGTGCCCTTCTGGATCAGCAGCGGCACCTGCCTCGGTGAGCACTCCCCCGCACCAGAGAAATGCCAAACTCGGCTTGTGTGCGGCAGTCCTAGGGGGAACTAACTTGGGCCCGTTACGGTTTTTCTGCAAGGCGTTAGTTGCTGCCAGAGTACTTCTCTTTTGCGTTTCTATGGCCTTGCTCTGGCTTGCCACTGTAGCATCTTGAGTTGTTCCAGACTCGAAGATAAACTGTTCTGGAACGGTTTGTAAGAACGCTAACTTTTTATTTAGTTAAGATAGGGCCAAAGACGAGGAGCAGTTTTCGTAGTCTTGTCCATTCTGTCATAAATTCTCCCTGTGCATTCTCTTTCTGGTGATCTTGCATTCTCTTTGTGGTGAGACCCGTACGGACGTCATTTTCATTTTCTGCTAAATTTAGGGGAAAAATTGTGGCATCACTCCACACCGCGACACCACGTTGCGTCGAGAGATGTCGTTACGGTGCCTGGAACGCGTCTTCGACTGGTGCGTTTACCAGGTCCACAAAAGTGGTCCCTCAATTTCCGCCTCATAACGTCATAGTAATGTCATGCTGTCGCCGGTCGCGAACCTGGCGGTGTTCCAATAGCTGTGGTGCATGTGGCAGACGCCTGTTCTACTGCAGGTCGCTCTCCAATGCGGCAGTCCACGGAAGCTAAAGCAGACGGAAGTTGGGACGCCTCGAGCGCCGTGACGACAGCAACACTCACGTTTGCCCGTGGTTTTCGCCAGCATTTCTACGACCAACTGCCAGGATCACGACATGCAACAGAATGACACTCTGTCTTCTGTGACGTCATTTGTTGCCATTTTGGGACCACTTTTGATGTATGGGCGGGATAGGACGCTAAACACACCAGTCGGAGACACGCTCCAGGCACCATAAAGTCGTCGACGTCTCGCTGCATTATGACTCTGCGGTGTCACCTGGTACTGTGACACCACTAACTTGGTGTTAAGTCCGGCTGTCATGCGACCCCACAGTGCCAAGTGATGTCGCAATATCGCTCGATGTCATGATGTCGCGCAACACCGTGACGTTATGTGACGTCGTCAGATTTCATGACATCACATTACCTCGAGACGTCCCGTGACGTCGTGCATGTACGGACGGAGGGGTCCAGCTTGTTCGCGACACGTTTGGTGTGTCTCGGAATTTGTCGGATACGATCAAGACATGTCAGAATTCCTCTTCTCGCGCAGGCTTCTATCGGCAGTGCGACGTGATTCCCTACACGACCGACGTCGACATTGGGATCTTCATCAGAGACTACAAGCCCGACATGGTGTCGCTGTTCTCCACCCATGACCTGCCCCTCACTCACCTTTTTGGAAAGGTTTGTCTGCCTGCTCGTATTTCTTCCCTTCCGACATTTGTTTTTTCGAAGCGTAGATCGAACGCTCTGTAATTAATTGGACGCCCAATTGAAAATTTGTTCGTCCTTCCTGTGTTTTTGCTAGGTTTCGTGGGGAAATTGACGTTGTGTGACATCGGGGTATCGCGCAACTATGTCGCATGATATCGGGTCGCGCGACGTCACGAATGTATCGCAGTTTAAAAAGTCAGTGAAGTGTCCTGCCAAGATATGGGGGGGTAGACCACGAAACGGATGTCGTGCAATGCGACGTCATAATGTCACGGTGTCGCGTGACCATGTGGCGTAACATTGCAGTGTCGTGACATTGTGATGTCGCGTGAAAGCGATGACCCAATAAATTTCTCTCTTACAATCTCTCGCCGTTTTGACACTACGATCAAACTCCAATTCTCGCAACCACCCTGGCATCTTTGGCGTGACGTCGTCGTCGAGGCTGCATTCTTGGCACGAACACAAAACAGGCCGGCCCTATAAATGCTAAACATTAAAAAAGATTTCTCTTTTTGGTTGCCAACTTTTTGTTCAATACGCATGTCCGACGCTTTTAACCTGGTGAACTCACGTCGGGCATGTTCTCACGCGACCACATCGTGCACACCGGTCCACCGAGAGTGCGTTCGACATAATTTGTCATTACTGCCTCACAAAGTTTTCTTTTGGATGGATCGGATGCATGCCACGACTGTATATCTGACCTCTTCGATCGACTGCGTTCGTTAAAAGATTTGGAAAATTTTATTCGTAAGCTCGGAGAGAGCCTATTAGAAAAACCAGACAAGTCACTCGGTGACGAACCAATTTTCATTCATTAATGAAACTTCTTTATAATGCTTTTGTTGATTTTGAGTAGTTTTAGGGCATTTGTGTCATTCCTGGATCTTGTCGTAGGCCACCTTTGTCTCCGTGAAATGGGGAAGCACAGGACCCTGTCGAGTCACTCCAGTTCTCGTTTCGCTGTAACTTGGCAAATTATCTCTTGGAGCCAATCGGAGCGACGGAGGCAGAGCACGTGACAGCTCTCACCGAAAGTTTAGCTGAGCGAAGGCTGGAAACCACCTCTCCAGCGTTCGCTCTGGTCAGAGAGATGGGAAGAGCTTCTCCCAAACTCTTAACCTGTCGACGACTGTAGCGAGGCGTAGTTGCCGACTGGCTCACTCTGACCACAGCCTTCGCCGTTTGCCAGGTTACGGCGAGATCAAGTACGGTACACTACAAAAATCTCAAATTTTCTTTGACGTCGCTTAGGTGGAGGACAGCTACGAGCTGTCGTTTCGGGACCGCGACGTCAAGTTGGACGTTTTCTTCTTCTACGAGGAAGACGCCTACGTGTGGAACGGTGGCACGCAGGCCAGGACGGGCAAGAAGTTCAAGTAAGCTCGCGCGTGTCTCCGTTTTGCGAGGCCATGGTCACACTCATCTTACAAAAGCTGTCTGCGGACGCTAGCTTGGTTGGATTTATGTGCACCGGTGCAGAAAAGTGTAGGGTAGTGTACTTTCGGTACGGGTATTGAGACACAACCGGAAGAACAGTCGCTGAGTTATTTTTTGGATACCGCTATTTCGCACATGTCCAAGTAATTGGACGCTTTTGCTGAACCGTCGCTTACTCCATGGAGTTAATGTGTGACAGTGATCGAAATTTCGGGCACCACAAAGCTTGTTGCTCAATATTTCGGACACAATTTGCATGATTTCCTCCATTTACAACCATGAAACGGCCATTGCGATAATGCCGCGAGCTTAATCACCGCCATTTTGGTTGTTGTGGTTTTGACTTGTAGCCTCGATACCACATATTACTCAGTAAAGAAATGAGTGATAAGGTGCAGGAAAGCTGGTATCTGTTCATGGTTTAAGACAAACGTGAGATAGGGGAAACAAGTACAAACACGACGAAGTCTCAAATTTGAGACTTGGTCGTGTTTCCCCTGTCTTAGGGTTGTCTTAAATCATGCAGTAAAGAAGCTGAATGGAGGTTACAGTTGGGCTTTCCGGTTCCGCTATAGCCAACATGGTTGCTGTAAGTTCTTATGTTGCGTTTTTGGAGTGCGACCACAAGATCAGCCGTCTGCCGTTCTTGTGCTGTTTGAGTGAGTGTTTGAGTTGAAGTAAGCTGGGCGGGCTAAACATTGTCTCCAAACAGTCCGAAATGGCACCAACTTTATATTTTTTGCGTGCACCAACGAAGGTGCCAACAGAACACGGCACCGTGATCAACCGCATCAACAAACATGTGAAAAGTAACCAACATACAGCCAAAGTTGCACGAGAATTTAATATTGACATCGAGCAAGTACGAAGCGAGGGGGTGAGAAATTTGATATTGCGGGGTCCCCTACGAGTCGGAAAAATCGGTTGGCGATTGCACACTGCCCTACACTTTCCTGCACCGGTGCATGTAAATCCAACCAAGCCACTGTGGAAGCAGACGTGCTTCCTTATGTGCCTGAGGCAGGTCCGCAGGTAATTCTGTTGTTGGGTCTGCACTGAACAGCCCGTCCTTTGTATAAAGTGCGACTGTTGCTTAAAGGAATACTTTAACGAAATTCGAAATATTCCCGTCGTGTTCAAAAATAGGTTGAATATGATCCACAGTATTCGTAAATGCCAATCGCACGTTTGTATTTTGAGCCTGGTGGCTGTATTTTTCGTTATAAACGCCCCACTCTGGCAAGCGCTCGGAGAAGGCCCAGCGGAGACCACGTGACATCCAACGCAATCGTGACGTAGGTCGTCTCAGGACGAGGAAAGCTACGCAAGGCTGACGTCGAGAGGATGGCCTAGTCTTTCCAGCCACTGAAGCGGCTGCTTTTGTACGAGTTTTGAGTGACGGGTTAATCTTCTATAATCTTGTAGGGGGACAATAGCGACTTCTGGGACACTAAAAAAGGGATTCTCGGGAAGAGGGGAGCTCCTCCTGCCCCTCTTCTCTCGTCGTGGCCGGAGGTGAGACACTCACCGTCCCTAGCTGTCATGGTTCCTAGAATTAAACGATGAGCTCTTTGCTCATCGTTTAATTTGTTTTAAAATCCCTTTTTGTGACTTCTTTAACAAGATATTGGTATGTTCGATGTGATGCTTGCCGAAATTTCGTTGTAGTATCCCTTTGAGGCTGTTCACAATGCTTTAGGCTCATTAAGTTGTTCTTCCAGGAGTTAGGTAAGCATACATAAGATAGGCAGTGCACTCACGGAGGAAAGCTATCACGGAGAGATGGGTAATGTTAATGCCAGCTCTTTTAGTAGTTGAGCCAAAGTTTAGTTAATGACAAAAAGAAAGCGTTAAAAAAAATATTAAAAAATAAAATGTGGAAAAAGGTACTATAGGGGCTACGAAAACTTACTCAACCCGCATCATTTTATTATTAAATTATAGTTTTCCTAGACTGAAATTTGATGGCCAAAAATGAAATTCCATTAAAATGTTGGAAAGTTTCAAAAGTTATACTTTGAATGGTGCCAGCGTGTCAAAAATAACTTGTTCTGCAAAAAAAATCAACAGTGATCTTTATTATCTAAGTCTCGTAATTAGGGTTGTGGGCTTCTAGTTTAAAGTGATTAACATTTGCTGAATCAATTTTTCAGAATTGGGTTTTAACCGAAAAAGATTGGTATTTTAGTCTATATTGGCACAAAAGATGTCCATCAGCATTGAAGCTGATGGACGTCTTTCTTTTTCTAGGTAGGGAAGGGGTGAGGGGGAGGGTGGGTCATTGCATGACATTGTAACACACTTGCTTGTGTACTGGTTGTCAGCCCTCTTAGGGATTGCCTTCCTTTATGTTGGAGATGGTTAAACGATAGCAATCATTGGGTGGTTATTTTCATTCTCTTTTGCGATCTGTCTTTGTCTGCCAAGTTCCCAGTCCTTTGAAGATGCACACTGAGCAAAGTCCCCACTCCGAGAGCAGTTGCCGATTATAAAGCTCTGCACTGTTCCATGCTCAGAGCTAATAAAAATTCTAGAGGAAAGGGTCCCATGCATTCCGGCTGCTTAGGAACATCAAGGCACAGACATGGACCTCGGTGGTCCCAGTGGGTGGTCCCTACGGGGCCTTATCGCTGCCGATGCCTTAATATAAGCAAATCATCAGCAAAACGTCACCTGCAAGGTCTGTGCCTAATTCTTCTCTAGCTCACCTTTCAGGAAAAGACTGTCACCGGGCACTGTATAAAAAAAAAAAAAAAGTTGACAAGCGTTCAAACAACTTCATCTTGTCACAGAAAAATGAATGGACCTAATCCATTGGCTGCTTTCTTTCTTCACTCTTCTGTTCCTCTCTTGTTCTTTCTCTCGGGAGCATCGATGCGAGTGCTTACGATTTGCCGCGTTTGGCTCCCATCTTTACCTCTCCCCCCCACCTTTAAATTGAGGCTACGTCCAAAACTCGGGCACAAAAGCACTTGGACCTGACCTTGTAAGCGGTGCACGTTTAAAAGTCCAGTGAAATCAAAATGTGTGTTTATTTTTTCGCAAGTTGTTAATTTGTAAGATATTTATTCAAACGGGGGTCTTCAAATTTTTAAAAAGGAACTGGGGTGATAAACGGTAGGTTAGCGATCCAAAGTTAGCCCAGCATTTAACAACAATCAAAGAAATGACATTGTAAATAAATGAAAACAAAGTTACACAAAGCAAAGGAGCAATTGTGCATTATAAAAAAACAAAGATATATATACTGCAACCAATCAAAAAGCAAAAAAAAAAAACATTTAATTTCAATGCAGAGTCAGAAACAGAAAAAGCTATCGATATAAAAACTTCTAACAGTTACGAAAAAAAGAGAAAGAGGAGAGAGATAAAAAGAAAAGCCAGGGAAAAGAATGTGTTGCTGCTTATGTACATGTATGATCCACTGAAGCCGCATACTGTTCCGTGCGGACAGGTACGTTTTCCCCAAGTTCCAGCTGTGCTGGACCGAGTTCCTGGACCTGAAGCTGCGCGTCCCCTGCGAGACGGAGCGCTACGTAGAGGCCAACTACGGGGCTTCCTGGTTCACGCCGCTCAAGAAGTGGGACTGGAAGGCCAGTCCGCCCAACGTCGAGGAGAACGGGGCCTGGCCGGTCGAGGAGTGGCCCCAGGTCATCCAGCTCTTCCCGCTGCCAGACTCCTGAAACACGCCGCCGGAATTTCGGTGTCACGGATACCTGCGACAGTTGTCGCCACCGGACAACGGAAACATTTCCTTCTGTGGCATTTCGGTGCGGGAATAAGCGCCGAGCGTTGCACATTAAAACCCACTTGCCGGATTCCTGACACGTCGCAAAAACAGTTAGTGCGAAAGACAAGTGGAAGACTGCATGGGACAAGTGCTCGAAACTTTTAACTTGTCCTATCTCCTACTTATCCTTTGTCTTTTGGGCTAACTGTACTTGTGACCTTTAACCAAATAGGCCATCAACTTATATTACAATTCCTGAAATGTGCCGGACGATGGAAGTGCTTAGCGGCGTTTCGGTGCAAGAATAAGCGCCTCACATTGCATGTATATGTTCCGCTCGGCAGACAGGAGATTGATTGAATGTGGTCGAAACCCCTGGGATTGAGTGGAAACTCGTACCACCTATGAAGTGTTTTATTTTTGTTTAGAAAGGTAGTGCTACCTCTATGTTAAGGCAGAACTGCAGCCACGGACAGATAAACAGATGCAGCTAAACTTCTTGAATTGGCTCGAAACTTGCACCACCTACAATGTGTTAATTTCGTCGAGAGAAATGATATCCAGAAACTCGCTCACGGACAACTAGTCACTGGAGTACTCTGCACGGCAGAACTGCAGCCACAAACCAAAGGGTAAATGGACAAATGTGGCTAAACCCCTCGAATTGGGTGGAAGCTTACACCACCTATGAAGCATTTTATTTTGTCAAGGAAAGGGGTGCCAGCTACAGGTGGTGATGTAAATTAGGCCTTTGAGGTGCGCAAAGGATGCCGTAAAATCCTGTAAAAACGCTCGTCCGAAATTTAGAGATAAGTTGCGATAAATATAAGGTGGGCGACCTTGGAAGATGAAATGGCAAAACCTTATAAAAAATTAGTGATAAACACCGTAGCACCCGCACGCAACAAATCACCTGAAACGCGGGCACCTATACCGTAGATTACAGACATGACAAATTCGCATTCCACATCACGATAAAGACGCCGGAACTCGCTACAAATTTTGGTGTCACGGGAATGGATGCCGCAGATGGTAGACAGAGCAAAATTGCACTTCACGGTGCGATAAACAAGCGAGAATCTGCCAGAAACTCGGGTGCCGAGGGAACCAATATTGCGCGTTCATATCGGGGGATCAGTGGCCGAATGTCTTGGTGCACCATGGCTGGGAGCATGTGGCGCAAAAGCTTATGCTGCAGAACCCAGGGATCCTGGGCTCAATCTCTACCACTGCCCACTTTAATTTTGGTGAGCACTTTACCGGTGTGCGGTCGTGTATCACTACTGCGTGGTGCACATTAAAGACCCCAGGCTAGCAGGCGTATTGCACTGGCTAAATTTCTCATCTACAGCGTAAACCAGTCTCGCCACACCTCAAAGGCAGACCAACCTTGCATTGTTTCAACACAAGTGTCTTAATTTCTTGTTCAATTTTTTTTTTTTTTTTTTTTTTTGGGGGGGGGGGGGGGGGGGGGGGCGATGTTTCAGAATTTTGATGTTATATGCATATTCAGCCAAGAAAACGGGATGGATGATACCTCGGGAGAGAGCATTTATGCGGAATTTTACAGTATGTATCTCACAACAACGAGATGTTCTTTTGTTCTGAGAGGGTGAATATGAGGGTCACAACCTTTTCTGCTACTAATTGCATCAGTCTTGCGTAGCTGCTGAAATTATCTTTATTGATTGATGTGGCCCTTCAGATTTACTACCTCGTGATGTAGTACCACCTTGCCACCTTGGAAGGTAACCGGGAGGCCATGCTGAAACTCATTGATGTTTTATTGTTTGGTAGTGGTGGGTTGGTGCGCAAGGTGCATGCTGTGCGCAGCTCCTAGGAAAATCTGGTGCAGCCCTGAATATATGCTCATGATACATGTTTTGCATCTTAGCATAATGATTGTCAGTGTTTGCGAGAAATTCTATATGAATTAGTGTGTTTAAGTCGTGCCAGCCATCTGTGTTCCATCGGTGTTGCTTGTTTTTTCCTTGGTTTTATCATACAAGTTACATTTCTGATTCGAGTGCAGTGGTTGATTGGAGGGGATGAAATCGGCCTCCACTTTAAATTGCTGCTCGCTTCGTTACGCGAGTGATCTCAGACTTGTTCGACCCTTGCGGTTATCCAAACATCACACCCCACGGGCCAAGCATTTTGCCTAATGTTTACAGTAATGTTGCACATGCCAACTTCTGCTTTCATTTCAGTTCAGTTGTGTGTGTATAATGTACCCAATTGTCTGAGACAAAGGATGAGCGGCAGTGCACTTTTCTGGTTTGAAGTGGTGGCACCATCCTTCTCAGTGCTCCATAACTGATACAAGATATGTTTTACTGTCGGTAGTACAAGATTCGCTCAAGGTTGACCGGGACTTTTGTTCCTGAGAAATCATTGAACTATGTAGTCTATCATGACGAAACTTGCGGAGGATGTTAATGTATTCCTCTTGAATATCCCATACCTGGAATGACGTATTTGATGCATACGCAGCAGTACTAGCTATCATGGCAATGAGCAATGTGTCTAGCTGTGGAGCAGTGCTGCATATTCAAGTTTCTGGTTAAAAGTAAGAAAGTTAAACCAGATTCTGAGAAGATTGCAAGTGTGGTGTAAATCATGTCACCGACAAGAGTGTACACGAGATGTCAGCAGTCTGGAAAGGGACAACAGCAACAAATGAACCGCACAGACTCGTTCTTCCAACTCCAGTCTCGTAGCTTTTTTTTTTTACGCCATAGGAACCAACGAGGCTGCCAAAAAAAACAAAAAAAACTTTGAAACTTTGGCATATCTTTGTGCTTGTCGGAGTGTCCATTTCCTCTAAAGGAATAAAAGTCCCGGTCAACCCTAACCGAAACTTGCATGTACAAAGAGGTGCGACTCATACGAAGGTGCGACTGATATACAAACATTTTCATGAAAAAGGCCGCTTTGGGGGGTGCGCATTATAGAATAAAAATTACGCCATCTTTTTTTTTTCTGCATTGCACAACGGTTTAGTGAAAAGATAAATCAATATCGCACCCTGCCAAATCTAATTGACTTTGTGATAATACAAAGTGCCATCTGTGGCTTTTTCTGCATCACCTGGTTTGCACAAAGCTCAAACTTTTTTCATCATCAATGACTTTTTATGTGGGCCATTTATTTTTTGTACGCAGTTGCTAGACCACCCACGTGAGGTTGGCAGTCTTTGAAAGACTGCCCATCCATATATGAAGAACACTGTTTTAATGGGGTAGGCAGCACCGAACTCTTCGGTGTCAGTGGCGTAGCCAGGAATGTTTTAAATGAATGTGTATATTATAAAGTTGGCTGGATTTTGGGAGGGGTTGAAGCCCCATAAGCTCCCCCCTGGCTATGTCGCTACTCCGTCTGTTGCTGCATATACCCATTTTACTGAATATATGAGACTGATTCATCCTGAGTTTTGTGATACATTTGCCATCAAAATATTTATTTGCAACTTTATATTATGAAACTCAAATGTTCCTGATAACGGCTTTTTATCTTCACTTTATACCTGGCAGAACTCTTAAAACACTTTTGATTTATTTACTGATTGATTGTTTACGTGGGCTCAACAACATGAATTGGTGTACTGCAGCACCTTGTGAGTATTTATGAAATTATATCAAAAATATAAGTTAGCTGTCCTGAATGAGGGAAGCCTTTTTTTGTGTGTGTCTAGTTATCATACTTCAAATTTGTGATGTCTTCATCAAGTTAAGGTACAAGTTTTTTAGGGTCAGTGTTCAATAGCAGAAAAGGTGCGCTTCAATAAATTGGTGTTTGCGTCAGTGTGAATTGATTACTTTTAATCGCTAAACAAAGTTCATTTGTCACATTCATAGAAATGTTTGCCAGCTCACTGGTATGTGACATTGATATCAAAGCTGCTGTTATGACGAAAACCTTCTGCACAACTGTCATGGAATTTGTTATGTTCATATTTGTTTTCCAGCTCCTCGCATTAAAGTTGATCCATCTAAAAAAATGTGATAAGACTGCCGTGAACAACGAAATTGAGAAACTGCAAATTCCTATTTTCCACAGGATGTTCCAATTGGCGAACTAACTTTGGTGGACAGTTTTATGCATGCATCAGCTGCTCGCGCACGTGTTGGACATGCATCGACTGATGCTGGACGCTTGCTCTCGAGCAAGTGGCTCGCTCTAAACTGCGAATTTCGAAATAAAGAGTTGCTGAAATCACCGATCGCTTGAGCAACGTGGCACCTGAAAGCAGTGCCTCATGAGCAACTTCAAATTCTCAGTTTTGGCTATGATTTTTTTTTTTTTGGCAGTGTCGGGGGGGAGGCTGGTCTTTAACTTCTTGTTTTTCATTTTTGTTATTTACCGTGCTGAAATTTAGTATACTGATGTATTTCTCATTGGTGATTTCAATTATGCAATTTGTTTTTGGATAGCTTTATTAAATCCTGAGTTATTAATAAATTTGTAATTTTAATTAGGTCCTTCTTACGGGCCGTTACCATAAAAATGTACAAAATATATTGGAACTTTTTATAGAATTGCATTCACCAAGACATGTTTTGTGCGGTGATGCTACCTTAAGACTAATTTAATGATATTACATTGGTAAAAAACATTTAAAATCAAGTTGCATAAAACGGGAGGCTATATCTTTTTTAGACTAATTTATTAAAATTATTGTATGAGATATAAAGCAACAAAAATAGCATCACCGCACAAAAAATGACTTGGCAAATGCGATTCTATAAATATTTGTGATATTTTCTGAAAACTTTTACACTAACGACCCGTAAAGAGGACCTAATTAAAATGGCAAATTTATTGATAACTGAGGATCTAGTAAAGCTATCTGAAAACTAATTGCATATTTAAAATCACCAATGAGAAATACATCCCAATACAAATTTTTTTCAACACTATAAATGAAAAATAAAAAACAAAAAGTTGAAGGCCAGCCTCCCCCCTTAAATAAGATGCGGAAGCTGGCAAGGGCTTTCCCACTGAAGCACATTAGGCCAGTGGGTGTTGAAATGATACCGGTCCGAGTATGGATCATTGCGAAGAAGGCGTGCCTTTTGTGTATTGTAGAAATGGTGATATATTATGTTAAACATTGATTTTGATCTCGATTTTATTTTTTTCTGCGCATGCAGGACCTTGTTTTATTGGCGAGGAGTTGTTTCGGTGGTGCCACCTAGCATGCGCTTTTCTGCGACGTGCAGGCAGGGTTTTGAGCAGATGACACGCTAACTAGTCCCATGGAGGGGTTATGTTAGTTTGTGTCTATGCCAATCGATAGCTGTTTACATATTTTTAAAAATCTCTATTGTGTTTTTATTTGCCTTTTCTATTCAATTACGTCTTCAAACGGCTTTTGATAAAGAGAATCTTTAAAATGGTCAAAAACGAGCCTCGAACTTGAAATGACAGCTTGCTTGGCATGCCTAGGCTGTCTACGATTGTTTTTTTTTGATCCGTGGAGGTTCCTGTAAAAGAGATTTCAGGCTTTCCAATCTGGTGAAGAAGGAAGACCAGCGAAGCTGTACGAAGGTGGGACGACCTCAAGGACGACGCCTAGAGGACGTCTAGAACGACCTGAACGATGACTTTTAGGACGACCTCAAGGACAATGTCTGGGACGACCTCAAGGACGACTTCTAGGACGACCTCAAGCACGACGCCTAGAGGACAACGTCAAGGACGACCTAAACGACGACTTTCAGGACGACCTCAAGGACAACGTCTAGGACGACCTCAAGGACAACTTCTAGGACGACCTCAAGTACAACGTCTAGGACGACCTCAAGGACAACTTGCAGGATGACGCCTAGAGAAATGAAGCCTTTCCACTCTGGTGAAAGCCAGAGTGGAAAGGTTGCCGCCGTCGCTCATAGATGGCGGTAGCTGTCCAGAGTTTTGTGTCGACATTTATTTGGTGACGGACGCGAAACTGGGGAAACCAGCCCCTAACAGCTCCGCCATAAAAGCTTCTGCTTAGCAGTCACCAGAATGTAGAATGTACTGCCATCTTCGCTATGCGATTGGATTAATGCGATTGGTCAATTTTTTTCTTCTCGTTTTTGTTGTGGATTGAATATAAATTTAAAAGCTCTCGCTGCGATGCCGACCCCACATTTAGCGCAATTCTTTGACTTCTCAAAAACAAACACGGGAACATTCCTGATCCATGCCGGGAGTAGCATAGCTGTACGGCTTCTTTCTGGGACTCTGAAGTGTTGCCAACTTAAGGCCCTTTCACACACTTGTGACCTAACCGAGTGCCTTGGAACCTCTTACTATCTCTTACGACGAAAGGACACACTGGCGCCATCTATTGGGTACCAGTGCAAACTTGGCGGTCCGGCATATTTTTTATTTCTCTCGCACGTTATTCTTTCTTTCTTGGCTTGGAAAGGTAATACCCACATTTGACCTCGGAAATCCCGCAAACCCTTCGCTCTTGTGAAATGCTGTTTCAGGGTCACCGCATAGATGGCGCCAGCATGCCAGTGAGTTCTCTCGTCCTAAGAAATTTTAAGAGGTTTCAAAAGGTCTTGTCTGTCTCGGTCATAGTCGGTTGCAAGTGTGGGAACGAGCCTTTACTACAGCATGTACTATACTACGCTTGAAACCAGTTTTAGACTGTTCACAAAAATCGGTTTCTAACGTGTTGTGCTGCGATTTACTACAGAGGTGCGACTAATTGGTGAAAGCTTGAAGTGAAAATGTCGACTGATGAACTTGCCTTGTGCAAAAAAGAAAACCTTGTTTGGGGCTGTGAGCGGCGGCATTCGCAAATGATGGCACGACTGGGCTCACCTAGTTGTGTACGTTGCCGTAAGGTGGCACAACATGAGGCGAGCGTATGCAACACCTCGACCGATCGTCTCCGCACCAAAAAGGGGAAGCCATGAGGGATATCAGTCCGGGTTTTCTTACTTAGATTTTTTTTAAATGCACTTTTAGAATTGTAAATTAGAAAGACGCACACCGGCATAGTGACAAGTTTCCAAGGATCATTGGCTAAGCTCGGCACTGGCACGCCCTCAACACTTCTGACATATATGTGTCGACGGAACATGCAGCAAGTAGGCGCGCATGGTCACGACACCATCTGCAAATGCTGTCACACTCACAGGTTGCCCAAGACAGATTTTTTTTTTTTTGTTTTTTGTTTTTTCTTTTTAACGAGGTAAGTTCATTTATTAATATTTTCAGGTACTCCAAGCTTCCACCAACTAGCTGGACCTGTATAGTAAATCGCAGTGCGATACACAGCGGGGGATTTATGGGTCAGGCTTGGCTTGGGGGGGGGGGGGGGGGGGGGGGGGCGTGGGGCATGGGACGGTAGACATTCAGCTAAAGGGGGTATACTGTGCTGAGATATGTAACGGCCGAAACGTTGCTCAAATCTAATTTGCTCACCCAATATCTGATATGTTGCCAAAAACTGAACTTTTGGCTGAAGTATATTATTGTTTCAGTAAAAAAAGAGTTTATCTTAGGAAGCTTAGGGGAGGGGGGGGGGGGGGGGCGGTCACACCCCTTGTCCCCCTCCCCTTCTTTCAATCTGCTCCTGGCGATAGACACCGATTTTTGCAAACTACTGAAGTGGGTTCGACGTGTTCATGCTTTAGATCTTACAGTTAGTGTACATGCTGTAGATCTTGCAGGTGTCGCTCGCAAAGGTGTTCTTTAACGTTTTGCGTCGACCGGGCGAATAAGCAGGTGTTTAGTTGCCCGTAATACCGTGCATTTGCCCATTCCGCACTAGGTGCCCACCTCCAATATTTGAAACATCTAAAAAAAATATGCACAGTACATATATATGTAAAATTGATGACCTCACATGCGCCCATCCCCTATTTTTTTTTTTTTTGTGATTATACCTTCAAATTTTGAGTGGGCACTTGTTCGATATTTTACGGTAGACGATCCGGGGTCCAGACACTGTCAGTTGTTTCTGGGAAACATTTGTTTACCACGTTGGGAAAGGCAGAAAAAAAATAAACGTAGAAGAAATGCTCACAGAACACAGTGGAACCAGCAGAGTACGCAGTTGTTCTACCGAAGTGCCCATTTTCAACCTGATAAGCCGTTCCTTCCTCTGTCGTTTTGTTCGAATAATAATAAAAACTGCACCCTCTTCACGGCGGTAGCTGCGTAAAGCGCTAGATGTTATATTTTCATTATCCTTCATTCTGCAGCTTCGACACTTCAGCATCAAAGTGTTTAGCAAGACTATGTCTTCAGATGTCATACCACAAACAGATTCCACCAAAGAGACCCAGTGTATGAAACAGGTTCTCCCGCACTGCCCAGATCATTGTCCAAACGCATGTAGCAACGAATCTGCGTCGTCTGCTCGTCTCCTAACCGCTTCGTCACAAACGATGATAATGATAGCTAGGAAATCGCCCCCTGTAGTTTGCACACACTGCCATTAAATAAAAAAAATAGCAAAAAAGAGCAACGATCTGGAAGGTTTTGTCACCAATTATAATCTTTTTTTTATTATTTTTATTTATTGAATGGATGTAAATACTCCCATATCTCCCATAAAATGTGTAGCGCCATCTGGCAGTGTTCACACGCAGTTCCTGTTTCAAGCGCTGCGCTACACCGCATCGGTCGCGCTGGTCGCATTTCAGCCTGCTTCAGCTTGCCGATTTCCTCGGACACGAGCAAGCGCTGCGTTGACTGCGTTGCGTTGTGGTGCGTGTGGTGATCTCGCATCTCGCCGCCGCCACTTCGGCGACTCGGTTGCGACCTTTTTTGCCGCAATAAGCATGGCTTCGCTCCCGACACTCCTCCAGGTGGGTCCACACTTTTAAATCTTGCTCTTCTTGAAACGCTTCAAAACTGCACACTTCGTTCACCACTACTGGCCAAAGGAGGCGGAACTCGATCGAGTTGACGACTCTGCCAAGCTTCGCGCAGTTAGGGCTAAATCCTGTCTATAAATCTCTAATTTGCCTCTACTAACCGACAGGAATACTCGGAACTGTCGGTCGCCGCGAAGTCCGAAGCATTTTGGTCGTGAGTTTTGCCCGTACGCGACGCCGTTTGGCGTGACCAGCGAACGCTGTTCGTGCGGAGGAGGTGCCGAGTTGTCGATTTTGAGCGCGGTCAGTTTCTGCGGAAACGCGGCTTTCGTTTGTGAAACTTGCGTCATTTTTTTTTTTTTTTTTCCTCGCTTTATTTACGCGGTGGCGGTTACGTCAGTGATCCTGCGACAGGTAGAGGAGCTTCCGCGCGTGGCAATGGCCCGTGACCGATTGCTCAAATGGGGGCAGAGGACTCGTTCCTTGCGCTGCTGTTTCGTTATCGCGATTATGTTGTGCAGGGTGTAGAGGTGCCGGCCGTGATCCCGAATCGATCTGGCGACGAAGAGTCTATCAGCGGCAACTTACCTTCTGTGGTAGTGCGATTCTAGACGTACCGAGTCCCGGCGTAACCTATAGTGGCCGAAAACAAGTTGACTAATCTCTTGAGGCTCACGCTTGTCGTTTTTGCAGGTTACGCTGGGGAGCAATGCAAAGGGGTTGAAAATTAGTGGCATTGCTTTGACATTATTTCGGAAGTGTATTATAAGTTGCTTGGTTTGTGCTTTCGCAGGAGTAAGTTGCACACAATAAAGTCTGGCACTGAAACTAAGCAACAATACTTGTTAGTTCACTCAACCTTGGGTATTGACACCTAGGTATACATATGTATATAGTACATTACTTTCCACTAAATTTGTTTCTATAACAAAGGAGAAAAAAAAATCGGGAGAAAAGTACATGCATGAAGTTTGTGAGACATAGTCACGTTGATCCTGTTTTAACATGTGACAATTTGATCGACGGGGAACGATAATTGTCTCTATTGCTACAAAATCTAATCGCACAAGCCTTGTGCACATAGCAAGCAATAGTTGTTGTGACTGAAATTTCCCCGACTTTTTTTTTTGTGTTTTACATCCACAGTATAATGATAAAAGTTGCTCTCCTATGACTGTACTACACATGGCCAGATACCACATTGCCCACAGACAGTGAGGGTATGTGATATGCACAATCTGTCTCCACAAATCAACATGTGAGAATGTTCCCTCACACTTGTTGCAATGCATTCAAAACAAACTTCAAAAACCAGAAATTGAACGTTATGGCATCTTATTGTTCTGGCACAGTTGGTCGGTACTGTCAATCCCCCCAAATTGTGGAGTCCCTTAATCAGAAAGTTCCCCTAAATATCCGTAGCCTTAGTCACTTTTTTATGTCTGTTATTGAAATCGAAACGGTTACAGCTGACTTGGGTTTTTGTAAATTGTGTCACTTTTTTATTTTGTTTTTGGGTCTTTGCGCTCGCATGTGATCAGATGTATGGCTTGTCCATGTGCTTCTGAGAAAAAGCAGGGGTGTGGACCTTTTTGAAAGTTGCTTCGGGGAAAAAAAATATTTTGAATTTCCATATTGATAATGCAGCAAACAGAGCTGAGCAGATTTAAGGCTTTGGCAGTTAATAAATACTGAGGTGTGTCTGTGACCCAATAGTATCTTCTTCAAATTGTTTACAAATTGTGTGCACTCGGCATCGAACCTGTCTAGAGCGCGGGAGTGTTGCGTTCCGGACTGTGCGTCCGACATCTGCGGGCGGACACTGGGCTTGAGAGAGAGCAACTCTGAGCATGTGCCACCATTGTACAGTGCTGGGCAGATGCCAACATTTGTGCTGACCCTTCTGTGGACTCCACCGGCCACCAGAGGAGCGCTTGGCACCTTCAGACTGCGAAATAAAGGCCTTCGGTGTGGTGGCCCACGCGCCGATGGTTCAGCATTATCGCGTGTTCTTCCGAGAGGAACTGAGCCGCTGAATTCGCGCACTTGCTTCTGTTGAGGATTGCAAGCCTGAAAGCAGCTCAAGGCAGTCTTATCCTCTACTCAGTCCATGTGCCACACACATGCTTCAGTATAAACCCTTGAAATTATTTTCTTTCAAGCTTTTTTTTTTCTTCTTTCATCACTTTTTGTTTTGCAATTCTTGCTCTACATCGAAGCTAACCAAATTTAAATATTTGTACGAACACCGAAGCGTCTTGTGACACACAATATATTGGAAGATTCATTCAGATATCAAATATTTCAGTTGGTAGCATCATTACGAGCTTGGTGCTGCTTGCACGAGTGGCAGGAAGCTTTAAGGAACGGAACAATTTTAGGCTCCGACCCACGTCCACTACCACAGGATCGCAAGCCGCGGTTCTGTTCTCATTGTGAAGGCAATTTATCGAAAGTGCAGAGATAACGAGCACTTAAATTGGTGGCGGTGAGGAAGCATTACACGCAAACAGCAAACTCCGTAGCTTCCCATGCACACCACGAGAGGTTTCGTACCAGTACAGAACTAGAACGCGCAATAATGCGGAGCAGGCAGCGCACGGGCCGCCACGCCGAGCGCCTTGATTTCGCAGCCTGGAGGTGCCGAACGCTCCTGGGGCAGTCTGCAGGAGGGTCGACACAAACAATGGCATCCGCCCAGCGCTGCACAGTGGCAGCCCATGCTCGGAGGCGCGCTATCTCGGGTTCAGTGTCCGCCAGCAGATGTCGCAGGCGCAGTCCGGATCGCACCGCTCCCGCGCTTTAGACAGGCTTGATGGCGAGTGTACACTGCAGTCAAGGCTGCATGCCTTTTCCCTTGGCAGAGCAGTGTCTTTGTATCGCTATACTTGTTTTCACCTCAAGAACCGTGGTAAAAAAAGTTTGGCTCCTTGCTGAGCATTACTAATTTGCCTCTTTATTTATTTATATATTCTTGAGTTGAGGATGCCCACCAACAGCTAAACGCCTTACCAGTGGTACACCATAATACATTCACAACGAAACAAGCAATACGAACACTGCAGTAATAAAAGTACAAAGACAACATTGAAATGCAGATGTCGTACGCCATTTTTGCTACAATATGTTCTGAAAATCGCAAAAAATTCATAGACATCTTTAGCAGGTGACGCCAAATTGTTGTACAAGGCCATCATTATTGTTAGAGGCAAGAGGTTAGAATGTCTAGGAACACAAAAAAGTTCAATATATCTCAAGGAGCGAGATGGTACTCGAAGGCTTATATCGGTTAACAAACCTGGGCAAGCTACTTCGTCATTCAATAATTTATGCAAAAATAACAAATCTCGAATATCTTTTCTCTCTGCAAGGGTGGTCATTTGCAATATACAAAGTAGCCAGTTATAATCATAGTAAACTTTTTACCGAGGTGTCGGTCGTAAATTAAACGGATAACGCGTCTCTGAACTCCTTCAATGCTCTCCAATCTAGACAAAGTCAAGTAATTTCAAGCAGTTGATGCAAATTCCAATCTCGAGCGGACGTAGCAGTTCTACAGTACTATTGCAGTGCGCGGGTTTTTTAAGTCCCGTGTACTTCTGGACACCATGCCAAGCATTTCACCGATGAAGCAACTACAGCATTGACATGTGCTTCCATTCGAAGGGTGGAATCCCATAACACACCGAGATCACAAATTTCATATTTCCTTTCTATTTCACACTGGTTCAGCATATAAGAATACGTATGCACTATATTTTTTTCGGTTAAATGTAATGACGTTTTTTTCTTGAATTTAACATAAGACAATTATTTGAACACCACGCACTCACCGCATTAATATCACTTTGTAATTGCAAGCAATCTCCAGGGGTCTCAATTTTGTGGAATAGTTTTACATAATCAGCATACTGCAACATCTGAGAAAACTTTATACTGTTGAAAAGAGTGTTGGAAAAATGATGTATAAAAGGGACCAAGATTTGATCCCTGAGGCACCCCAGATGTAGCGACGTATGGATGAGACATGACTCCTTGAATGCATACAGAATCCGCACGTCCCGACACGTAACCTCTAAACCATTTTGTGTACCTCTCGCTTACGCCATATTTAGACATCTTAACTAAAAGCAATTTGCGATTGACCATTTTGAATGCTTTCGTCATGTCTAAATAAATTACATCATCTTGGCTCTTGTTTTCTATTATTGGAGCGCAAAACTGCATAAACTCACGAAGGTTTGTTTCTACCGATCTGCCCCTTATAAAACCATGCTGAGCAGGATGAATTCTGTGTTCAAAAAAACGATACATTCGTGTACAAAGAACCATTTCAAAAACTTTTGATAGATTAGACAGCAATGACACCGGCCTATAACGTCTCTTATCGATTGGGTCTCCCGATTTAAAAACGGGTACAATAACAGTGGCTTTCCGTGCGGCAGGGAATGTCTCTGACCTTAAAGACAAATCAAAAATGTATTTAAAACAGGTGCGAATATGCAACAACAACGTTATAGGATAAAACCGGGGATGCCGTCAAGACCCGTAGATAGCTTTGGCTTGAGTTTCCCTACTGCATCCATTATTTCCGAAATCCTGACTTCCTCCACTACCATTCCATCCCCACAACTCCAAGGAGTGTGCAAAGTGTCAATATGTGGAGATTCCGATGAAAAAGATGAACTAAAAAACTCGCAAAACTTCTGAGCGACATCTGGTGGGGAGTGATAATTGCAACCCTCTTCAAAGTAATATCCTGTTGAGGTTTTTTTTGTATATTTATGTAGGGTATTAAGATCTATGTAAGTGTTATCTTATCAAGACATACACATTTCAGATGCCAGAAGCATCGCTTCTTCCTCCAAATACCAAATCTTCCAAGAATTACTTTATGTGCCATATGCGCAAAACTTCCTTTTTCCTTGAGGTGAAAACAAGTATAGACTTGTTTCTAATAGGGCTCCCAATTTCAGAATCATCTTAAAGTTTCTAGCAACATTTTGCGGTCCTTTTATGCATTTGGCTCCTTTTAGGGAATTTTTCACGCTCAAAATTATAAAAGCTGGAAGCACAGATGTGCCACCTTATTTCATTATTTATGGAAAGCAGCAGCCTTCGAATAACAAGGTTTTCTGGCCTGCCTTAATTTTTAGAATCGTCTTTGTTAAGTATTTTTTATGTGACCACCAAATCAAGTTTTCACCTAAAAAACTATCATATAAAAAGTTTTTTTTTAAATATTATAATTTAAAAAATATTTTTTTTTTCCTCTGACAACATATTTTTCTAAGAACTATTTTATGTGGCGTATGAGCTATGTGCAAAAAGCTTTTTGTTGAAGTGACCATGAGTATGCAACATTTCTAAATGCTTCGTGTTTAAAAAGAAAATGCTGTCTTGCATTGCACAAAGCTTCTATACCTGTTCTTCACCTCAAGAACCGTAGTAAAGCAAGTCCGGCTCGTTGCAGAGCATTACTGATTTCCCCCTTTATGGGGATAATTAAGATATATGTAAATGCATTATAGGTTATATATATGTTATCTTATCAAGACGTACACATTCCAAATGCCAAAAGCATTGCTTTTTCCTCCAACAACCAAATCTCGTTTAGAACTACTTTGCGCCGCTTATGAACAATTTTCAAAATCTGCTTTTTTCTTGAGGTGAAAACGGGTATAAAAGAGCTTATTTTTTAACACCCTTGTATTCAAACATATACTTCTCGAAACACACATTCCGCTCACTTTAAAGAGAAAAAAATATCCATAACGTTAAGAAGGCTGTCAAAAATTTAGATTTAATGAATCTGCTTGTTTATAGTAGGACACACGTGATTTCTGGTGGGGTGCCATTTTCACGGATGAAGGGCTTTAGGCCAGTTCTGGAAGATGACTGGGCGGGTTTTGTGCCAAGGAGCCATCCGCTTGTATTTCAGATGAACAGTGTGCAATAAAACGCATACCGAGCTAGGGCTTTTCAAAAGCTGAGGGTTCCAGCAAACCAGAAGCTAGTAGTAATACCAAAAGGGATCATGGAATAAATCTTAGTTTTTGACTTAGTAGCCACCGGACAAAAGCCTGGTGCTCTGTGAATGTGAAAGGAGTGTTTATCTTTTGCCTCGTGCCCAATGTTTTTATGGGGAGGAGAAGTGAATGGAGTGGGTACTTTCTTGGCTGTTTCTGGAAGTGGAAGGCTGCATGTCTTCTTGTCACATTCCACAAGTCGAGATAATGCTTCTAGCTCAGGCTCCTGCATTGAGGCTGAGCTAGTAGTTGAAGCTAGTATTCTCAAATGCCATTCACCCGAGAATATGCCATTCTTTGTTTCATCCTTAATGGTCTCTCTCTTGTTTTGCAGATAGCAGGCAACCACAGTACAGTGTATGAAGCATACTACCAGCAGGTAAATCACAGTCTGCGTTCTGTTGGGGTCATTGCACAAGTCTTAGAAAGTATGGTGTTTCTAAAAGAAACTCTGAAACTTGTTCTAGGTGCGAGGTATGTGCTACCAATTTCGCAGAAAAATGTTAAAAGAAAAAAAGCAACCCTAGCTTTGCTTTTTTTTTGTTTTTTTGCATAGTGATTGGTTTTTGTTACTGTTTCCATCAACAAAGCGTCCATGGAAAACAATGGAACAATAAAACAAAAGTTTCTAAATTATGGTCGGTATCCAAGTAGGGTGTCCATCTTTGAGAAGCACTGGCATTTACCTCTCCTCATAACTTTCATTCTCAGAACTAACAAAATAATTCTCCGACGATATATCGTGGAAACTTTCGGAGCCCTCCTCGCGGTTTAAGTGTCTCCTTGGTTAAAATCACCTTCACCATCACTTGAATCGCTCACATCTTTTCTGTGAAAAGTGGGTGGAGAAAACGCTGCCATAATAACCAATGTGTAAACAAATGTAAAAATGCTCACCCAGAACAAAAAAGGTTGAAAAAAGCACCGTCATTTATGCCATCTTCCGTAAAGCTAAGGACCACGGATGCATGATGCTTACACTCCCAGTGATAGACGGCAGAAGTTCAAACTGTTGGGGTGCCCGCAACAATTGGCCCTAAGTCAGAAATGGGAATCAGAAATGAGAAAAGGGGGTGCCTTGACGCCTGACCACAACTGGAGTATTTTTCTTTCGGGTGACGTCCGACACATGACCCCAAAGGGCTGATCAGCTCGTTTTCGTCTGGTTGTACCACCAGGTCATAATCCTCACAATAAGTTGAATATTTGCTAAAATTTATTAATTCACTTTTTAATTAGTGAAGGTAAATGAATGGTTCCAATTAGAAACTTTCCGAGTGTCACCAAAGACCATTAAATAAATAAATTTTTATAAGTTTGGGGTGCATGGGAATCTGAGTGCTGCATTAAAGTTACCACTTGGGCAATAGGTGCAAGGTTAGTGGTGCAAAAACGTGCTCGTGTGATTTTTCCGTCTTCAGAGATGTGATTGCTGCGTCATTTGTGCCAAACTGCGCCAAAGGGCTTACCCGACTACATTCTGCTACATTTTGCCCAAATGTGAGGAATTTGTGCCAACATTGTGCCAAAGCTTAATTTCACTTTGTTAACACGGAAAATATAATGGCTCAGGCCCCGCTACACGTCTCGATCATCATGGTAGGCTTGTGCGGATGTTCAGAACTTTTTATTGTAGCTGCAAATAACGTACTATCCTTTCTGACCTCTCTGTCAGTGTCAAACACTGATGGCGCTCTTAGTTTTTAGCAATATCTCTTGTGTTTGTAGTCTGCCCTGGTGGTTAAGCTAGCTATGTTGAGTGCGCTTCTGACCATACTCAAGTGTACTGCAGTGATGCGACTACCGCGAAGTAAGCATTGCCATTTTGCTTATCTTGCTTCACAGCAGGGCATCCAAGTGCTAAAGGGAGAGCACTCCTTCTGAGTGGGACGTTAAACACGCGAGTCTCGGTACATAAAAAAAGAAAAAAAGGAACTTTACGCTCTTTGTTGTAGAAGATTTCTGAATAAAAGTGTGGCTATTCTTTATCATAAACTGCGGTGTTCTGGCGGTACCATTTTTCAAATTCGAGATTTAGCGAGGGTACTTGCAAGAAAATTTATATGTACTGCTCTGTAGGTTCATTTTTATTTCAATTTTTATGTTTAGCTGTCACCTATATATAGGTTTTATCCTTTTGAGGTACAGTCGATGGAATAAACTAAAGCGGTGAAGCGGTGGAAGGAAGCTTGGGAATAGCCTTAATGAGTTTCGCTTGATTGTTTTAAGAAGGGATACTTAATGTTCACATGCCAATCTTTGGTATCATAAAGTTCTACATACAATATGTCTTTAATGTTCATAATTCAATGCCAAATTCTTTTGTGTGATTTATCAATTTTAGTTTTATTACCTTTAGAACTTAAATGAAACATTAATTTTTATGCTCAAGGTTATTCTAACATTATTTCAGTGGAATAGTATACTAATCAGTTTACATTTTATTTCATACCTAAAACAACCATTTAGGAATCATAATGTATAATAATCACAGAGGTATGAAGAAAAATTATGTGTGTGCTTGTGCTCCAAAAGTACTTTTTGCTGCTTCATAATGGACTTTTGACTGCTCCGAAAGGTGCTCCAAAATGACTGGGAACAATCACTGCGTCTCTTATCATAAGTGTTTTCACACCCCCAGCATTGTGCCCGTTGCTCGAGTGGTAACTTTGGACCACTACCGCCCTTCTTGCATGCCTTAAATCTTTCTAGAACTTATTTACGGGTTTTTAATGATGCTCAGCAGGTTTTTAATTGCAAAAATTTTTTTCTCCACTAATTAAGAAGGTAATTAACGATTTTTAGTTAATTATCCAACTCATTGTGGCGATTAGCCCCCCTATATTATGTTCCCCTGGCTGCATGATTCACCTGTCCAGATAGTATTGGTGTAGCTTTTACGGCTATTGGACGTGACATCTTACGCGTAAGGGTGTATGTGTGGAAACATTGTGCGACGAAAACAGATATCACTATAACAGCCTACTGCTCTGTGACTATAAACCAGAATGCAATTGTTTTCATGTCATTATGTAGCTACTGTCCTTGATTCGATACCTCAGTCGTTTGAAACGCGCCGTTCACGCCCCTCCTGCACTGACACGGGGTGAAACGGCGCTTTTGTCGAGCCATCCGAGTGCGCGCTCAGTACAGTTCGACTCGTTGTTGCTAGCAGACCAGTCATTCAATTGATTTGTTCCTGGTGTAATCTCAAAGTTGAATAGACATCCACTTCACAATAGGTGCTAATATGCAACTTGTGACAATACTGTGTTACTAATTCCGTGCGAGAGTTGAAAGTTGCTTCTAAATTGACCATCAAGGCCCCTGTCTTTGTTCCTATTGTATATAAGGTACAATCAAAAGTTAAAAGACTGATTTTGTAATGTAAAAAGAAAAGGCAGCTCGGTGATGTGCGTGGAGCAGTGAAGACGGGGACCTCCATGTGTCATTATGCCAAAGGGCATCGTTCTGGGAACATTGAGAGCTGCACTACACAAGTTTTTGTGACCACGAGCACAATGGCGACCTCAGCGTGCACTGCAAACCAGAGCGAGGCCAAACATCAATTCTGCGTCAAACTCGGCAAATCTGGAGCACAGACCTTCGACCTTATGGTGGAAACGCAGCGAGTCGTACAAGGTGTCCTGAGTGGCACTTTCGCTTGAAGAATGGCAGAACATTGCAGGAACACAAACAGAGGTAGGGGAAGGTCGCCCCACCTCTCTCCATTGTTCAGTGATGTTCTGCCATCCTTGAAGCGAAAGTGCCACTCAAAGACTGAAAGGCTCGCACGACTCGCTGCTTTTCCGCCATAAGGCTGTTGGTTCCTTTCAAAGGTCTGTGCTCCAGATTTGCCGAGTTTGACGCAGAATTGATGCTAGGTCCCGCTCTGGCTTGCAGTGCATGCTGAAATCGCCATTGTGCTCGCGGCCACAAAAACTTGTGTAGCACGGCTCTCAATGTTCACAGAACGACGCCCTTTGGCATAATGACACATGGAGGTCTCTGTCTTCGACTGCTGCACACACATCACCGAGCTACCTTTCGTTTTTACGCTACAAAATCAGTCTTTGAACTTTTTGATCGCACCTCGTACTTATCGCTGAAATGTCGAACATAGATAGATCTCATCAAGCCAAACATGATGGTTAAAGAATCATTGAGGTATATCTTCATTCGTTCAAGAGATACGCACTCAACAAGATGGTCACATTACATCTGACGCTGACATGACGTCACCCTTGCCACTATCTTGCGACACGCCCCCGCATGTTAACACACACGAAAAAAGAAAAAGAAAAATCTAATGAACTGCGGTTCGTTTGATTTTTTTCTTTTTTTTTTGTGTGTGTATAAGGAGTGAGTGTACGGTGTGAGTGTACTTTCGCAGTAGTGCACTGTAGTGTGTGTTAATATGAGCAACCAACTTACCCAAGCTGCTGCGCATGTCTACTGTGGCCGCATGCCTCGCACGTCCACTGTGGCGCGGTGATGCGGCTGTCCAGAGGGAACAAGGCATTAATCAAACAAAAGCATTGACAATGAAAGTGAGATGGTAAGGCACAGAAACGAAAAAGCGACCTTACACTAGTTTGGTTTCTTGCGTATCATTTAGTTGTACAAGTTTACCTCATGTTTAATTATTTATTTCGTCCGATTGATTCTGTGACTAACCAATAAATGTATTCCACTTGATACTTGCATTACATTCCAATATTTCCATCACTTACAAATAAATTTGTTACATTAGATAGATGTGTTTCATTTGACTAGACTTAGCACATAGACATTGCCACACCTAAAACTTGCGGCCACGTCGCAAGCTTTAGGCCACCAGTTTTTTTGTTTTCTTTAATTGGATCTGTAAAGCTTAAAAAAACACCCTGCATTTGTCGACTCAGTATCTTACGTGCATGCAACACCTGAAAACATAAAATTTTTAATGTATCATCCTCGACTCATTGCTTGTCTAAATTAGTTCCTGTTGTGTTCCGTGTCTACAGAGGCCTTTTTTTCTAATGGTAGGCTTTTGTGTTGAAGAGTGTTATAGCTGTTTGGTGCTCATGTTGATGCCCGTTGCAACCTGTAGGTGGACCCAGCTGGCATCAATCACGTGGGCGCCTTGGATGCTGCTGCGTTCCTCAAACGATCCGGCCTTCCTGATGGAGTGCTGAGCAAGGTATGTAGCCAACGCAGCAAGGTATGTAGCAGATGTATGTAGCAAAATATGTAGCGGATGTTGACAGAAAACTTCCCATTGGTCGTGGCAAGTATGAATAAATGAAAATAAAAAGAGTGGGCAACCAGCGTGAGTCAGCCTTCCTTGGCATTATTAGATAGTGAGGTCATGATTCCTTGTTATCATCTCTATGCGTGGTCCTCAAGGTCGTCCTTGAGGTTGTCCGAGAGGTCATCCTCTAAACGTCGTCTTCGAGGTCGTCCTCTAGGTGTCCTCAAGGTCGTCCAAGAAGTCATTCATTCTTGAGGTTGTCTAGACGTCGTCCTCGAGGTCGTCCTCTAGGTGTCCTCAAGGTCGTCCAAGAAGTCATTCTTGAGGTTGTCTAGACGTCGTCCTTGAGGTCGTTCTAGACGTCGTCCTCGAGGTCATCCTAATACGTCCTAGACGTCCTCTCGGCATCGTCCAAGACATTGTAAAATTAAATCTTCACGTGAAGTGTAAGGGCTCTACAATATTTTAAAAGTAACTGTATTTGTAGTGATGCATACTTTTTCATTGGAGTAACTCTAGCGGTAAATTTACTGCTTTGATATGAATGTAACTGTAACTAATTACTTATTGAAATTAATTTCCCCAAGACTGGTAAATACTGCTCAAGCAAGCTTCAGTTCTCAATCCCGTTAAAATTCTTTTCCAATTTTAGACTGGCACTTGTTTATTTCTTTGCAGTAGGGGATTTGTGTTTCTTGGAGGTCAAGGCCTCAAAGATTTGAGCACTTTATTTTGTGCGCTTACAGTCTAAAACAAAGGGATGCACACTACATCACTGTCGGCTTGTTCATTGCCCGCAAACTTGAGCTAGGGTGATCTTTATGTCTGAAGTAAGGCTCATGAAATTTAATACAATGGTTATCAATAAATGGTAGGTACATAAAGAATAAAAACGAAGCACAGTTGTTGTTGTTTTTTTTTTTCTTTTTTAGATGTGCAATTAAAAAAAATTCTAATTGTAGAGTTATCAAATTTTGGTAGGCAGAGATCTAACATATTCCACTTGCCTGGTACTAGAACTGAGTTTTCCTAAAAATATGATTAACAGGATTTCTTTTGTGCTCAATAAAATAAAATCACTACCTTCTAACACTTTGTACTTATTAAAAAAAATGGCAATACAAGAGAAACAATTGATTCTAGTTTCATTCAGGCTCAAAGCATAACCACAATTGTGCGAAGAATTTGAGCGAGTATACTGCATACTAGATAATAAAAAAATTACACACGCAAAAATATAATTTTTTTTATGTATTTACAAAGTATAGACAACAATTTTATTAAATTCCACTTTAGTTTTAAAAATGTTTAGAACCCACCTTATTAGTTTCATTTTCAAACTCTCACTTCATCTTAAACAAAATAGTACAGTCAAACCTGATTACAATGAACTCGTAAGCAGTGAATTAAACCCTATATAGAACACGCAAAAATGTATGATTAGTATGCAGGCAAAATATATCTCGCAAATCAAACTGCACAATGGTAAATAGAATTTCTAGCACCTGCGACTGCCAGCAAACACATGAGCTCCTGTACTGAACTTCTGGCATTCGTTTGTTTTTGTAATACAGACGGAGGTTCCTCCTTACCCGGCATGAAGCCTCCACTTTGTTACGCTTTGTCACGCCCTAGCTCCCTTTCAGGTTTCATATTTCCAAACAACCGCGGTGCTTTTCAGCCACTCAACTTAGTTGTTACAGGTAGTTTTGGAACAGGCAGAATTTGGGTGTGTACACAGTCAATGCATTGCAAACCAAGCCTCGGCATCGTAAACTTTGCTTCTCTAGGCCTCCTGCAACTTGCTATTTTGTTCTGCAATCTGGTGCGGTTCATGGTTCAAGATGACGGAGGAGCGTGCCGCTGCTTCTCGCTTCTCAGTGGCACGCTTCTCAGCGGCACGCTGAGGAGCGTGCCGCTGAGAAGTAGCGGCACGCTCCTTAGACCTTGGACAGACTGGACATCATTACTGGATCATACACCGAAACATTGTTGACAAAACAAAAAAAAAAAGATCTAGACAGGACGTGGCATAACTTTCAGCTGAATGGTTTATTTAGAAAAATGTACAAATAAATATAAAAGCGAACACGTGCTGGTGAAACACGCCAAGAAAAGGTCTAAACAGACTCCCTAGGAACTAGTAGTGAAATTCTTTCTCAAACAATAAAATGGTGAAAAAAAATGGGACGTCCTGCTTCCTTCTGCGCATCTAGGACTATGTTGAGCACCATCTGCGTGTAATAAACAATTTGTAAAAATTAGTTATAAGCGAGTTTCGCTATAACGAATTATTGGTTATATTGAACGAAACCGGGCGTTTTATACAGCTAGTTATAAACGGGTTTGACCGTAGTTCGGAGATCATTCAAACACATAGCGCCATCCATGCATAAACAACAGATGTCATTGGTTGCTGTCCCCTCCTGCTTGCTTGGAAGCAGCAGTTATTTCGAGCTTGTTTTTTTTTTTCAAAGGACTGCACTGAATGAACACAATCCTTGCAGATTGTGTTCATTCAGTGCAGTCGTTGTTACTCTTAGCGGGGGACGTTGAGACTAACCCAAATAAAGAAGCCATACAGGAGATCCTAAAAAGTCAGAAGGATGTTGCTAAGAACATTAAAGAAATGCGAAAGGAACAACTAAGCCTAAAGGAGTCGTTTAATAGCATTAACAAGCGGCTATCTACTATCGAAGCGACCATTGACGAGGTCAGAGGCACGGCGAAATTTTTTAAGAATTACGAAACTAAATGTCTGAGTTATACAGCACTGTTTCCCACTTGACGTCAGCAATTTCGCAAATGAAAAAGAAGGTTGATGACCTTGAAAACCGTAGCCGATGCAATAATCTAATTGTTTACGGCATACCTGAAGACCCCCGGGAGAACCCTGCTCAACTGAGGCAAAAGGTTTGCACTGACGTTTTTTATGGCATGCTGGACGTAACCGTTACCTCCATTGAAAGGATACACAGACGGGGTTACAGTAGAGGAACTAAGCCACAACCTGTCCTCCCAAACCTTCGTGATTTCAATGAGAAAACTAGTATCTTCAAAAATGCTCGGAAACTAAAAAATACCGGGATTTCTGTTTCCGATGACTACTCCAAGCCAGTCCAGCTACTTCGCAAAAAGTTATGGGACAGAGCAGCCCAGAACAGGGAACACGGAGATAAAGTCACCGTCGTATGTATAATAAAATGAAGATTAACGGTCTTACTTATGAGTGGAACGCTGAAAACGATGCCAAAGTTTTTGTTTCTAAAATAAACAAAACACGAGAGTCTGATGAAGGTATTTTGTCACCTTGACATGACGATTTTTGTTCAAATTAGTTAAAACTGATACATATAAACGCTAGTCTTGTAAATAAAGTTGATCTTGATTGCGTGCTACATGACTATGATCCTAAAGTGGTCACCGTGACGGAAACATGGTTACCCGAGGCAATCACAGATTCTGAGATAATTCCTCCTTTATATAACATACTTCGGAATGACCGAGAATATCGTGGCGGTGGCGTTGCCATAATCTTAAAAAATCGTTTAAATTTTGTAGTACTTGATGAAGTTTTGGAAATTGAGTCACTGTGGCTAAAATTAACTAGTATACTCCTGCAATCGTTATAGGTGTCGTTTACCGACCTCCGAATGCATGTCCATCCTTTCTTGAGGTGCTTACTGATTTTGTTTACAAAATAAAACAAAAACATCCGCACTTTTTGATGGCCGGTGATTTTAATTTGCCTTCAGTTGATTGGGAATCTCTCAGTAGCAGTTCCACGAACTGTCCCAATACTTCCCTACTAATTGACACAGCCTTCAATAATAATCTACTTCAAAACACGTATTACTGCGTCTTCTAATTCCGTACTCGACCTTATGTTCATATCCGACGCGATTGCAGCTTGCAACTATGAATGTAACGTAGTGGAAGGAATTTCTGATCATCTGATGGTGGTGGTTGAAATTTCAACTTCCAGAACTAAACAATCGCCGCGTAAACAGAATAATCCCACGCTTATTTTTAATTTTTCCAAAGCTGAGGATGAGTTCATTATTGACGCGCTGGAACTTTCCCTTGAGACGTTTTTAAATATGTGTTCAGACAGTTGTTCTATTGACCTTCTTTGAGGCTTTTTTAAGGAGGTTGTGCTTGAATGTTTACACAGTTTTGTTCCGATGAGCACTAAAGTTGGCACGCAAGTATAACCCGTGGATAACTCGTGAAATTCTGCTCTTGAAACGGAGAATTATTCGTGTTAGGAAGTGCAACAAATCTTTACCTATCTCTGAAATGAGAAGACAACTTAAAGCAATGATTCGCCTCGCCAAGTTTCGATTCAATAGTGTCACTCTGCAAACATGTTTGAAAGAATCGCCTAATAAATTCTGGAGGGCGTTATCGCCGGCCCGAAAAAAGATTTCCACACTTTTCATTTGAGACAGCCTATGAGACGATAATAGCGCTATCGCAGAAGGTTTTAACAAATATGTTGCGTGTGTCTTCACTATGGATAATGGCACCGTGCCTTGTTTTGATCAGCTGTCCGCTTTATCAACGTTACCTGATATCATTATCTCTACAGAAGGAATAGTCTCAGCTCTGCTTAATCTTCCAGCAAATAAAGCCATTGGTGCTGACGGTATTCCAAATTCATTTTTGATTCGCTACGCTGAATGGTGCTCGAAATATCTTTACCTTATTTTTCAAAGGTCTTTAGCAGAATCTGTCATTCCTGCTGAGTGGAAATATGCAAAAGTAATTCCCGTTCACAAAACTGGCTCCCTGCTACTTCCGGTAAACTATAGGCCTATTTCATTACTTCCTTACTGTTCGAAACTGCTAGAGCATATTGTTTTTAAACACCTCGCGAATTACTTAGAAAACAATGCTTTTTTATTTTCAAATCAACATGGCTTCCCTCATGGCCTTTCTACTACGACACAGTTACTTGAAACAGTCCATGATTTCACAAATATCCTGAATCGATCCAAACAAATTGACGTCATATTCCTAGATCCTTCTAAAGCTTTTGATAAAGTATCACATAGCAAACTTCTCCTTAAACTTAAATAAATTGTTCAAAACAAAGGTATCTTTTGCTGGCTCGAGAACTACTTACAGGACAGAAAACAGTATGTACAGATCAATTCGAGTGAATCATCACTAGTCCCTGTTTTATCAGGTGTTCCGCAAGGGTCGGTCCTGGGGCCATTACTGTTCTCAATTTTTATAAACGATTTAACCGCTAATATTCCAGTACGTGTTTGACTGTTTGCAGACAATGTGGTTTTATTTACAGAAGTCAATGAAATAGGTACTAATGACCAGACTCTACTAAACACCTGCTTGTCCAAGATGACGCACTGGTGTGACTCATGGCAGATGTCATTGAATGTCAAGAAGTGTGTTCGAATGCATATGACTTGTAAATTAAGCCATCTTTCTTTCAATTATTCCATTAATAGTACTTCACTAGCCGAAGTTACTTCTTATAAATACTTGGATGTCATTATATTGAATGACCTACGTTGGAACACTCATATCATGCCTACTGCGCGCAAAGCACTATCCAAGTTATGGTACTTAATACGAAATTTAAAACATGCCTCATCCGACAATAAATTGACAACCTATAAAACTTTTATATTACCCATCCTAGAATATGCTTCGGTGGTTTGGGTCCGTTTACAAGTACCAACATAAACGTCCTTGAAAATGTTCAAAGAAAAAGTCTACGCTTTATTCATAATAAATTCCTACGAAAATATCTCGTCTCTGAACTGTACGATTTATTAAGCAACCGGTTCAAAATCAACATCTCTAAATATATTTCACTTGCACCTCAAAATTATCCTGTGCGAAGTTATCATTGCAAAACACTCAAAGAATTCTGTCAGATTAATGCGTTTAAGTATTCTTTTTTTCCAAGGACTGTTCACGACTGGAACTCCCTGCCAAGCGATATAATAACAGCATCACCAGAGTCGTCCTTCTTTAATAAACTCTGCGATTTTTGTGATTCTTGTATCTGATGCTCCTTTATTAATTTTTTACAATGAAGATAGTCTTTGTATAACGTATATGTTTAGTCCTTCGTGTGTTTTTGGATCAGCTAGAACGAATATCCTTGTGCTTGTTACCTGCTGTTTTTTAATTATTGTTTTTGTGTACCATATGTTGTAAACCACTCCTACCACGTCTCCTGAAATAGGAGACAGTAGTATCAATAAATAAAAAATAAATAAATAAAACTTCATCTTAGACTAAACTGCCAAAAGGGCTACAGGCACGAGTGTTAATGGTGATGCTTATTGCATGCCTAAAACACCATAAAGGCTTTGAAATTATTGTTAACAGCAAAAGTCAGTTCAGCAAAAAATAAAAAAAAAACAGTAAATCTAACGTGCAAAGTTAGACGCATTCTGGTATTTGAAAGTAAAATAAAGCGTGGAAAAGAAAATATGCTGAGGGAGGCTATGCAAAGCATGAGTTCGTCTGCCTCTTTTTTTTTAGGGTTTGTGGCGACGTTAGAATGCTGAGCTCTGGTCGACTCCAATTGAAGAATAGTGGGTAGACCTCAATGCAAGCCGCCTAGGTCTGCCCACTATCCTTCAATCAGAGTTTTCTGAAGTCGCAACAATTCCTGCAAAAGAAGCAGACAAACTTAAACTCCGGATTGCAAAAAACCTGCATTTGATAGGTAGCTTTCTAGCTAGTGCTTTTGCCGTGCAACCATTTGTGCAGCTAAGGCATAATCTAATGAAATAGATTTTGTATTTATGGCTTCTGCTGCAGTTCATTTTAAAGGTACTGTACTGTAATATCAAGTTGGCCAAATGGAGAACATCTAGCATGAAGGACTGACAAGGACACAAAAAGGGCGGGGCTAGCACCATACCCCTGCTTAAGGGGAGACACTGCCCAGAAAAAAAAAATTTCTGCAAAAAGAGTTGATTTTGAAAAATTACATCTTTACATCCACCGACATCTAGAGAGTATTCCCAAAAAGTTTCATTAATTTTCACTGTATAGTTAATTTTTTATAAATTATTTTCTGTCCACCAAAGCTATAGAAAAGGTAGGGTTTGGAGCACTTTGAACACATTTTTCTCCGTTCCACTTTTTGGTATAAATTCCATTTTAGTCAATCTATCGTTTGATAATGGCAAAACAGGGAAAGCTCATTCTTCCCTTTTCCTGACTGAAATTTAATAAGGAGTGCGGCTATGGAACTTTTTCGTTACTTTACGGATGTCTTTTGTAAAAAATGTTGACATTTTGTCGAAGGCACAGAAGACCAAAAAGTTGACCAATTTTGCAGAAGAGAAAATTTATAGAAATAAATTACTTTTTAGAAAAAAATGCTCCATAGCCGCATCCTCTAGGCATTCTGCTACATATCTAGCAAATAAAAATTTTTAATATCGCAACAGTTTTCTGACGATAGATTAACTAAACAATGTAGGCGTGTTGCTGATAGAAGCTACCCTTATTTCCTTCTCATTTAACCGACAGACCTGAAATTTTGTTATACACCCTCTAGCATGACCACCAGCCTACCCTGTAAATTTCATTAATTTTAAGACAAGGGTTCAAAAGTTGACCCCCCTAGGGGGTGTGCCCCCTTAAGATGTATAGATGTGGATGCTGCATACGTTGTAGCTGCGAGGTAAAGTTTTTCTCACCTCAGTTTCGTGCGGCACCGCCGGATGACTCTTCAATAAGTGGCTGGCGGTAGCCCGTCACGGGCCTGGTTTTTCACGCTTCTCTATGCGAGAGGCTCGTTTTTAAAGTGTTTTTTTTTAGGTGTGCCACGTCACGTAGAACTGGGCACTTGCGCTACTCATGTTGCTTAGACGCAACTTCGTCATTAACCCCGGTTTTGTACCTGAATGGCGGCAAGAGCAGTTTTACGAGTGCATCGAACGCTTACCCGACTGGTGCGTTTGGCGTCCCATTTTCCGCCCATGTTTCGAAAGTGGTCCCAAAGCGGCAACAAATGACGTCGCAAAAGCCGGAGTGCTACGCTGCCCGATGTTACGATCATGGTGGTTGGGCGCGCAAGTTCCGGATAAAAGTACGAGGAAATGCGGGTGTCGCTGTCGTCACGGCATCCCAACTCCTGGCTGTCGAAAATTCCGTGGACCTTCGTGCTGGGGAGTGACAGTTCGACGGAGGGACCGCTTTTTTGGAGGGTGGAGGGACCGCTTTTTTTGGACGCGGTACACGCACTGGTCGGAGACGCATTGCGGGAAGTGTATTTCGATGCCGTGATCGCCCGACACGAAATGTATCCGTAATCCAATGCCTTTGTCATTCCTGCCGCAGATCTGGGACTTGGCGGATGCGGGTGGCAAGGGTTTCCTCGACAAGCGGGGCTTCTTCGTGGCACTGAAGCTGGTCGCGCTGGTACAGAGCGGCAGGCCGCCTTCCACGGCGCAGCTGGGGGTGCCGGCACCACCGCCATGCATGGTGCAGGTTCTTTCTTGGCTCACTTTGGCTTTCCTCTCTTTGGAGGAATGGATGAATGGATGCTAATGGCTGTATTCTTTGTAATGGGTGGTAGCTTGCACCGCCTAGCCTATAGCAGTGTTTGCCACGCCCGAGTATATTTAGCCACGTCGTGGTGATTCAGTTTGGTTTGCTCTCTGCCCCTTCCGAATGGGCTTTCATTTTTTACTAAGCGTGTAGTGATACGTGCAAGCGAGTGATGAAAGCATTGTTTTACTTTGTAATGTTGGACGGCGCATAGTTTGTTTTTGGTTAGGTGTCTTGTACATTGGTATGGTCGTTCGTTGTTGCAGAATGGCGTATCTATGTTGTTTAAACTCTGGCTGTATGGCAAACACGCAGATCTAGAAATTAGTAATTAACTCGCAATTCGACGACTGTGATAAAACAAGGAAGTTATGGTTCCGAATAAGCAAAGGCTGAGCAAGGTCGCTCCAAAGAGTGACCTTGAAGTTTGAGGTTAAGCTGCCACTGCGCAGTACAGGGTCTTCAAAAGTACAATACGAGAAAAATGCAGCAGCAGACATTGTTTAACATCTTGCCCATGAAATAGTGTATATTTTATTAGTAAATATTTTTTGTGGAGCATGCTACAGTATTACTGAGAACAAAAATTGCATTCGGCATGCGGGGAAAAAAGGTACCCGGCAATTAAAGGGTTAAGTAGCGAGTTTTCCCCAGCCACCCATTATGAACCAAGCAACCCCTTGGTATGTGCATACAATAAAGCAAACTCTAAAATTATTATTTTTTTTTTTTTTGCTGTAGATATGGTTTTTGAAGGAAGTGAAGTTGGGATTTGCACAGCCGTAGCAATGCCATGCTGTCGTCGTCAAAGTTTAGCGGGCTAACGTCCGAATAACGTTCGCAGTCTGTCAACATTGCGGTTTATGCGACCACGTGGTTGGACGTGCGTCGGGGCACGACGCGACATGGAACGACACGAGTCGGTGTCATGTGACTCGCGGGGAGAAGTTGCGGCGTCACGTGACTTTGCACTGTCACTCTGCCTAAATTTGTGTGCATATTGCCTTTGCATTCTGCATGCCAACATCCGGATAGTAGATCAAAGGAGTGCCCCAATTTATTTTTCAATTTCGACTGTAGTTTGGGAAGTCCAGTTCTGACAGAATGACAATGCCTGGGAGGAGTTTTAGTTTTCCCGGCTCCAGTGCCAACTTCCTACTGTAAAATATCGAGCAAGCGCCCACTCAAAGTATGAAGGTAATCGCCAAAAAATAGGGGAGGGGCCCACGGGGGGTCATCAATTTCACATAATATGTACTGTAGATATCTTTTCAGATGTTTCAAATATTGGGGGTGACCGCCTAGTGCGGAATGGGCGGATGCACAGTATTCTACGGTAACTTGGATGCCAGCGTCTCGTGAGCATGGAGCGGGGAAAAAGACAAGGAGCGCGTTCTGGGAGCCAGGCATTTGTAAGGCACGCCGTTCTCAGCCTGTCAGCAACTATTATAACTGCGCGTCGTAAAAAGGCGACGGCTGCGGACCTGTCGTCCGAATCTCGAGCGGTAACGAGAAGTGGTTGGCATTTTCAGGCCGACCAGGTGAGGGGAGGCAGTGCGGACTGGTCCATCAAGGTAAGTTAGACGTGTTGGTGGAGTCCGTCACGGTTTGTCAGAAACCGCGTCGGTGCTACAGTGCCCGGAACGAGTCTCCAGCCGGTGTGTTTACCGTGTGCTCAAATGTGGTCCCTAGATTGATGCCCGACGACTTCAAACTTGTACGCTTGGGAATGATTAAAATTACGGGAGCATGCTTAAGCTTCGCCTTTAAGAGGGGAACGCTATAGCTAAACATAAACCCCCGCTCGTTCCCAAGCCATGCAAGCGTGTCTGCGTGGCCCAGTCGGTAGTGTGTCAGGCTCGCAACTGAAAAGTCATGGATTCGAATCTCGCCTCCGCCTAAAATTCTTCAATTTTTTGCTTCAAGGCAAATGAATTACTTTATAAAGTGAAATCACTTGAGACATGCGGCGATTTTTAATTTATACGTTTTAATTACTTTCATTATGACCGTGACGTTTCGCGTGAGCGTTGTGGGTTACTTGAAATTCCCGCACGAGATCATGTGGCTGTGATGACATGGCCGTATCGACCAATCAAGATTTTTCCGTCCCACGCCACTGATGCCGGCTCTTCTGCGACATGAGCTCCTTAAAACTTGCGCTTTAAAGAATGGAGGTTGTCCAACTATGCTCCAATAAGAACCCGACGTTTCGAGGTCTACTCGGCTTCTTGGGGGGTGATGGCCATTGAGGGGCACTATTTTTGTTTTCGTCTTCTTTTACGAAGATGCACTCCTTTCTTAATCGGCGACGTCTCCGAGCACGTAGACGTAGATGGATGGTGAAGCGCAGAGAGAGAAAGATGAAACTTTGTTAGGCCCAAAGATTATGAACAGGGGGCCTTAGTCCAGGGCCCCTCTAGTGGCATACTCTAGATGTAATCGGCCAGGCAAAATTGATCTGAGAATGAGAAGCGCAGAGGCACCTACAGACTACGGTGGAAAACCTCAGTGCCTTACCATCCGTCTACGTCCACGGGCTTTGAGACATCGTTGATTCAAAAAAGGAGCTCGCCGCCGTAGAGGAAAACGAAAATACCGCTCTCGACGGTCGTTGCCACAGTCGCCCCCGGAGAAGAGGGAGTCTATTTCGAAACACTGGGCTTGCATTAGGGCTCGGTGGGACGTCCTCCTTTTTAATTATTCTTCCACACAATCGGGCAGATCTCTGTCAGATGTTCACGTTTGAGCATCTGTTCGCTCACGTCGTGCTGTTGCCCACCACGATCTTGGCAGTGGCTCGGCAGTGGAAGGGGAGGTGGCAGACGGTGGTTCTGCTTTAGGTCACTTTCCCACTTGGCATTTCACGGAAGCTTCGGCGGCCAGAACTCGGGACCCTGCAACTACGGCCACCGTTGCGTCCACTCGCCTTTTTTGCCATTGTGCCGTTGGATCAAGACGTGCCAATTGAGTAATGTGTCGCCTCTAATCACTTTCGACGTATAGGACAGTAAACGCGTCAGTCGAAGATGCGTTCCAAGCACCTTAGCAGTTTTGTGATGCCTCGAGCGCATTTCAGACTTAGGTGTTTAACGTATGTTGCCACCTGTCCGGATTTTGACTGGCACGGCCGTTTTATTTTTGGATAGAAGGCCGGTTGCTGATCTGTATCTAAATTCAACCATCATTTGCCACTTTTTTTCAACTATCCGAGTGCAATCTAGGATAGTTGATCATTTTTTTCTTAGGGGGGTGAAGGGGGGGGGGGGGGGGGGGTTATAAATATATTCTAGACCATCAACGTCGGGTATACAGTCGAACCTGTTTATAACGAACAGCAGGAAACGCTACAATCAGTTCGATATAGCAAGTAATTCGATATAGGAAAAAACATTTACAACAAACTTTTACGATGCGTTCGTTGTAAGGCGAGAGCTTTTCCTTCTTTCTCATCTCATCGCTTCCACCTTGTAACAACGGGGTGGAAAGATTTCTTTTTTCTTTTTTGCATGCGTGCATGGTTTGTTTTTTAGCTTATCTCTCCTTCTGAATCGCTTCGCTTCGTGGAAAACCGTTATGGGGATGAAAAGTTTTTTTTTTTTTTCTGTGCGTGTGTACAGTGTATTTTTTAGATTTCTACCCTTCTGAATCGCTTCTCTTCACTCAATTATCTTTGCAACTTGAGCTTTTGGAATGTTCTTTCTTTCTTACTTTTTTTTTGGGGGGGGGGGGAAGGGAGAGGCTAGAAGACGATTGTTTGCACGTTTTTAGAAACCTTCCTTGGGGAAAAAGTTTGATATAGCCAATATGTTGTTCGTTATAAAAATTAATTTTTACATGCATTTTTATTTAAATTTTCCGTGAGTTCGTTATCAACAATAATTCGCTGTACGTGGGTTCGTTCTAAATGGGTTTCACTGTATAGGCGCACATGCATCATCTATTTTTAAGCATATGTTGTAAATATTGTCCCGGTCCGTGGAATTGTTTATTTAGTTGCAAAGAAAACATACTTTTCGTAAAAGCCTGGCACATTTTCTATTCAGTGTAGCACGTATAGAGTCTTTGCGATTTACCTAAGGGATCAGAGAACGGCGGACAAGACACCACTTTGAATCCGAGGACGCAGTCTTTTTGTAATTCATGATTCGAGAGGTATGAAAACATGCTCACATTACACAAATTCACGAATAACCATGAGCTTTTACACAAGGTCGTGACGGTGCTCGTTGTCTATACGCGCATTTCGCTACCAAAAACTCCAAAACCAGATTCTTTAAAATGATAGATTTACGATTGAAATCTGCACAATGATGCTCAGTCTTGGAGCCATTTTACTCTAAGCATTTATTTGCAGTCATTTATACGTAAACTCTAATGATCAGTTTTCCATCTGCTGCACAGGATGAGTAGAGGTGCGAGATTTGTTTTTTTGGCACTTTTATTTGATTAAATGGTATGCCTCTATGTGTGTTATTGAGTTCAGTGTTGCGTATTTGTGTACTTACATACACTATGAATAGGGCCACGTGTTTTCGGATAAATCCGAGAAACTCCGAACAACACCTGCCGGTAAAATTTTTGTCAATTCTAATTTATCTGATAAACTCCGAATTGTTATGTGCCCATGCCAGCCCCCCCCCCCCCCCCCTTCCCCCTCCACAACAAAAAAAGAAAAAAGTAATTTTTCTTTTTTTTTTTTACATTTTGAGCAGCGCAGGATCAATGGTCCTGGGAAAATGACACCATAAATATCTTTCAAGCCTCGGACCGTTGTCAAAAGGGGGTCTTAGGGCTTGCCTCGTCAAGGTTGGTTCAGGGAAACATTTGTGTCACGACAAAAGCCACTTTTGGTTTCCAGTTTGGGCCATGGGATTTGGGATTTAGAGAAAGGAGAGGGTATGTTTCTGGGGGGTAACAGTGAAAGCTATGGACCATAGGGATTGTATAAAATAGGGAAGAGGGGCAGTTGAAACTTCTCTATTACATCCTTAACCACTCCACCTCGCGCGGCCGCGGGATAGATTGATGGGATGACTACGAGCTTCCTCGCGGCTACCTCCGGCAGTTTGTTGATTGTAAGGTATCGACGTCTATCGAAGCCACACTTGTGTGCGATTTTTGTCGTGGGACAAATTAGCATTGCCAATGACACCAACGCCAAATTCAACTGAAGAAATCTTAATTGATACAAGCGCGTTTTATTTTTTATCTGGCATACGTCTGCATCCGGTTATTATTTATTTTTTAATAGGAAACACTGCGAAATTAATTTTCGAATTTCGGAGAATTGAGGATTTACGAAAAATAAACTCTGATAAACACAGAATTTTTGCTAAAAAATAAACTCCGAAAAATACCCTCCGAATTTCACGAAAAATAAACTCAGAAAACACGGAGCCCTAACTGATGTGTTAATAGATCTGCGTTAAATCGAGAGACCACATTTTAGGACATGGTAAATAGTCCGAGACGCGTTAGATGCACCATAGCAGCACTGCATGCTTTTTGTCCCCGAGGGAACTGCCTCCCTGTCAAACATCATTGTCACAGATTGAAACGTGTGGTTGTTCGCGTCCAGTTTCCGGTTTCATTAGAGCTTGCTGTCGGAAGTTGATTCATTTTCTGCCTGCTTCGTGAGTGAAGGTATGGGTGCGCCTGATCTCACTGGATCTTAATTACAAAAGCGCAAAAAACAAGGGTAGGGCAAAGAATGAACAGGACAAGCGCTTACTAACGGTTAGTAGGCGCTTGTCCTGTTCATTCTTTGTCCTGTCCTTGTCCTTTGTGCTTTTGTAATTAAGATGTTTAACCAACTAGCCTAACAGTTAGTTTTAACTCACTGGATCCTGGAACTGTTGTGATATTGCCTCTCCTGCCTGCTAGCAAGACACATCCAGATACTTACGTTCGGACAACAAAAACCTCGTAAGGCGATTGGCTGAATATTGCCTGTTGCAATGGCGATTGCCATTTCGGTCCTTTCAAATTTTCGAAGCTTCGAAAGGATCATTCCCGTGCAGTCGCGCCAAGGTTGCGATGCCACGTTATCGTACTTAAAGCGTTCCTCACCAGTATTAGCACCTTGGCACTGTATACGACCTCAACTTATCATGCCACCTTATTTCCACAGATCTGTTTTAATTGTATTTTTTCTTTGTGCGTAATTTGTGGCAAGAAAATTATTTTTCAATGCCACATTGACTCCACATGTGTTGGTGGTGCGGAAAGATATGTGCTTGTTTCTGCGGTGTCTCTGTATACAAAGAATGCCTTCATAAAGCAAAATGTCACCGCAAATTTTGATCAGCTCGCCCAGAAAGAAGAAACTGCTCATTTTATGGACCAAAATGGTAACTGTACAAAGACCTTGGCGCTACTTTCCCACAATCCAGTGACTTTAGGGGTACCCACGAATTATCCGCGGATTGAATTGGGTCGATGCGGCCAAGATTTCATCTTGCTTTGCAGACAGGGAATGGAACTTATAGTCTGTTGCAACCTAAGAACGAAGGGCGAGGGTAAGACGGGCCGGGGAGGAGGAAGCAGACGGAACGCTAAAGAGAGAAGGAGGTTTCCCTCACTCTTCTCCAGCGTTCCGTCTGCTTCCTCCTCCCCAGCCTGTCTTACCCTCGCCCTTCGTTCTTAGGTTGCAACGGACTATACATAGGGTGTTCCACAGATGCCAGTTGGACGAGACAGTCAAAGTTTGTACATTAGATGGGAGTGTGAATGTTTTAGATGCACAAAGTTGCTCGAGATAGCACTGGCTGATACCATGATGCGTAGGCACCTCATGTCTGCCTCCTAGCCATACCTAAAGAAGTCATTTTTAAAGTCCGATTTTTTTTGGTCAAAAACTCTGAAATTCTTAAAAATAAAAAATAGGGTGGTTAAAAAAAACAAAAAACCTTTCAGCAACGGCGGACGTCAGGGATTGCAGAAAGCATACTAATTAGCTAAATGATTTAGTAAAACTTACTAATCAACTTTTTGATTAGGGAAGTAAACGTACGGTTGTGAGTTGGAAATCAGCCGAGCATCGTCGAAAACCATGAAATCAACTCCTTTGAGAAGGACATCAGGCAGGTGCAGCTTTTTACGGCATTCCGAACAAGAAGTCATTTCGACTCAATTATATGTTTCAGTTTCCTATCAAAGCTTCTCTTTGCGCCCGTTATTCTGCCTGCAGGTGGCAAAGTGTGCTATACTTCCTTCCATCCTAGAGGGAGGCGAGACGGTAGCTTCGGCTCTTTGGCCGCATGGGAGATGCACCACTAGTGCAAAGATGCGCTCTGATGGGAAATTGAAACCTAGAAACGCATCCACATTGAGAGTTTCTTTGGAATGCTGTAGTAAGTACCTGCTTTGTATCTTTCTAAAATGAGTTCATTTAGTGGTTTTTGATGATGCTCAGAAAGTTTCTAATTGGAACCATATGTTTTTCACTAATTAAAAAGCTAATTAGTAAATTTTCGTTACCTATTTAGCTAGTGGTATGTTTCTTGCTCTCCTAACATCTGGCATAGCTGGCAGTTGGTTCCCGGAAGAAGTTTCTTTTCTCTCAGCCACTCTATTTTTAGCGATTTTTTAGTCTTCACTAAAGCTCCCGGCATGTACTTGGTTGGGGTGTCCTTTTTAAGACTGCCTTCCAACTGATAAGTTTGTGTTTGTTTGTCTGAAATCTCAAATATGCTTCATACTTTATCTTTGCTTCCTTACCTTAACGTCCCTAGAGATAGCCCACCTAAAATCAAGAGCTAATCTCATGAAACAGGGATTTGGCTGATGTTCAATGTATAACCAAAAAAAGTGAAAAAAAAAAAAAAAAAACTTGTAGCAAAAGAATGCAAAGGTGTGTTTGCACTTCATTCACTCACCCTCAAAACCTTTAAACGAGCAGTCGCTACTACTTTCAAACAAAGTGTCGACCAGTAAGACGGATCTTGTGATTTTTCAAGCTAGCTATCGCACCAGGGGGGCTACATACCAAAAGTGACTGTTCTGCCTCAGCATTTATGGCCTGCCTAACTGTCCTCGTTTCTGCCTAGGTCACCATTGGCCCGGGCAGTGGAATTCCTAGAAGTGGGCTATCTTTTGGTGTTTTGGAAAAAATACCTACTAATGGTGACAAAAGTAGGGAAGAGTTATAATTCGGAGATATTACGGTAGACATAGTTACCTAAAAATGTTATCAGCATTGTGTTTTGAGCAGCATTGAGCATCCCCTCCTAATACTATGTGCGCCAAACGTTGTGCATCGTCTTTGACATTGGCACGCCAACTTTTTTGTTCCTCCAAAACATTTACTGAACACAACTGGAGTGTTCTGTGGCTCCTATGTTTGTTTTCCCAGTTTCTGCACACTTCCACGGCACATGCATGCATTTCAATTGTTCTGAGTTTTTTTTTTTTGGTCGTTGATTTGGTGTTGGAATGTTTGTTGCAGCCCCTGGAGCACTCCAAGTATGTGGAGATGTTCAACTCGCTGGGACCCATTGCTGGGAAGCTGCCCGGGAGCAAAGTTAAGCCTGTGAGTCGTTTCACAATGACTCGACCGGTTTGGAGCCTGTAACGATGAGATCAGGAAGGTTACCGTAGACAAGGGGTCAGCCACCTTTTGCAGCAGCATGCTGACTTGCCACAACGCCGACACAAAGTGGGCCGGATGGCAAGTCGCAAAGGGTGAAACGAGGAAAAGACGAGAAAAAAAGGCTGGCCCAATCTGGTTATAGAGTACGAAAATCGAGTAGAAATTGTTCTTTTCAGTACGCCTGACATAATGTTGCTAACGAAGGTTACATGCAAAAAACTTTTTTAGTAAAACTTTTTCTGCTGATGATTACTTGCTAACTCGCAAACATTCACATTGAAGCTGCTCATGGATGGCGCATTTACACCTGTGGATTCGCAGGCGGATGCGCACAGGTGGAAAGTGGATTTTGGAGCTGGGTGTCAAGATCAACTCGTTGTTGGGGAAAAATCTGGATCAGTTTGAGACCTATGTTCAGAATTTGTCGATTTCGCCACCCAGCTCCCAAATCCATTTTCCGCCTGTGCGGATCCACCTGCAAATCCACAAGTGTAAGCGCGCTATGAGAGCCGTGAAAAGCCTCAAAGATGCTCATCTGTTAATCACTAATGCAAGTTTGAGCTGATAGACTTCATCCTCAAAAAGAGCCTGTTCATTGACATGCATGTTGCCCAACACTGTGATGATGGCCGCTGCGACTTTATTTTCACATTCAAGTCAAAGTCAAGTCACAATGTAAACAAGATGTTAGTAAACTTATTCAGATGGGGGTCCCAAAGTTCTCAAAGAAAACCGTTGAAGGGATTCCTTCTTCTGAGAGAGACCAGCGTAAAAACTAACACGGTCATTCCCAAGGTCATTCATGTACCTATCTAATCTCATTTGAGGTCAAAACTTCTGCAGGATCTTTGAGATTGTACAAGGAGCGGGACTGGGTGGATTGGATTGGGGTGGGGGGTGTGGTGGTGGGGGGGGGGACGACTTTTTAAGTGCTGCGCTGGTGTCTCACAATGCTTTCCTGTGGGCCACGGGTTGCCGACCCCTGCTGTTGACCTTCATGAATTCTAACTCGTTCAAGCGTTCAAGCGTTTCTCTGGTTCTAACAAATCCCAAGTACTGGGCGATTGGGCTGGTGGTTATTTCAGTGCATTTGCAGTGGTGGAATTGTGCCAAACTGCACCGAAATTAATAACCTGCTACATTCTGCTCCAAAGGCTGTATTTGTGCACAATTTATGCCATGTCTGTGCCAAGAAAGAGCTGTTCTCGAAAAGGAAACAAAGTGTCTGGCACGTCGCATTCTTGGCGATGCCATTGAAAATTAAGATAGTACAGTTGTTATTTTCTCGGCTGCCTAAGTAATTTGTGCAAAGGGTAGGGCTGCACGAATATTCGAATTGTGGAACAGTAGTTTCAAATAATATGCAATTTGATATTTGTTTCAAAATAAACTGCGATACAGTCGAACCTCGATATAACGAACTTCAATGTAACGAAATCCTCGATTTAACGAAGTATTTTATTTTTCATAATTTCTTGCCCATAGACCCCATGTATTTTTAGTCCCTACATAACGTAGTCTATTTTGCTTCCATTTCAATATAACGAAGTGCCATTGCCATAGAAGACAATAAATAAATCAACTCTAAAAAACAACTTCGCAAAAAATTGTGGCTAAAAAAAAAAAAAATTATGCGCGAACGCGAGCGCTTGATAGGTTACTTCACGGGGACAGGCCTTCCAACGTTCCTAGGCTGCCCGAGGATGCGGCGCCGGTAGCGCCGGCGAGGCATGCGGCAAAGCGGATTCCGCGAGGCTGGCCAGAAAATGCCGAGCAAAAAGTTAACACGGCATAACAGCATCACCACTGACATTCACTGATCATCATAGTCCACTGTACCGCGGGTAGCGCGGGAGCCAACTTCAGCGGGGGAGCGACGTGATGGCGCGACCGCGCGACCGCACGGGCAGTGCCATCTAGGAGAAGACCGAAAAGACTGATTATCGTCTTGCGAGCGTGATGTGAAGCAAAGGCGCAAGCACACTGTGGGCGCAAGGGGGCAAGTAAACTGTGCGGGCAAGAGTGCTGTGTAGGTTGGAAACATTGGCACCGCCTAAACTAAACAGCTTTATTTTTTAACCGGGCGGTTCATTTACGAGCTTGCTGCCATAAGGAAACGTAAAGTTCTTTCTTTGGATGAGAAAGCAAACGTTTTGGATGCCACCCTGAAGAAACTGCCGAGATCACGAGCACTCGGGAAGTGCTCGACGCAATGGACGTACTGAGGAGGTACACGGCGTCGCATGGGCAGCAAGATGCCGTGCAAGCGCTCTGGGCGCTCGAACGCCGTATGACGTCGCCGACGCCGCTGCTACTCTCGGACAAGGCGCAAGCAAAACTCGCGGACTACTTTGCCCCTAAATAAATGTCATTTTCGGTGAGTTTTCATACCCGTAAAATGTTTCGGAATTTTTTTTTTCGCATGCTAAAGCCAAATTTCGATTTAGCGAAATTTCAATGTAACGAAGTAAATTGCGAATTTTACCGACTTCGTTACATCGAGGTTCAACTGTATTCATATTCTCGAAGTATTGATTGCGGTGGGTTAGCCCCCTTGAGTGCGCTTCTCCTCTAGCATTGGTGTACTATGGAGAAGCAATACTCGCGAAGCTGACACCGCAATTTCACGGATCGCTTCGCCGCAGTGCGCCCGCGCACTTAGGCGAAAAACACACCTTCAAAGTGGTATGGAGCGTGTTGTGATTGCTGCTGATATTTGCATTGCAGTAAAATTTAAATTTAACTGTGGAGACAGGTAACATTGACGTCTAGGAACTGAAATGAACATACTGTATTTTCCTGACTGTAGTCCACATACTATAGTTTGTGTTTAAATTAGAAAATTTGCGCGGTGCCGACTTTCTACAGTTGTGTACTCTACAGGGATTTGTTTTTTCTAGGTTTATTATAACGAGACATAACAAATTTGGTGAATTACGGTATGTGAATATTTATTTATGATAAAAGCTTCTTTGTGAGCCAATAATGCAAGGCCATGTATGGTCATTTTTTACATGCAGGCTAGGCACCAGATGCGGGCTATGCACCAAGTGCTAACTGTCTAAGAACAATCTTTTCTTTTTCAACCGAAATTTGCCCCTCTGGACTATACACCAGGTGTGGACTACCGTAAAGTACCGCAGAAACACCCACTTCCAGCGCCCGTGTCTAAGTTAACCCAGTTTTCAGTGAAAATCAGGTGGGCACTCCCTTGGAATTTTACGGGGTATTTGTATACGGAAAAACTTTTTTCTTTAGCTGAAATTTGCCCCTGCAGACTGTATGCTGGGTGCGGACTACAGTCTAGAAAATATGGCAGTTGAAGTCTCGGAACTTATATTCCGTACGCTTCTCTTTATAATTTCTTAGTCTTGGGTCTCCGTTCACGACGTGTTTTGGTACGCGCCATACTGTGATGTCTGGTGAGGTGATGCCGTGAATGTTTGCCACCTCAGGTGATGCTGAACTCGAAGCTTCCTGTTGACGTTCTTGGGAAGGTGAGTTTTGCAAAACAGATTGGAGACTTCTGCCCTTGCACCTTTTGCATCGGGTGCCTCGATTCAGCCGTCTCACGCTTGCAGATTTGGGATCTGAGCGATGTCGACCAGGACGGTGCACTGGATGAAGAAGAGTTCATTGTGGTGAGGGCTTCGATGGTCCTTTCATTTATTGCTTAATGATCGAAAGAAGCTGTGTCTGCACAAAGATTGCATGACCGGAATACTTTCATAGCATTGTTAGTCATGCCAATCCCAACATTCAAAAAGAGGTTCACTTTTTCAGAGACTATATAAAGGGAAAAGATTCTTGCTTGTCTTGTATCGAGCCTCTCAAGCTGGCGTTAGTCAGTATGCTTTGATCGCAAATTGTTAGATTCCATTCCTTGTCACTTAGTTTTGCATACGAAATATTTTGTTTTCAGCTTGAAGCACTGCATGTTCGTTTTCCAGCTTTGCTTGCTTCATTGGCAATTTCTGAGGCTTGAGGAGTGAATCCAGTAATGTGCAGTATGCTTGCTCGATTTTCATGCTCTTTACTATACAGTTCAGACTACTTATGATGATGAGAAAACCCGAAAATGTAATCGTTACATCCGATTATTGTTGTATTTGGACTAGAAACTGCTCATTTCTAGTCCAGAAACTCTAGAAACTGATTGTTTTAAGCGATACATCAATATATGTGGTGTTGTTATAAGTGAATTTCACTGTGCATCATTCAGTTTAAAACCAACTAACTTAACTTCACTTTTACGGACTGCATTGGAGCCTTTCCTTTCATCCTTCTAGGGTGAATGTTTGCAGAGGTGCATGCATTGTTTTTTGTATGAATCGCGGGCAGTGGTCTCTTATTATTATTGGTTCAATATTGGGCAACTGAGCGACAGCCAGCAAAGTACTGGTACAGTCAAAGCCGGTTATAATGAACTTGACAGGAATCTGAAATGCGTTATCTACGTGCAGACTTTGTTATATTCATTCTCCCTCAGGCTCGGCAATGCATTTGGTGTGCGAGGAATTAAATGGTTAACTGATAGATTGACCGGGTAGTGCACCTGGTATACAAGGAATTGATTGATTGATTGATTGACCAAGCGACACACCTTGTGTGCAGGGGATTAATAGGTAGATTGATTAACCAGGCAATGCACCTTTGTACGAGGGATTAATTGGTCGAATGACCAAGCAATGCGCTTCATGTGCAAGGGGTCAATTTTTAGATTGATCAGGCAATGCTCCTGGTGTGCGCACATTTAATGAGGCGATTGATCGATCGTGCAATGCACCTGGTGTATAAGAAATGAATTAGTCGGTTGATTGGTGAATTGACCACTTAATGCACCTCGTCTGCGAGGGATTGATCGGTCGATTTATCGATCGACCAGGCGATGCATTTGGTGTACAAGGTTTGGCCGATAGATTGACCAGGGAGTGGACCCAGTGTAGAAGAGATTGATTTATAGACCAGGCAATGCACCTTGCGTGCAAGATATTGATCGGTAGATTGATTGACCAGGCGATGCACATACGAGAGATTAATCTGTGGATGGATCGATGGGCTAGGCGATGCACCTGGTGTACAAGGCGCTGGACAACTGCCCCATCCCGAGCGTGCTCCCGGCCGAGCTCATGCCCAGGTCCAAGCAGTCCGGCCGGCCGCTGGTGGCCGGGCTCCCGCCGGACTTCTCCACGGACACCCTGGGCACACGGCGGCGGCCGAGCACACCGTCGTCCGTGGGAGCCCTGGACGTGGCCCTGCACAACGTGAGCACTGCACATCCAGAGCTTGCCTTCGAGGTTGGTTTGTTTTTGCGAGGACAAGGAATGACAGACGTTGCTTGCAGACGCGCCTTGTTACGCCCGAGTTCTACTGGAGTGACAAGCCTGAAGCACATGCAGTGAGCATGCCAAGGTAGTTCGGGCAAGCTTGCATTCTCATGAGTGATTGTAAGCTTTTCAAAGATGCCTTCATGTGCATGCTGCTTGTGCTTGAGGTTTGTCTGTTTTGGTTGTTTCTGTTTGCTACTCTAATGGGACTAGGGCATTAGTCTCGTTTTTTGCTCGTGAGCATTGCCAACTGGCCACGGAAAAATGTTTCGTGAGCTGACAGTGCTAACGAAACGCGATGGTAGTCGAAACTGGTTGGAACAACTCAAAGAGGAGCAACCTAACCTTGAAAAGCCGCGTTCTTCAGATAAATTTATTTTTTGAAAATTTTACTGGCAAATGTTGTTTTGATTTTTTTTTAGCCGTTTTATTAGAAAATTTGGAACGTTACTCATAAGGTATGAAACAAAAGTCTACAGCTTCCTGCTGCATCTGCTGTTTCTTGAGTTCCCAATAAGCTCGCACACATTCTGCGGCCGTCTGCTTCGTAGGAGCCATGGCCACGGTGGAACGAACAGAAGAGTCTAAAGTTCAACAGCGCCACCTATTTACGGTGCACAGATTCACTTCCATTTCTGGCATGTGCCATGAGATGGCGCAGCATGGGAAGAATCGAGAAACCATCCTCATTCACCCGTACGTTTTCAAAGGTGCACGGCACGCGAATGTATTTACTTTTTCATGCGAGGGCAGATGCCGACCCTCAATAGCTCAGTCGGTAAAGCACTTGGCTCACGATCTCGTGGTGGTGGGTTCAAGTCCCGTTGTCAAGTCTTTTATATGTTTCCCTATGGGTGTAGCACCGTTAGGTGTTTGTCGTCACAGCCAAATGATGCAGCAGAACATTATAGATCTCCACTAAAATCGGCTGATAAAACACATTCTGCGTAATTGGGGCTGTGTTTCTGCAGTGCTTCATTGCAAACTATAGTTTGCAACCATAGTTTAGTTTGACTATAGTTTGCAACGGTTTGGCATAGTCTGCATAAAAGAGCATTGCTCCTTTATGCAGAGCAAATTGGTGCCCTATTTCTTGTGGTACAATATTTTGTTGGCTTCTCATTTCTTCACACAACCTTCCATCCTAGCAAAACAGGCCCGCCTTGCTTCTCTAACTCGAGCCAAACGTCGCTTGCTCCCCTTTGGTGTCTCTTTGGCGCGTCCAGCACGGTCCTACTCAGCACGTCCAGCACGGTTCTACTCAGCAAGCCGAGCACAGTCCTTAGCACGTCGAGCACGGTCCTACTCAGCACGTTGAGTACGGTCCTACATAGCACGTTGAGTTTGGTCCTACATAGCACGTCGAGCACAAATCTGCTTAGCACATTGAGCATATTCATACTCAGCACGTCCAACACAGTCGTACTTGGCACATGTCCACTTCTATTCGGCTATCACCTCTTCAGTTTGCACCTTCCTCTTTGCAAGGCGTTGCAGACTGTGACACATCCAGTGAAGGCCTCGTTCCATGACCTGCACATGCACGCAAGGAAGGGAGGAGAATGGCACGTGTAGCTTACCTGTGCACATGTGTTTTGATGCGATGTCAAGAACTTTTTAAGGGGTGTGACTAAAAAAAGTGTGTATACTTTTTAGAGGTATTTCGTTCTAACTTCTCGACCCAAAGATACTGTGACAAGAATTTCATGTTGTGTCGTGCTAGTGGGGTTGATGCCGTGAGAATAAAGTTTATTCGCGTGAAATAGCAGAAAAATTATACAGGCTTCATCATGCTGACAATGACCAAGGGGCACAGGATGTGTCTTGCACAAACCACACTGTGTGCCATTTGTGCAAGATTCATCAGTCTTTATTATCTATACATGTTGTCATTTATTTATTTCCTTTTTTTTTTCTTTTTTTTTATTTTAGCACGAAGGGAAGACGACACGAGTACAGTAGAACCCGTTTATAACGAACTGCATAAAGCGCTCCGTCTAGTTCGATATATCAAGTAGTTCGTTATGGAGATATTTGCATACAACGAAACTCTACGATATGTTCATTATACACTGGTTTCTAGACATCAAACAGCAAATAATACAATGCCACTTACCATTCAAGAAGTCCATTTATTGGGAACAATAATCATTCATAGTAGCCAGTAATTTTAACTTGGGTTCTTGCCTTGGCAGCATCTTGTTTTTAGGATTGTCCGCAACATGCTTCTGGCGATCTTGAACTAGTCACGTCCGATTTTTTTCGCCGCACTCGACACGGTGAATAATGTCGACCTTGTCAGAAAGCAGCAGCGCTTGCCACTGCTTCATTGTCATTATTCCAGTGGACTGCACGCACAACAGACAGAACCACGCCGAACAGCCAGAAATGGGGAAGACGACGTACACTGTGCTTGCGCAGCGACATTCAGTAGGCCCCAGATGCGAGAAGGATATCAAGACCACGGCACTTCTTCATAACATTTAGCATTCTCCAACTTTCCGACAGATGGCGTTATGGCCGCGTCGCGGAATGTGGAGTATGCGAAGTAATGCGCGCATCCGTTCGCTCGCTGCCCAAGGTTGAAGGAAGCGGGCTCCCCTTTCCCTCTTTTCCTCATTCATTCATGCGAGGAGGAGAGCGGGTAAACCGGTTCTAGGGCATTGCAAGGAAGCCAGACTCCGCAGGCACAGGGAGCCGCTCAGTTTTTCTGGTATTCGCGAGAGCTGGGAGCTCTAAATGCCCAATGCATGGTTTGTTATGCGAGATATATTTTGCATGGATAGCGATCAGAGAGTTTTGCGTGTTTGATATAGGGAATTATTAGGTGTATCCAAGTTCGTTATAATCGGGTTTGACTGTAGAACACGAGACACGGGCTCGAGCCGAAAAACGGGCTACAGGCAGCGGTCATCAATTTGGATGGTCGAGGCTTATAAGGTTTCCCATTAAACTGCTACATTGGTGGCAGCGACGGGTTGGTGACTGCTACACCCATCGAGCACTACAGGTCGATACTCGAAAACTTTTCTGGAGATGGCGATCACGTTGCCCAGGAGTGTTACTTTGACGTCTTGTGGCAAACGAGTGGGACGACACGAGAAAGCTACCCTTTGTACCAACGCAGCTGTGCGAACAAGCAGTCCTGGTGTACCAGCATCTGATAGCGAATTTGTATGGTTCTTTCTGCGCACTCTTGAGTACTTTTTCCAGAGCACGCGAGATCGGGTGGATAAAAGCGAGTGCTGTGGCCCGATCGGGTGGTTCATTCCGAGGGCGCCTCTTCCTCTCAGACCGCTCCCTGGCACTCCGTCTGTAGCCGTCGGAATGCGGAACGTCACGTGGTACTTGGGCAGGGATCACGTGGTTTTGTTGACGATGGCCGGCAGTGGTCTATGGTGATGTGCGGGGCACAGCATGATGGCGATGTATATTTGGTTCTACAAAGCGCTTGTGCGTTCGACGGTGCAAGGATTATAACAGACGGGACGACATTCGTTTGCGACCGTAACAGGAAAAGTCGACGTGTAAAGTATTCCCAGTGCTTTCACGAGATCGTTCATCTCATGGCGGTCAATCCGCTAAGCCTAACCGACGAAGAAAGAGCTCGCCGCTGTTGTACCGGGTTTTGTGGTCGCTTCAAGAAATTTTCAGGTTTGGTAAAAGTGTGTTCAAAGGTTTGTGTTGTAAAATAAAGGGAGAGCCAGATACAATGCACTGTGATTTATGTCACATGGCAATATGTGCTATATCCTGCTTGCACAATATTTCGCCATGAAAAAATGCGGTTTAGTAACCATTTTCTATTTGCCTGCTCTGCCGTACGCATGACCGCTATCGCAGCGCGTTTACTGTCGAAAGCGCGACGAGTTGACAACTCTTTCCAAGCATTGGCTTTCGTTCCGTTCTGCAAAAATGAATTCGCATACTGCTGTTTTCTTTTTTTTTTACATGACGATGCGTAAAACAATCTACGTCACAACCGTTATTTCATCACGTTGCGAGCGTAAATTTTGCTCAGTCGTCCACCGTACGCTGTAAGATCTTTTTGTTTTTAATGCAATACCAATGTCAAGAAATTTTAATTTCATAACTGGTGTCTGGAACCTCGTCCAGACCTCCTTGGGCTAAAAGGAGTGACAACACTCTGGAGCATCATTGAGGTCAGCCAGCGTCCCGGTTCGCCTTCTCAACGAGACGGAACAAACGGTACGAGTTAATCGAGGAACGACAGCAAAATTCGGGCATCACCTGAATAACGACTGTGAACACTTGCCTGTCAAGACCGCCTATAGATGTACCAGCAACTTACAAGACGCATGGTACTTCACCGAGAGAAGTGGGACAAACAACGGCTGTTCGAAGTTCTTCCGTTTCATGCAGGAGTACTTGACAAAGACCTTTTAGGCCTCGGAGACCTCTTATTAGGGCGAAAGCCTTGTATGTCTCATCGTTCAGTCGACCTTTAAAGTCCTTGAGCGAAAACTTGTTGGTGACACGAAACAGACCAAAACACGTCGACGACATGAAAGGTACCAAAACAAAAGGTATCAATGAAATAACGTCAAAAGTTCGTCATCAGAGAGCGTGCTGTCTTTGGAGGTTCGTTATCACTGGGACCACAGCCAATGCCACAGTCCGAGTGAGCCAATGAAACGGCGCCAAAAGTGCGTCGTCAGAGGGCACGCTGTCCTCGGAAATTCGCTATCATGTTTACATCGGCACTTTAACTTTCGCCTTCAAGTCATCTTAGGACAACGTAAGAGACCCTGTGGATGTTTTCTTCCGAGGATGTCTCGGGGAGACTTTGATCTTGGCCGTACAGGAGTAATCGAACACCAGGTCGGCACGCGCACGTCACGGCCCCTCGGGAAGTTTTTCCGTGAACTTCCACCCCGTCCTCGTGAAGTCGTATTAGACGAGGTGAATGACACAAACATTTGAAGCAACTCGAGACTGAGGAAATACGAAAGTTGACACTGAGAGAAGAGAAGGAGAAAGTCTCGGCTCACTCTACGTTCTGTTTGTGTTGCAACACGTTGCAAATGAAAGTCGTTCGACCCTCCGACAGCCCTCGGGCTGCACCAATCCCGCTGGCAAACGAGAAGGATGGCATCCCACGTTTTTGCGTCCATTGCCGACGTTTGAACGACGCGATGCGTAAAGCCGCCTTCTCTCTTTCCCGATTTGATAACAGCATCGAGGCGTCGTGGGGGGGTCTAGATACTTTGGCACTCTTGACCTCGCTACTGGCAAGTGAAAATGGCTGATTCTTCGCGCGAAGAAACTGAGTTTGAAGTTCTTTCTTTCAGGGTCTGCAATGCTCCAGCGACCTTCCAACGACTGATGCAAAAGACAACTTTTGAAGTCTGGGCTCCTTGTAAAAGATTGAAAAATAACTAGTCCCCTGCCCGCTCCCGCGTTAGCACTGCAGGCTTGATGCAAAAGACAATGGTAAATTTCAAATTTTGGCTTTGCTGTTTAGGTGACGTCATCATTTTTAGTCAAACGCTCAATGAACATTTCGGATATCGACGCCAAGTTCTTGAATGATTGCGTGGTGGTTTTCATAAGATCAAGTTATAAAGTTCCGGTATGCTACTAAATAGTAGCATACTGGAAAGGGTAAAGACCCGTGATTCCAAAAATATAGTTAGTTGGGAGGCTAAAAAAATCGCCGGAGTACCCCTTCGAAGTATTTTTTCTGGTACTTTCCAAGAAGAATACAAGTCACAATAAGTACATACCCTAAATTTGGTATTGTAAAATTTGTATTGCAACATGATGCTTTGTCAACTTATGAAGAAATGCTGGAGGGATATTCTACTTTCACCAGAAATGGGAGCAGACGACGCATCAGTCATCTGGTAATTTCTCTGAAGGGAGTAATGGTTGCTCTAAGACCGATTCAAATAAGTGCCTTATAAGCTTATTGTGTGAAATAGTTTGCCAGCGGGAGTAAAACATTGTGTGGACGTTTGACATTATTTAACATTCGCCTCCATTTCCGAAAATAACTGATGCGCCCCGGAGTAGTGTACTATACCAATGCACACCAGATAAAAAAAGAAAAAATATATATAATTAAAGTGCACCATGAAAGATTAGGCTCAAAAAAGTGCTTGTACTTTACTTCGAAAGTATATTGTACATATTTATAATACTTTACTTCAAGTACATTGCACCCAGTATACTTACTACTTTACTTGAAGTACATAAACTTGCATTTACTTTGTACTTCGAGTATTTTTTAGATGTAGTTTACCCAACACTAGCGTTACCTCACTAGAGAGTGCGAAAAAGTTTGAATGTTGGTTTTGACATCACATTCATTGGCTGTGTTCTCAATGGCTATTTAGAATTTATAAAAAATAAATAGCATGACAGAAAAAGTAATGCCTGGGTTTTTCAAATAATGTTTGATTTGGGTTGCTCAGAGAACTGCCAGAAGTCCCCTTTATCAACTCTGTCGCACAAATGTAGTTAGTGACTTTCGTGGATACAGGTTTGGATTTGTCTGGCAGGCGCTGAACAAGCCGGCTTCGTGGGTGGTGAGCGCCGCAGAGAAGGCCAAGTTTGACCAGCTGTTTGTGACGTTAGACACGGACATGGACGGCCTGGTGACGGGTCCGGACGTCAAGGGCGTCTTTCTCAAGACAGGACTCCCACAAGCCGACCTGGCACAAATCTGGTGAGCTCGCACGACCCTCAAGTCACATGAGTGCCTTTCTCTACAAACTAGGTTCTTGTGCCGTGGTGAAAGCGTCGTGCTGTGCAAGTACCTCTACAGCGTATCTTTTTGTTAGGGAAAAATTTGACTCCGTACTGTGGGGAAAATGTTTATTTTTGAAGGATGAACAGAACTTGTTTTATTAAAGGGACACTGACAGGGTATTTATGCTTGCCAGGGTTTTTATTTGAACATGACATGTAAGAGCCCAACTACCAAAAACACAGTTTGTGGCTCGAAATTTGTTTTCTTTCCGCCCGAAAACGGCAGCTTGAGAATTGGCTGGTTTCAGTCGCGCTTACTCTGGTTTCCATGGTCCTGTCGCATTCAAACTATCCGTACCAAACATATTTAAAGTTGTGTGTTATCTAAGACACATTCAATATTAAAAATAGAAAAGAATGTAAGCCCCATTTTTTTTGGCTTCCAAAAATCTGCAAATACGTTGATAAAAAAAAAAAAAAGATCTTGCACAAATTGCAGTAGATGTACACGTCATCATCAATATGACGAGATACCACGGGCTGGACGGAACGTCGGCAGCGCATGATAGACCAACGTTGCAACGGACATGAAGTCGCTACTCCGCAACCGTTGTTTGTGATACCGGCCAATCGATCTTCAAGTGCAGGACATCGAGTGGAAGGGATATAAGTGCGAAACAGTCGCACGACCATTGGTACACGCAACTTTGTCGTCGTCTGCTTCAAAAACCAAAAAAGGGCGAGGAAAAAAAAATAATAACGCTATAGGGTGTAGTTATGTGACTTACAGCCACGAGCTTCCGTGCTCATGTTTCGGTTCCGAACAGTTAAGTTTTTCTTTTATTTACTAAAAATATACTGGACTCCGCAGCAAAATGTTCATTGGGTAGTCTCCTGACACCATAAAAAAGCGCCTGGCAAAAAATTAAAAAAAAAAAAAAAAAATGTCAGGAGGTTGTTTTTTGTTCCCAAGCTGTTGAATGGAAAGCGCCGAATGAACAAGGACGAAGAAGGGGACAGAGACGAAGCGCTTCGTCTCTCTCCCCTTCTTCGTCCTTGTTCATTCGGCGCTTTCCATTCAATGATGTACCAACTAGCCCATTTATCTATATTTCCCAAGCTCTGCAAGTGTGTCCGCGGGACTTAATCGGTAGCCTGTCCAGCTTGCAACTGAAGGGTTGTGGGTTTGAATCCTGCCTCTGCCTAAAATTCTTCAAATTTTTTCTTCAAGGCAATCGAATGACTTTATAACGTAAAAATTTGAGACATGCCGCGACCTAAAATTCTCAATAAATGTCATGTTTTAACCGTTTTCATTCCACGCGTGACGTCACGTTTTATGTAAGCGTTCTGGGTGGTTTGGAATTCCTGCGCAAGGTCATGTGGCTGTGACGTCATGACCCTATCGACTAATCAGGATTTCCTTGTCCCACTGACGCCGGCTTTTGTGCAACGCAAGCTCCTTAAAGCTTTTGCTCAAAAATTTTGGGGGCTGTCAGTGTCCCTTTAAAGGTGTACTAAAGACGTTTCTGAGATCATCTGTTCTTGGTGATAACTCATTCTACAGGATATTAGCATCCCAGAAATTCAAAAATTATGCTCGTGCGACGTCTATTCCTATTTCCCTACTAAAAATGTGATCGAATTTCTTGCCTGGCCCGTTCTGGGAGCGGAAAAATCTGGAGTACAGAATTCAGCAGGGGCACCGGCGGCGTGACAACGGGCGCGCGTCAGCCAATTGCAAGCGGAGGTGCCTGCAGTGGAGGTGCCGCTGGCGTCTCAGCTGGATTTCGTTCTCCAGATTTTTTCGCTCAGAAAGCAGCGTGGCACAAACGTTTTCCCCATAAAATAGTGTTCTAAATAGAAAGATATTCTTCATGGAGCATGCTACGGTGTTATCGAGACCAAAATTTGCATTCGGCATGCGGGCAAAAAAAGAGACCCGACACTAAAGAGTTAATTCAGTTGCTTTACGCCCGCGATGCTCTTCGTTGCTGCAGGAACCTGTGTGACACGAAGCAGAATGGGAGCCTGACCGGGGAGCAGTTTGCGCTGGCCATGCACCTGTGCTCGGAGAGGATGCGGGGCTCGCCCGTGCCCCTGGCCCTGACCCCCGACATGATGCCCCCGTCGCTGCGGCCCAAGGCGCAGGCCGCCGCCCCTCCCCTGGTGAGCCCCGCCTCTGGAATCTTCCTATGCCTCCCATTGGGACTCCACTTGCAGACTGCAGCTCCAAATCTCCCCTAACGGGCATTAGGTACCCACATGAAGCAACAAAAACTAAACCAAAAAAAAAATGTACCGCATCTCCACGTGGTGAATGATGTTGATTGGGGCGAAGCTCTGTTGATGCTTGTCTGCGTAGACGCTGAGCCACAGCATGCCCAGCCTTTCGTTCGTCTTCATCCATGTCAGAAAGAGAATGTGTGGTATGGAACGTGGTTATATACGCATTTGAGCATTTGACCGCAACGCTCTCTCGTCTATAAACGTTGAGCCAATGCGTGCAAAGTTTAATGCGATTATATACGCATTTGACCGCAGCACCCTCTCCTGTATAGACGTTGAGCGGCTACATGCAACGTTTCATCCCTGACATGCCCAGCTCTTGAGTTACTACCCCATCTCAGAGCCCCCTACTCGTCCCGCAGTCGTGGCCGAGTGGTTAAGGCGATGGACTAGAAATCCATTGGGGTCTCCCCGCACAGGTTCGAATCCTGTCGACTGCGCAAACCTTTTTTTTTTTTTTCCCTACACGAGCACGTGTGCTCACGAGCACGAGCACCAGCAAGATCGATGTGAGCACGGACGCCGGACAGACAAGGCTAGACCCTAAGGAGCTTCGCCCCTAAAAATATGGGCGCTGTCGTCATGGCGATTGCGAGGTTATGGGAGAGGGTGTGAAAAGTGTTGTCTCTCCTCTTTCTCTCACCCTCAGCGACAACAGGACGCAAGTTCGTTCGGAGTTCGGAGCAGGCTTCCCAACTCCGACCGAGCTTGCATCCTCGAGAGAAACGGGAGCTGCTCTGAACTCCGCACAGGCTTGCATTCTATTGCCGCAGTCTCATTCTTCTACAAAACAATATAATGGCTATTTCTTTTTTTTAAAACAAAAGTTTGTGTACCTTTTCCTGCGAATGTCCGACGCTTCCGGAACGATTGTACTTGACTTTGCGTGGCTTGATTGAGGTCGGCTGATAGCCGTTTGTCATTAAATCGTCAATAAATTAATGCAAGGTGCAACCTGATTCTGCTGTTTCGTGGCTTGACACGGGTGACTCTTCCTTCACATTGCCAGTCTGAGCACCAGGACAAACTTCTTTTGCAAGTTCTCGTTTTATTAGGCACTCTCATTGTACAGAAAAAACATTCAATTCATGGTACAACAAAGTAACAAAATCTACACGAAACTACTCTTCAAGTAGTGTTAGTTAGTGGTGAGGGTAGCAGAAAGCCGGAACATACTACTGTTCAAGTATTCACAGACCTTGCAATCACAGATTTCAACTTTGCTGTAATCAGTGACACTGATTTGACCGCTATGGTCTTTTGCAGGTTCCTTCTGGAGCACTAGCTTTCACTCCACGTGCGTGCTGCGGTGCTCTAACGCTGACCCCCCCACCGCTTATCTTAACTTGAATGCCCTGTTCCTTCTGACCTTCAAGAATAACCTACGAATATAAAATATGCACCAGCGAGTTATCGGCAATTTGAAACTGTATAACCGAAAGAAGGAAGCAGCCACTGTCTTTACCTTTCGTAACTTAGGAACTCAGAGAACTTGGCAGAGCTGTTGCCACTGGAATTAGAGCACCACCAGCGTTCTGGCAGACGAAATAGACCAATAAACTCGCCTGCAAGTGGGACCATTTATTCTCTTGAAGGCACCTTTGTGAAAAGTTTCATTACGCTCCATTCATTGGCTCATTTATACAACTTTTCATTACGCTCGAATAGCGCTCGAGAACAGCCTGTATGGAAGAGACATCACGCAGAAGTGTAATGTTTCTTACGGGCACGACACAAAAAATGTTTTGGCGATTGACTGGACTGATGACCAAGGACTCGCTCAGGCCCTAAAAGAAACCTTCGTGGATCCTTAGGGTCTGCATGTTTCAGAACTGCTGCTCTAAGTGTGATGTCGACATGCTCGAAACCCTGGTGAAGATCAGATTTTCGGGTCCCGTCACAATCTACGGTATGCCTAATATTCACTGACCTTTCGTACGTCGGAGTGACTGGCCCTTCGTATGCTATGCGGAAAAGTGCATGTGCAGCCATCTTCCGTGTTAAATGAAGGTCGGTATGGGGCTATATAACAATGTGACGCTGAGTAGTTGCATCACATTCGCGCGGTGAACAGATTTCCCAGATGGCAGGATTTGCTACTCTCATGCAGCATAAGACAGACAGTTAGGAGACATTGCGTGAAGGTTGGAAGCCCTCTGCAGCAGCAATGCTCTCGATGCAGTCACCTATCTTTAAGCACCACTAAAGGGGAATTTGAAGTCGCTTTTTATGGCTCTAGCTCAGTCTATGCACGCCTAAGCATCCTAGAAAATTCAAAATTATACTATAATTTGTGACCTTTTTCCTATCAAAAGCGTGACCAAATATTAAATTGTACCTCTTTACTGAGATCTATCTCAGAAGAGGGGCACGTTGCGATGTTCGGTTGTGTTTTTTTTATACGGAAAAAAGCCACGCGTGATTTTAATTTCGAGCTTTCTAGAACGCTAAGGGTGCATGGATTGAGTTTGTGCCATAAAAGGATGATTTCAAAGGCCGCTTTAGTGGCCCTTAATCTTAAAAATTAATCACTTTGCTCCGACATATAAAGCTCTAATTACTTAGAATGCGGGCTTGAAAGGTGGGCGTGAAACACGTCTTCCCACTAAATCTAATGGACAGCATTTGCATCACGCCAACTCCTGAATCATGTCGCGTGACGTATCTTAAGTCTCGCAACGCTACGACGTCGCGAGACTTTACAAGATGTCACGCGACATCGAGCGATGTTGTGCGATGTTGTGACGTCAAGTTACTCAGTCGCATGACGTCAAGTTATGTGGCTACGGGACACAGTGCTGTCGTGTTGCACAGCCACGAGACGAGCGACGGCGTGTTCCATAGTAGCACCAACCATGTGATTGTCACACGCCTGAGTTGTCATATTTTCATTGCGCAACTCTTTATGACGCCGAAAGCTTAGAAACGAGCCCATAAAACCATTCTGCTTTGAAATTCTTTAAGCCGCAGTTTAATCTAAAACTGTCTAACTGCCTTCGTGGCTCCGAGGCAAACCGAGGCCTGCAAATTTTCGGGGGATAGGTTCGAATCCCGACCGAGGTGCCCGCAATACGACAGAGGCGTTTTGCAGAGAATGCGCCACGTAACCGAGTTTTCTGTTGCACGTTGGAAGACCCCCAGGTGATCGAATAAACTATTGAAGGGCGTGCCAGATGCCCCTCGTTGGTTTGGCACGTAAAGCCCCCAAATTTGACTTAGAACTGTCTGCCGTCCAGGACTCCAAGGTCCCTCTTGGCCTGGACATGCTGTCGTCGTCGACGCCTCCCCCGACGTCTGCTCCCAGTTCGGGCAACAAGGAGCTGGACCAGATCACCGAAGAGATGAAGACCCTGCAGATGCAAGTGGCTCTCTTCCTATGCGCTATTGCGGCACTTTCCTTCTGACAAGCTGACGTCCGACTCCACCACTTGATTGCAGTATGCTTTTAGTACTTGATTAGCCTACCGTAAAATCTCGTACGAATGCCCTTTCTTGAGAAATCACCCATCCTGTTTTTCTGGCTGGTTATCCAGAGGCTAAAAATTCGTAAACATTGCTCACCTCGGATTCCCCACGAATCACCAGAGCAATTTGTGGTATTGGTATGCGTGGCAAGCGAGCTTGGAGCAGGTTCTCGCATGTTTGGCGTGTCCGCGAACTGTACGCACAATATCAATTACTGTAGCGGGCAAGTTCATAGCGTGTTCCCGCATATTTATCGCATCGTGAAACACGAATCTGCTGTGTCTGTGATGTGCGATATCAGTTTGCTTGGCGTAAGAGTTTGTAGCATGTTTCCGCTTGTTTATCGCAACATGGAAAGTAATCTGCCGTGTCCGCAATCTGCGGCTTCGGTTCTTGCGCCATTGGTCTATGGCAGGTGCTGTGGTGTCTATCGGTCATTTTTAGTGAACTTTCGCCGTTTCATTCCCAAAGATTGCCTACTCTGTATTTTTCACCATTTATCCTTTCAAAATGGTGAACGTTCAAACATGATTTTATGGTATGTGGCACGGCTACCTTCGTGCTGCAAGGCCCATAATTACTGAAGTTTTTCATAAACAAGTACCGTATTTACTCGCACAATGAATGCGCCTCCTAAGTCGGCTCTCAAAGTTTCGACTTTTTTTTTTCACTCGCTTATTAAACGCACCCCTAACTCGGACGTCAAACTTTTGACCCCCTCCCCCCACGCACACGCGAAATGAACACACTTTTCTATCCTGGTGCAGCGAGGTCGCGAATGCATGGGCAGCGTGGGCGAACAAAACAATTTAACAATTTGCGAAAGGCGAAAAAAAACAAAAAAACACAAAAGCAAGAAAAAACAAAAATATGGAGAGGAGCTTCTTTTTTTTTTTTTTGCGCATCGCAGTTTGCTTTAAGAGATAAGAAGTTGCATCGATTTTTCGGGATAAAAGTTCCGTTCATTAGGCGAGTAAATACGGATGCAAGAATTTTACTTCGCGTAATGAACGCCAACTTTGCATCAATTTTTCGAAAAAAAAAGTGTGTTTATTCTGCGAGTAAGTACTGTAAATCAATAAGAGCACTGTCATGTTTATGAAGCTTTTTTTCAATGGAAGTTTTTTCTAGACATAAGCTGTTCTTAATGTCCGAAAACTCGAATAAACAGATTCATTGCGAGACTCGTTAACAGGGTGACATAAAAAATGAAAGCCGTTTACAACTCCCTGTAACACCGAATTGGAGCGCAGCTCTTGAGGAGGAGGAGGGAAGGGTACTGAGGGTTACCTGTTCTCGGGGCGGGGGGGGGGGGGGGGGGGGGTCGGTCACGTGACCCCCCAGAAAGATTTTTCCGCTAGATTTAGCGGGGAAATTTTTCCGCTAGATTTAGCGGGGCATTTTTCCCGCTAGATTTAGCGGAGAAATTTTTCCGCTAGATTTAGCGGAGAAATTTTTAAGCTAGATTTAGCGGGGAATTTTTTCCGCTAAATCTAGCGGGAAAAAATTTTCCACAAGATTTAGCGGGGAAATTTTTCCGCTAAATCCAGCGGGGAAATTTTTCCGCTAGATTTAGCGGGGAAATGTTTCCGCTAGATTCAGCGGGGAAATTTTCCGCTAGATTTAGCGGGGAAATTTTCCCATAATGCACCGCGTGGTTACGCCGACGGCGACGGCGACGCCGCTCAAGCCGGAAACGGGCCCCTAAGAGCTGCGCTCTAAAAACAGAAATGATAGCACTTTCCTACCTGATGCATTTAGGTATCTGCGGATATTACTGACTTGTTTTTCTTGCTTGTCTGTTCCTTCTCAGCTGAACAGTTTTCCATTACGCTCTCGCCCCCGCACCTGTGGTAAGGGCCGTCACGTGCCTCCCATCCGTCGCCCCAACTGGCTTGAGGGGGATGTAGTGTTAGCTCTTTGCCAAGTTACGGTGAAACAAAGATAGGAGGCATTGAGCAAGAGTGCTTGCACACCTGGTGGGAGAGGGTGCGGAAGGCGAGAGGGAAGAGAACAAGCGCGCGCTTCGGAGGCAAAGGGGCGACACAATATATAGGGTCAAAACTTGTGAATGCAACCGCAAGAGACCCGAACATTGCATTCTACTCCCACCGGAGCTCCAGCTTTGGCGAAGCTCTCTTTCTGAGTCACCACACCCGACGACATTTGCGCCATCGAGGCATAAAATGCGTAACGAGTTCTTCCGTGCAATGTCGCCCCAAAGCAACGCGCGGTACGTTCTGTGTTACCCACTGCCTTTGCTACGGTGGTGCATAAAAGGGGTCGGTATTGTCATTCGTGCTGCGACAAAGTTACGGCGAAGATGTGCAATCAACGTATGTTGTTGAACGACACGTTGAAACAGTGTATTTTGTATTTGAGCGACGGACACTGGCCGCCAAACTTTTTTGCACCTTGTCTTTGAATATTCGCCTCATTTTTCGCGAGCAGTCTTGGCCGTTGCACCGCCCTAATAGCAGATGCTGTTTCGTCGTGTTTGGTGCACATACACTACAAAAGATGCTAAAAAGATCAAAATGGCAGCTACCTTACCTTCTCCTGGCCTCCCGATTGCATTTGAGACTTGGGAGAAGTTAACACAGGGGCCCGTGCAAGTCGGTTCACGCAAATAAAAGACTTACGGCCCAAAAAATTTTGGATTCGAACGCACCGCTGTGTAGGGGTGTGTTTCTTTTACTACGTGTCTTTTTGAGCCATACGGGGAACGGCAATACCAGATGGTGCAGTGGCGTTCGGGCTGGAGTGGTAAAAAGTCCGCATTGGGAGCCTTGGATGCATTTAACCATTAAAAAGGAGGTTGAAATAGACTGCTAGTTTTTCCGTTGTCGTAGCGTGGCAATAGGTTTCACGGTCTAGCACTCTGGAGGCACCCCGCGGGGCATTTAAGCCCCTTCAACTAACTCCGCTATTTTGGCTCGTATTGCCACGCTTCGCGGTTTGTATCTTTTAAACACGAACCACGCCATCGACGAGCGAATGGCAGGTGCATCATAGACCGAAGGACGGTAGTGTGTCGTTCACTGGCCCCGGGTGTGGTGACCGTGCAGGGACAAGGCGACCCTGGAGCAGGAGATCATCCAGGGGGAGGCGGACCTGAAGACGAAGAACTGTGAGCTGAGGAACCTGGAGACGGAGATGGAGGCGGTGTCGGCCATGCTCAGGCAGCTCGACTCGCAGAAGAAAGAGGCCCAGAAGCGGCTGGCCGAGCTCAGCGTCCAGGTCGGACCTCTCGTCACGCTCCCGTCACGCCCCTTTAAGACCGAACGAACAGCACCTAGAAGACGAGGCCTGTGCCTCTCCCCCCACAAACGTTATCCCTAGTGGATCCACGTAGCGCCGCCAGTTAGTGTCACCGCCAGTGCGCCTTGCACTGTCTCGCAATGAGAGCGATGGCAGAGCTTGAGCCTGTCTGTCGCTTGGGGCAGGTCGGGGATCCACTAAGGATGATGTCATGCACAGGCCTTGTCTTCCAGCATTCACTGGACTCCCCCAGAAATGTTTTTAACGCAGAATGTGTTGAGAGCTGGGATTCCCGAGGAAAGAGTGATGGCACACCAAGGAAACCATTATGAAATCTCTAGCATGTAGGGCAGAGGACAGTCTGTAGAAAAGAATGCATAATTGAGAAGAAATAGAAATGAATTGGACTGCTCTTTTACTGGGAGAATATCCTCTCGTCCCCTTTGACAGTGTCTTTTATTACCAGCACTGGCCTTATACACCAGATCTAATTCTACTTAACTTAAAAGTTTTCAGAGCGCAGCTCTTAGGCGTCTCTTTCCGCGTTTCGCGACGTCAGCGTAACCACGCCAAATTTAACGGGAAAATCGACGTCACGTGACCTCAACATCAATTTAATTCCTCACTAAATTTGCGAAGAAATTCAGTTTTTTCGCTAGATTTAGTGGGAAAATTGATGTCACGAAACGTCAACACCAATTCATTTCCCCGACAATTGAATTGTTGAGGTCAATTGACGTCAGTTTTCCCACTAAATCTAGCGGGAAAATCAATGTCACGATTAATTCTAGCTACTTGGGAAAGATGTATAGATCAATCTAGTGGTTATTTATGTTACAGAGTACTATAACTACCGTAATAACCCAAGAAAGAGCCCACCTAACATTGAGAAACAAATGTGGTGAAAATAAGTAGTGGGCTAATTTGCGGTGTGCCATCAAGAAAAGTAAAATTATATTCTTAGGTAATGTGTTCCTGCCAATCTAGGCATCGCAGTGAGGGGCGATGAAGCAAGGGTGACTGCACTTCCCAGTCGGCAATGTTCCCTTAGATCCTGCCATAGCTAACTAGACGCATTTATGCCGAGGTAGTCATTGATCCAAACACTGTGGTTACTAGGAGTGGGCTATCTTTTGGTGGTGAAAAGAAAATAGCAAATCAAGCCAGAAAGGGGGTCGGTTACCTCTGGGGAGGGGCATCTGTCAGGATTTTACGGTAGCACGGTTCTTTTAAACAGTGGTCGTAGTAGTTGGAACTAATTTAAAACTAGCAGTACGTAGTGCAACTCTTTCATAAATTCGAACAGAAGAGCAGGTATTGTGGCAAAACATACTCTCTAAGGAAGCTATATGTGCCTCAGGAATTCAAATATGAAGCTACAACACCAGGTAAGCTACAGAGATGGTTGTAACTTGATCATAATGTGTGTGATATGATTAATCTGCATCCTTGCCATTGTGCTAAAGGAAAATCTCACTCTGTACTCATTGTCACCTCGTAAAAAGACTGGATTTTCACGAAGTTTATGCAATGCATTAAGTATTTCTCATAAGAATCAGTTGTCGGAGAGGAAGAAAAGGTTATTTCTGTATTTTGTATTGGATGTCGGTTTTGGTGAAGTAACATGTGAGTAATTATTCCCTTATTATGTGTCTTCATTCACCACATAAAGTGATATTTAGTGATGCTTTGTCAGGAGCTGAATTTGTTTCCTACAACTCTTGAGGCACAAATGGGTATAGTGTTCCAACTGTTAAGTTGAGTGTCGAACTACTGCTGTTGCTAGAAGCTCATCTCTCTTTTAATAACCCGCAGACAGTTTGAACAATTAATACTTAGGTATCTGAAGCTTGTTCTAGAGTACTTATATACTAAAGAAAACTTTCTGCGGAGATTCAGAGGTGAAGAGTTGTGCTTGTGAAGCTGTAGTTGGCCCTCGAGATATGCAAGCCCATAGGCACTATTAGCTTAGACTATGAGCCAGTGGCGGATCCAAGGAAATTATTCCCCCGCCCCCCCCTTGCCCAAAACGGAGTTCTTAATCCGCCCCTGCTGTGAGCTTAGAATTTGATAGTCCTGTGGCCCATATTTAGTGTGCATGCCAGGTTTGCTGCAACTACATTATTCATTATGCTTTTTTCTTGGTTTAACTCGGTGGCTTTCAAGTAATTCTTGTATCATTGTTTTTTTATTATTCGATGGGTTGAATTGTTTGTCTTGTTCGCACGATCCTTCGGTAATTTTTTTTGCATTTGAGCATTTTAGTTACGGAGTGCTCTTGGCCCCTTGGTAGATATAGCATTGTGGCATGTGATGGGAATCATGAGGATTTCTGTTTGCTTGAATTGAATGGTTGTTTTTGCTTTGGAGCAAACTATGAAGCCATGGGTCGTAGAAAAGTGAATTTGCATGTTGGTTGTCTTTGTTCTTTTTTCTCAGAAAGCGGCCTTAGATAGGGATTTAACCGAAACTAGGCAGGAGCTTGAAGAAGAGAAGCAGAAGGTACTACAGCTGCCCCTGGCTGTCTTTGTTTTCTCTTGCATGTTGGCTGCCATGTCTGCTGCTTTGGGCCCAGTTACGCCTGCACTGTTGCCCTTTCCTCGCTCATTTTTCTTTTTGCTTTCGAGTGCTTCGCTAATTTGAAGCACTTGGGGAGGATGTGGGTGCATTCCCCGTGAAATCGATGCTGAGATGAATATTTGCGTTAAGCCTCAAACTTGCATACACTTAATTGTCAAGCTCAGGATTCGAAAGCAGCTTTTCTTACAAATGATGTGATGCGATGGGCCGAACGAGCCAAAGTTTGGATTCGGCAAAATTTGGTACTTGTTAAACCTTTGGAGGAAAATCCGGCAGATTCAGTCAAGATTTGGCAGACGTCTGTGCGTGCGCACCAAGTGCAATGACGGCAACATTGAAGAAAAAATTATTTTTTTTCCTTTTATTATTAGTGTGCATTATGAATTTTTGGTTTTGATCTCGGTTTAAAAACTTTTATACTAAACTAATCACAAAATAAAGGCACTCATTCTTGCACATCCAAAAGTTCTAAGTGTCACATTCCTAAACAGTTTACAAGCTATGGAGTCTTGGCCGACGGATTCGTTGCGACACGCAGGAAATGAAAACATTCACAGTACCCACCAGCACCACCACTTTAAATGCTCACGCTTGCATTGATGAAATTCCAAAATGTAACCTAAACCAGCTGTGCAGTTGTACCAGAGATCACCGTGTACCATGGCTTAAGTCACTGTAATTTTGCAAATAAAGACACAAAAGATTACATTAATAATCTTCTACTTTAAAACATAGAGTTACTTAGCAATTGCTATATCAACGTTTATTTAATTTGTTCTGCTAGGCTTTAAAAATGTTTTTCGCTAAAATAAAACAAAAATCGGTTAGTCAGTCTGTCCACCCTGCATTTTTGCTGAATCTTTGCTGAATCTTTGCTGAATACGGCAAATATTTGCCTGTGCCAAATACCAAGATTCGGCGCCGAATTTTCGATTCCGCAAAAGTTTGGCCCATCGCTAGTATGTAGACGGTCGAATCCCCTGCTGCAAACGTCCCTTCAGCTAAATTTTCGCAACAATGAAGTATTTTATTTTCTGTTAGTTGTCCAACAATTGTTGTAAAATTGTTTTTACAACAGCGGAGTTCTCGCGACAACAAATATTGTTGCATGTCCCGCATGTTTTATTGTACGAAGATTCAACTGTATGTACAGGCTTACGCAGAAACCGAGGTTTTCTATGAAAACCAAAAAGACTCATAATTTTAGCCTGCTTTTGTTTTAGAATTTTCTCGATACGTCAATAGAATAATTTTAATTAATATGTGATTTGAAGAAACATGCCCTTCAGTCTCCCCCAGGCCTTCTGTCCCCTTGCATGCCTTTAGTTTAAGAATTGCTATTCCTTACTTTTCCATGCTCCTGTGGAATGTTAAGGCTCTGTTATACTCCGACGTAACGCGTGCGCGCGTGCGAGCGCGTCACAGCGACGTCACGTCGGCGAAAACCCGACGCTCTATACTCGGGCGTCGTGGCGTAACCGACGCGACCGGCGGCGTTCGACGCAGCCTGACTGCCTCGACGCCAAAATGGAGCATGCGGTATTCCGCGCCGGACGCGCCGGCGACGCCGGACCAGGATGCATCACGTGCTGGCTCCCGGCAGGCGTCGCGCGGGAAGTGCGGCGAATGCGAGCAATAGCAGACGACAGGAGCACCACTCCGTGTGGCGTCATGTTTGAAGAATCTGACTCGGTCGGTCGAGAAGCCCATCGAGGGAACTCGTCCTCACCCGTGTGTCTACGACACGAGGAAGCTTGTGTACCGTAGACCGTACGCTTGTCAAAGATTTACCGTATGTACATTGACCGACTACGCTTGCGGCGCAGGTGGTGCACCAACAGTGCAAGCGCGAGTTTTCGTCGTGCAAGGTACGTCCACGCCATCGCTCGAACTTGGCGCTCAAGAAGCGCGAGCATTCTCGTCTGCTATTCGAAACGAAAAGGAACCGGGAGTGGCGCACTCTCACAGGAAACGTGCCCTCGTAGTCAGATTCTGCGCATGCGCGCCACGCCGGCGGCCCACCGACGCACAGCCGCGGGAGTCGCCACGGCCGCCGGAGTATAAAGAGGGCGAATTTTTGACGCGCGCGGCGTGACTGACGTGACGTAGCCGACTTCGGCCAGCGTTCGCCTGCGCGCGCGTTACGTCGGAGTATAACAGAGCCTTTAGTGTCAACCCCCTTTGGCTTATAGCAGCCATCGAAATGGGCCGTCAGGATATGGATGATAGAGTTACTGCCTCCTGAAACGTTGATGCGTGGCTTTTTTTCTTTATAGAAAACAAAAAAGTTTTTTTGTTTCTATTTTTAGCATGTGGATGCATGGCTTTTCTTTTTACTCTTTCCCTCCTCTGCCGCTTCTTCTTTCTTGGCTTATAAAAGATGGCTTTTGGAGGCTGTTTCACGGAGTATATGTGGCAGGAAATTGAGGATGCGGGGGGGCTTTGGTCTCTCGCAGGTTTCGATGCTCAAGCAGCAGCTGGAGGAGCAGACAAAGCTGCTGGAGGTGGGTGTTTGTGAGTGTCTCGGATAGAGTTGAAGTTGTTTGTTTTATGGTAAACTCTCCTTAATTCACACTCCGGGAAGCCACAAATTGGGTTTTAATTATTGGAAATTCATCTAAAAATAATGCGAGATAGAATTATGATTTGTTTTAGGGATGGCTACACGTACAAAGCAGATATTTGAAGATTTCCTCTATACAGGCCTACCAATCATAAGCAGGTAGTATGCTGCGCATGAAACATAGACAAAATGTGCGAGAAAAGTCTAGTCGTCCCTCAAAAATGTTGTCTATCGCAAACTGTTTAGGCAGCGTGTGACACCAAAAGAAAATTAAGTTTCTTTATCCAGCAAAAAAGCTGTTTATATATAACCCCCTTTGAATGCATATCTTACCGAGCAATGGTGCACTTTGTTGCTTCGTCACAGTGCACCGGTGCTCAGTAAGCACTGAACACCCACCGGTGCTCAGTAAGCACTGAACACCCCATTCAGTGCTTCTGCTGCTCAAGGACAAAGTATGAATCAGGCGGAAACGTCGTTCGAATCAAGCGACTTCTAAACACTTTGGAAGCATTCTGGGACAGCCAAAAATTTGAAATTTGTTTGAATTGACCGGAAGTATGAAATATCGGGGTTTGAATTATTGCGAGCCTACCGTTTATTCACCAATGGGATAAGAATGCCAGGGTGGCAACTGTAAGACCTCCCTGCCATAAGAATGGCAACTTTAAGACCTCCCTGCCATTTTCACCTTGTCAGTGACGTTACACTCGCTCGTAACCGTGCTTCTCGGTTTACCCCGCTAAACTTCAGAGGTGAAACCACGATTGTTCTCGGAGAGGTGTTCATTGCACGCACTGTTGGTGCGTACAAGTGACGATTGCCAACATTTTTCTACTATTTTTATTTTAGAATTGGAAGGCAGTTATCAAAACCACCAGTGTGGCAAAAAGTCCCAATTTGGGGCTTTGACCTTAGCGCTAACATTTGAGGCTCATTGGTGACGTGTGTGAATGAAATGCAAAAAGTATTGATGTTGTGTTTGCACTAGCAACATCATGCAGTACACATTTTCACCATGCTTCCCGCCCAAGCCTCTACTTTCTAGGGTTTCCACAAGGGGTGTCTCGCAGTCCCGATTCGAGCAAATTCACCGGGAGGCTAGGATGGGGAACATTAACTTGTTTGGGGGGACGCTGACACAATATTTTCTAGTGTACTGTTTCACGTTTTGCCTTTTTGCATTTTCAGCAAACTCAGGTACGCAGAGACCACATTTTCTACACTCAAAAAAGATAGATCTTTGTTTGTTTGTTTTTTTGCGTCTGAAGAATGATTTTTAAGATAACCTCTGCCCGCTTCCCTCTCGTATTTTTTTTTTTTTTAATCATAGTCCAATGGCCCTTTTACATAGCGTAGTCCCAAAATTTCCGAGCTTTAAAAGCGATGTCTTGCCTTTCAGATTTAGAGTTACAGCTGTGAAATGTATTTTTTTTATAGCTGTCAAGAGAGTAAAAATTACTTTGAGGTTATTTTCAGGGTTAAGAATGTCATTCTTTATTGAAATACGCTGGGACAAACTGAAACCAGAGCGTGTTCTTTTTTGGTGAGGCATTAAGGAAAGGACTGGGAGGGAAGAAAACTCCTTACACAAACGTTATCAGTGTTGCTGGCGGCGCCATTTTTTTTTTTTTCATAATTAAAATTTTATGTTTTGGTAATAATTTTGTTAAACTGGCAGTTTATGTCGTTTGACTCTCTCGAAAATAGATTCATTTGAGTATGTCCGAAGCTTTTTAAGTAGGTTGGTCAAGCTGCTGATTCATTTCAAAGCAAGTGTAGAACTAGGTATAATTCATTTCTCAAATGTGATTCTCTGGTCATTTTAACTGCCTCTTTCCACAGGTAGGTGGTACTTCAAGCATGGTCTATGCCCGCCTCTGCAAGAAAGCTTTTGTCTGTTTGCATTTGCTTGCAAATTGGATGTTACTTCAAGTGAAATTGGGGGGTTTTGAAGTTAGTTTAACTGATCTTTTAAGCTCTGTGTTCACAGTCATTTTACATATGTCTAGGACTTGCGCATCTCATGGTCTTTAAAATTTGCGGGAATATAAGGACATCCACAGGTGCACCAATAGTCAGTTTTAGGGGACTGTGTAGGTTGACGTCATTGTACCTTTTTAATGTCGACTTTGTAACGTAGCAACAATGCTAGTGCTCCAAAGACTTTTACATTCTGACCTGTGCTCAAGCATTGGGCAGAAGTAACACTTGGGCCTTAATGTCAATGCACATTAGAAGGCTTCGATAACTAGTATTTAAGTCTCTGGTTTCTCCCTTTTTTATGGTTTTTGTTTATGGTTTCTACATTCTTTCTATAGTCTACGGTTTCTTCCTATTCTATAGTCTCCATGGTCTATAATTTCCCTCTTTTTTATAGTTTCTGTGGTCTATGGTCTCTTTATGACCTCTCTGAAGTCCATTGTTTCTCCCTCTTATATGCATTCGATATGGTCTGTGGTGTATGGTTTCTCTTGTTTCTGTGGTCTATGGTTTCTTCATTTCCTGGCATCTATGATCTCTCTATGACCTTTCTATAGATGTTGATTTCTCATTTCTTATACGCTTTCTGTGGCCCATGGCTTCTCTCTTTTCTATGGTCTTTGTGGTCTATGGTCTTCCATTTCTTCCTTTTCCGTGATTTCTGTGGCTTCTTTCCTGTGGTTCCTGTCCGTCATGGTCTCTGGTTTCTCTATTTTTTGTGGTCTCTCACCTTTCTTTGGCGTATGGTCTCTTAATGGTCTGTCTTTCTTACCCAGGAGCAAGAGAAGGAGCTGGAGCAGAAGCGAGCAGAACTCAAGGGCCTGTGTCAAGAGGAGTGTGGGCTTCAAGCCGAGATTGACAGCAAGAAGGCCCTGCTGCTCTCTCTGGGCCAGACGCAGCAGGACACACAACTGCAGATCAGCCAGGTATGTCTCCCGCTTTTTCATGGACTGGCTTTTTGGCTTGTCTTGGAATTGGTACTTTGTCTTGTCTTCTGTTGTCTTCTTGGCTTGTATTGGATTGGCTTCTTGTCTTTGATTTGCTTCTTGTCTTGTAGTTTGTATCTTGTCTTATCTAGAGTCACTGAATGTTCTCAGAGTACCAAATTTCATTCAGTCCGCTTACCACAAGTCAGTCCCCGCAGTATCCCGTTCTGATTGGCTGGTTTAACCCTGTGACGGAAGTTATCAGTTGGCCATTTTAGAAATAAACCCTCCCCCCCCCCCCCCCCCCCAAAAAAAAAAAAAAAAGTACATGAAACGTTTCCATGTTGGGCTACGACAGGTACGCATGGGTGGGAGCTATGGGCAGCGATGAGTTTGGACCGAACGGAAGGTGCGTTGATTTTCTCTAGATTTTTTTTTATATCAAGTAGCTGCTACTCTGGTTTGCCAAAGAAGATGGCCGGCTCGTTTGCTCGCTCCGGTTGTACTGGCGTTGCCTTTCAAACTCTACTCCTCAGATGCTAAGCCTAACACTTGACATCAATGTGTTTCTAGGCGAGAGAGAGAGAAAAAGACGAGACGGCAAGGAGCAAGTCACGCACTGCTTGAAACGAAGGAAGGAACTTTAATGAAAAAAAGTGAAAGCCGTTTACAACTTCCTGTAACGCCGAATTGGAGCGTAGCTCTTGAGGAGGAGGAGGGGAGGGTATATTCCTCCTCCCCCCTCGTGATCATGCCTGCTAGTCCTCCTCCCCTCCTCCTCCTCCTCCACCCCCTCCCTCTCCTTCACCGCCTAAAACAACAAATTAAGCATTACGTGACTACCCCCTCCCCTCCCCCCCCAGATCACGTGACCCCGGGGGGTGACTCCCCTCCCCCCGCCGAAGTCACGTGACGCCCCGCCCAAGGTCATGTGACCCCCTCCCCCCGAGGTCACGTGACCCCCCCCGGACCTCTGCCCTCCTCCTCCTCGCCCCCCCCCAAGGTCATGTGACCCCCTCCCCCCGAGGTCACGTGACCCCCCCCGCACCATACTAGACAATGAGGGGAGGAACAGCGATTACGCTTCATGGACAATCGACCGTTTACTCTCTCGAAAGTGCTTGGACCATGGCCCAGTCCGGCCCTTCAAAGAAAGGCGTTAAATGCTGTGCGCGACTTTATCGTCGAAAGCGACATGACTTGTACGTACTAACTCGGAACGTTGCCTGGGGTGCGCAACTACGTACCATACGGTGTAGCATCGTTACTTCTGTGCGCGTGAGTGTGGTTTATATGCCCATCCGTATGTATATATGAGTACACAGCTTTCAGGGTATTTTTAACTTGAACTATACATCCTAAGTGGCTCTCAAGTGTATATATTACCAAGACCAATCAACCGTAGTGGAGTAGCCGCCACTGAATAGACAGTGCCAACATCTCCCCAAAACCCTCTGTTGGAGCGTTTAAGTGTTTCTTAATAAGCCATATCACTGGCACGAGGACATCGAAGACGAGGAGAAAATCGGCCAGAGTCGTCTTAAACGGGAGCGCGTGGCAAGGAGCTGGCGGCCGGGGGAGCGCGTGGCCTGGGCGCGAGACGAGGCTCGTGTTTGGAACGGTTGGGAACGACACGTCAGATCGCATCGCTTGCAACTTGTAGATAATGTAAATAAAAGTTTGCTTGAACGTAACCATCCACGACTACCAGAGGTTCCTACATTGGTGCCGAAACCCGGGAGGAACGACTGAACGAAGGGAACCTGGTGGTTTACAGCAACTTTTCATCAAGCCAAGCCAGAACGATCGACGATCATGGACGTCCTCAAGAAAAAACGGAAGACGCATCGGATGCAAGTGACACGACTGACTGGTGAGGCCGACGCGTTACTACTCCTAGCTACGCCAAGCGTCAACGACCTCGAGGTTCTAATCGAGCGTATTCATCTGGCCCGCGACCAACTGAACGACGTGGACGCGGCGATCGAACCTCTGATCACGGGACAAGATGCAGAAGCAGAGTTCAGTCATGCGATCGAGTATTCGGACAAGATCGTCACGTACCTCACCAAACTTAAACAAAAGATGAAGAGCGTGGAGGGCAGCCACCCAGCAAGGGGACCATCGAGCGGAGATCGGAACGGAGGATACTCGGTGACATCAAAAATCAAACTCCCAAAATTAAAACTAATCCAATTCAACGGGCACCTAAAGGACTGGCAACCCTTCTGGCAGCAATTCGATACCGCCATTCATCAAAATCCGGAACTCACGCCGTCAGAAAAGTTCAACTATCTGCGATCAGCGCTGACCGGCGATGGAGCAGCCGCCATCGGTGGATTGAAGCCGACCGCTGAGTGTTACGCGGACGCCATCAAGCTCCTGCAGCTGCGGTTCGGGAAGCAAGAGACGCTTATCCAGGACCACATGGAAGGTCTCATGGACATACAGCCAGTGCCACCACAACGGAACACCCGAGCCCTACGGCGTTTATACGACACTCTACAGGCGCACATCAGAGGCCTTAGAGCGTTAGGGGTGGGCGAAGAGGCGTATGGAGCTATGCTCTACACAGTTCTTTTGCGAGTGCTACCGAGAGATATCACTCTCGATTTCAACCGGAAGATGTCGGCGGAGGAGACCGGGAATGCCAACGCCACAAGGGCATCAATGACAGACGCCAGTTTGGAATCCGCCCCACAGCAAGTACACCTTGTGGGCTCTGCGGTTTCTCCTCGACGTTCTATGCATCGAGGTGGAGAGCCGCGAAAGGACATCAAAACACCAGCTGGAAGACGTCGTCGGTAAGCCCAGACCTTCTTCTCTGACGCATGGCTTTGTGAAGAGGTCAACGATCAACACTCAGACTCGCAGTTCCACCGCGGCGGCATTGCACGGCAGTGTGGACGTCCTAGAGTGCTTCCTTTGCAAGTCAAAAGCGCACGGAACACCGGAATGTAACGCAAGAATCGGGCTAGCGGAGAAGAAGCGTAGGTTGCAAGCAGACCGGAGGTGCTTCCGCTGCACGAAGGCCAATCACATGGCAAGACTATGTCGAGGAGCACCCAGCTGTGGCAAATGTCAAGGCAGGCACGCGTCCACCATGTGCGACCCGAATTACGCGCCGGGAAAAACGTCCACCAGATCGAATGAGACAGAACCGAAGGAACCGGCACCGGTCGCTATGCATGTGCGTGGTAGGAACAGCAAGCCGGCAGTGCTCCTACAAACGGTTACTGCGTGGGCAGAAGGTACAAACAGAAGGAAGCTTGCCCGTATTATCTTCGACAGCGGCAGTCAGCGCTCCTTCATAACTGAAGAACTGTCTCAGCGACTGGACTGCAAATTGCTCGGGACAGAGATCCTCACAATAGGCGTGTTCGGGGGCGAAAGCACTGAACGTACGTTTCGCAGGGTTCAAGTAACTTTGCGAGACCAACACTACAACAAAAGATATGACATCGACGCTCTCGAGACACCTACCATATGTGAGCAGGACCTACCGAGCCCAGATGAAGCCATCGTGGCAACATTGGAGAAACTTGGCTCTCCCGTGGGAGACAACATGACCGGACTGGAACAACGCGGCGTCGACATACTGCTGGGATCAGACCACTACTGGGAATGCATCACAGGAAGAATTCACCGACTGAGTGGACGTCTGACTGCAGTAGAGACCGTATTCGGATGGGCGGTTCAAGGACCAACGATGTCAACCTCCGCGGTTATTAGTTGTTCCCAGGCGATCGTGCTGAGAACGGCGGTGCAAGAGCCCCAAACCTTGCCAAGCTTTAAGCAATCCTGGGAACTTGAGAGCATGGGTGTCATCCAAGCATCGGTGAAGGATCCTTCGGACAACGACGTCACGCGAGACTCCGAAACCAAGATCGCCAGGACCAAGGGGACATACGAAGTCGGCCTTCCATGGAGGGTAGACTTCAGGTTGGCAGACAACAAGGTTCCTCGGATGCTAAAAAAGAACTGTGAAAGCGCGACGTGGCACCACTTGCCTGGAAAGAAGAACCCCGTCGGCCTCATGTCACGAGGTCTTCCCGCATCTGGATTGGTCTCCGATCCCCTCTGTTGTTCGGGGACCAGTTCGTTGCCACTGCCAGCTAAAGAACGGCCCAAGGAGAAGCGCGAGGAGCCACGTCGAGATAAGCTCGAGGAGAGAGGATCGAGAGCAGAAGTGTTTGAAGTCACAGTAACGCCCATTCCAAAGTTGATCGATATCTCGCGATTCAGCTCTGCTTCAAGGATCAACAAAACAACGGCTTGGATTTTTCGATTTCTCCACAACGTCAGGTCAACTGAAAGGCGAACGGGACCACTGACAGCCGAGGAGATCGAGGCAGCGCGAACTCACTGGATAAAGGAGGCGCAGCGCTCGGCGTTCGCTACCGAGCTTCGCTGCGCGACCAACGCTACGAAGACCCCGCCTGGTTCTCCCCTCCAAGACTTCGCCACTTTCATCGATCAGCAAGGTTTACTTCGTATTCGAAGTCGCCTCCAGTCTGTCAACATGACGTATGACGAACGAAACCCGATCGTCCTGCCCAAGAAGCATCGATATTCAACTTTGCTGGCAATCGACGCGCACCGACAGCTGCTGCACGCGGGAGTCAGAGATACTCTCGTGCAGCTCCGTAACCAGTATTGGATTCTGCGGGGCCGAGAGCTGGTGAAGAAAGTAGTGCGTGCCTGCGTGACCTGTCAGCGCTTTAGCGCGACCCCCGCGAGTGCCCCCACGGGACCCCTGCCGGATGCCCGGACAACACGAGCGGACCCTTTCGAGGTAGTCGGCACGGACTTTGCGGGCCCCCTCTACGTCAAGGGCAAGGACCTCACATGCAAGTCCTACGTGGTGCTGTTCACGTGTGCAGTCACGCGGGCTGTGCACCTGGAGTTGGTTCCAGACCTGTCGACCCGGAGCTTTCTCTTTGCCTTCCGTCGATTTGTGTCGCGCCGAGGGCTGTGCCGCGTAATTTATTCCGACAATGCGTTGACCTACAAACGAGCGTCGAAGGAACTCACGGAACTGTGGAAGACGTTGCGCCACCCAGACGTAGTCAACCACTTTGCGAACGCGGGTATCCAGTGGAGGTTTATTGTCGAGAGAGCCCCATGGTGGGGAGGATTTTACGAGAGGCTTGTGCGCTCGGTAAAGGTGTCCTTAAGAAAGGTTATCAGAAGGAACTGTCTGGACACAGAGGAATTGACCACCGTTCTGATTGAGGTAGAGGCCGTGTTGAATTCGCGGCCATTAACGTTTGTGCACGACGCGGTCGGAGAGGGGACCCCGCTGACGCCGGCCAGTTTCCTGGTTGGAAGGCGGCTGACGACACTTCCGCCGACGGGTGGGGACACGCTCGCTTCCACACCGGAGGAGCTTCGCGTGCTCTGGCGGCAGCGAAAACAACTGCTTAACCGATTTTGGGGAACATGGAGGGAAGAGTATCTTCGAGAACTCAGATCAGCGTACGCCATTCAGAACAGGCAGTCTGCGCCCATCAGAGAGGGTAAAATTGTTCTGTTAAAAGAGCCGCTTCCACGCCTGCTATGGAAGCTCGGGCGAGTAGAAAGAGTGTTCCCCGGCCGAGATTCTCGGATCCGGTCTTGTGAGATCCGAGTGCATCGCGGCACCATATTGCGAAGGCCAGTGCAGCTTGTGTATCCTTTGGAGTTAATGGAAGTTTAGAATGGACTTCCATCCATTCGGTGGGGAGTGTGTTGGAGCGTTTAAGTGTTTCTTAATAAGCCATATCACTGGCACGAGGACATCGAAGACGAGGAGAAAATCGGCCAGAGTCGTCTTAAACGGGAGCGCGTGGCAAGGAGCTGGCGGCCGGGGGAGCGCGTGGCCTGGGCGCGAGACGAGGCTCGTGTTTGGAACGGTTGGGAACGACACGTCAGATCGCATCGCTTGCAACTTGTAGATAATGTAAATAAAAGTTTGCTTGAACGTAACCATCGATGACTGCCAGAGGTTCCTACACCCTCCATTTAATAAAGAAGGGAGGAGGAAAAGAAGGAGGCAGGAGGAGGAGGAGGGGGAAGAGGAGGAGGGGAGGAGGAGGAGGGGGAAGAGGAGGAGGGGAGGAGGAGGAGGGGAGGGGCGCGGTTACGCCGACGCCAACGGCGACGCCGACGCTGACGCCGACGCCGCTCAGGCTGGAAACGGGCCCCTAAGAGCTGCGCTCTAAAAAAATCACGAGCCATTCCACTCTTTGAAGGTGGATGACCAGCAAAGCTGTTCAGCACATGACACAGTCCCGCCCCCTAGCAGTTGGAGGAAGCTAGACACGGCGCGACGGGACGGCCACTCGAGGGGAGTGAAAGGAAAGGAAACTGGGCACGCATGCGATTGGAACGATGACAAAGAGAGAGTGGTGCGAGCGTAGACATGGCCGCGACGCTGGTCGCACAGCGGCAAATCTTTGAGAAGCCTTTATTATCTACCTGAGAGTCTACTGATCTTGAAAATGGTGCCTATTGATGACTACTCTAAATTCTCCAAGCATCAAGGAGAATGCAGGGAATGGTGCTGCACGTGCTGTACGTGCCGGCGTCTGCAGCAGTAACTGTTCTAAAGCAGAAGCCTCAAACAAATGGCATCTTGCACGCGCGTTCGTCAGCACATTATTTGGGTTATTTACTTTGAATCTTTTTATAGACCGACACGCTGTTTACAAACAAGCCGGCGTTTGCCCACACCTGGTGTGGGCACTGCGCATGCGCAGAAACCAGGTTCGCGTGAACTGAAGCGTCTGCGCATGGGCAGTACCGTCAACAGCGCCACCGCAGCTGCGTGATGTCAGGGCCGCGTGTTGGTTTATACGGGGAAGGCGTGCAGGTGAGGCGGTACGAGCATGGAGTTTTTAGTCAGTGCACACAAAAAATTTACGGAACCGTAGCCATAAACAGCTTCACTGTTAAACAAATTAGTGTCGCCATGGGCCAGGAACGTAGATTGAAGAGCTTGGACGAGAATGAACGCTACACTGTACGCGCTTCGCTGTGACCGCACAACTGTACGCAATCCCCAGCATGGCCAGTGCCATGTTGGGGATCGCAGCTGCTGTGCCGCGACTCGGTTTTGAAGCGGAGCTTGGGAATTTCAGTACTTTGGGAACATTTAGTGGCTCTAGTCTTATCCTTGTCTTTTTTTGTCTTCTTGACTTGTCTTGGATTGGCTTCTTGTTTTGTCTTGGATTGACTTCTTGGCTTGTCTGATCTCTAGTTGTCTTCTTAAGGCTGGTTCGCGCACTTGCGACTTCTTAGAACCGTATGCCTTGAAACCTCTTAAAATCTCTTGCGACAAGAGAACACACTGGCGCCACCTACCGAAGAGCCGTGGAACACTTGACGGTCTCATATATTTTATTTTGTTTCGCGCATCATTCTTTCTTTTTTTTGGCTCCAAATCTTTTGTCCATGTTATAAACGACCATTTTTTTCATAGGTAATGCACGCATTTGACTTTGCAAATACAAAAAAACATGCGCTCAGTGAAATGCAGTTCCAGAGTCACTGCATAGATGACACCAGCGTGTTATCTCGTCATAAGAGATTTTAAGAGGTTTTGAGGCTCTCGGTTCTAAAAAGCCGCAAGTGTGTAAATGGGTTTTTAACATGTTTTCGACTGGCTTGTCTGGGATTGGCTTGCCTCAAAGCTGACACCGCCCTGTTTTTCCTGACAGGTGAAGGCAAAGCAGGTGGCGCTGGAGGAGCAGCACGTGCAGCTGAAGACATGGGTGTCCCAAGTTGACCGTGCCCTCCAGGCCGGCGACCCCGGGCTGGTGCCAGAGTCACTCCTTCGCGACGACCAGTTTCTCGCCGGACTTCCAGAACCGGAGTACCAGCAGCTGTCCAACACGGTCAGTCATGGAGAGCAAAATGTGAGAAGTCTAGAGGCCCGTTTTTGGCCACCCATTGGTGATTTTCATTGCGTGTCTCTTTTAACCTACTCGATCACGGCTTCGTCTTTAGACGGCCAGGCAGTGTTAATATCCGATTCCCTCGAGAGAGAGAGAGAGGAAGAGTTTCTAGCCGCTAGGTGCAGTCGATTTTGCTGAAGTCTCCAATAAGCAGTTCTAGATTTTCCTAAACTCAGTGCCCCCATGCATTGTTCAGATAGGTACAGTTACCTGATTGTTTCTGCATTATGTTTGACTGGGTCCTAGCCCACTGTCGCTTATTAGCATGTGAGCATTTCTTTTATTTATTCCAGGTTCTCAGAAGATCCATGGATAGATGGATGAATGCCCATCCATCTATCCATGGACCTTCCAAAGCACTTTTTCACCCTTGGACAAGGCGCTTAGAAAGCATTTGTCCGAGGGTTCTTGCCAGCTACAGGTAACACTCGTAACCTGCCCTCGATGAAGAGTTAAGGCCCGTTCACACTCTTGCGACCGAGTACGACTGAGAGAGACGAGCTCTTACAACTTCTTCAATGTTTCTAGAATGAGGGAACACACTGACATTGTGGCGCCATCTATGCGGTGACCCTAGAACTGCATTTCACAAAAGCGAACGTTTTGCGGGATTTCCGAGGTCAAATGTGCGTAATACCCATAGAAAGGCTCGTTTATAACATTGACAAAAGTTTTTCGAGCCAAAAAAGAAAGGATATTGCGCGAGAAATAAAAAAAAATATGCCGGACCGCCGAGTTTACACTGCTTCCCAATAGATGGCACCAGTGTGTTCTCTGGTTTAAGAAGTTTTAAGGAACCCAGGTTTAAGAGGTCGCAAGCAGGCGCAAGAGTGTGAACGGGCCTTTATGCTATGCAGCAGGAGACTTCTAGTTGTGTGGTCTATCTTCATTCTGAGTTAGGTCTTTTTGCCAAACTCGGTTGCATGACGGATAAAAGATCAGTATGAAGGCATCCAATGTAACAAGTATGAAGGTTGCAGTTCCATCGGTAAAGTAAATACATACTTTGATTAATGAAGTTGTGAATCATTAGTGCTTCCATTTTAAGGAGCAGAGCCACCTTTGTCCTCTCGTTTCATTGCTGTAGGTGACAACTTATCTGATTGTCTGGCAAATGGCGGAAGCTTTGGGGAGTTTTAGCGAGTCTGGTTAAATCTCAGAATGAGGCATTGTTGGTGTGGGCAAACATTAGTGCATTTTGGGAAACTGTTGGAGAATCCCAGCGATGCCAAATTGAAGCAACTCGTAGGGGACTCGCTAAGGATTTTGTGAGCCACCTTAGGTTGAGAGGCTTGTTTTATACACGTGGAATGTTGTTGGTACGTCTGTTTTAGTGGATTTGGGTAATTATTGGAGAACCCCAGCAGTTGCAGGAAATGCTAGGAAGCCTTTTGCGGGCCTGCGGAGGTTTTAGAATGTCTCGTAGGATTTTTAGCACAATCTCGCGCAGCCGAGGCAATTGTTAGAAAATTTTGGAAAGCTGATTGAAGATGTCGGTCCTTTTCTTTGTTCCCTCGTGTGGCCTCACGTGATCCCAGCAGCCTATGCTAACTGACCCATAGCAAGCTGGGTTATGCCCAAACAAGCGTTGTTGTTTGTTTTATGCGTGAGTTCCAGGGGTGTCTAGTTTATGAAGTGCATAGCATCTGCAGGGCCAGCTCCTGGCACTTTTGTGTCCACGGGATGTAGCCTCGAGGGTGACATCATGAGTGCGGTGGTCGTCATGGATGATGTCACGTGACACTGGTATGTCATAGTATCACGTGACGTAACACTACGAACTATAGTATAGTTGCATGGTAATCCAACGTTGTGAGTCGTGAGACATGACCCACCCTGGCGTCGAATAACATGACCTTACGGAGGGCCTATAAATGATTTTCAGTGCTTTTGGAATAGATCAGAGATGTCCAGTTTTTTTTTTCTTCATGCTTTTGTCTAATCTTTGTTTATATTTTAGGTGCCTGACTTTTCTATTTATTTATCCTTCAGCCCAATCTTTTTTGTTCTTGTTTCTTCAGTCTTTGCATTTGTTTGTTTTTGCTCAAAGAATTTTGTTAATTTGTATTGTTTTACTTTTTTTTTTTTTCATTCTATTTTATTTTTGGGAGTGACTTTTTTTATTTATCGTTAAATTCAATCTCTTGTCTTTTAGTCTTTGCGTGCATCTTTTTTTCTTTTCTAAGAAATTGTGTTTACTTGTGTTGTTCTGCTTTATTTTTTGTTTGGCAGGATGGAAGCAGCCACTCTAGCTTTGTCAGTGTTCCCGAGGAAGAAATCAAGGTGATTGATTGATTGATTAGCTGGTGACACACCCATTGCCTTCCTTCAGACCACCTCGTGTTTTGGCAGCCTTCCCTTGGCTCATCACATTTTAAGATGAGGCAAAAACAACATATGTCCTGATTTTTGTTTTGTTTCCGGTTTTTTCAATGTTAGTCTATGGATTGATTTGTTCTTAGTAACTACTCTATGGCTATGGTAACTAAATTTAGAAAGGCACTAAAAAAGTAAGATTGTGGTGGATTCACTTATGAGATGGCACAGATTGTCTGTTTAATTAAAAGAAAGAGCTTTGAGTGATGCAGGAAATAGTGTTAATATAAATGTCTATTTTCAAAAGGCGGCTAGCGATTTTGTGTTAAAATTACTCCTATGTATTTGAGCCTCTTCTTTGTGAGCCTTTAAATTGAGGCCAACATTGTTACAATTGTGGTGCCTGTAAGGCAGTTTGGAATGGCATCAATAGTTATGCTCAACGCTATTACACGAAGCTTTGACCATCTCTCTACCTTGAACCATCTGCAAATAAGCTGATACGTAGGAGTAATGGACTTTGTAAGAAGTGCCATCTGACAATTTATTCAGAAACTACAGCTGGGCGAAATGGATTGAACACACTTTAAACTGACCACACAAATCGGTTTCTTACCTTACTGCACCGGAATTTTTTTTTTTTTTTGTTTGGCGGGTTTTTTTTGTTTAGGGGGCAGAGATAAAGGCGTGAAGCCTGACAGAGTCTCTGCCCCCCAACAGTTCAACGGTAAACAGTACAATGAATATAATCAGCAAAAGGTATACTCAGTAAAAATTAAAAAAAGCACAATGAAACAGGTACTTTAACATTCAACATTGTGAATTTTAAAATAAAATAAAACGGCACAATCAGAAAACCAGCAAAAACATGTTACACAACAATCTTGATTTGAAGCGTATAACAATTGTAACGTCGTATGACACAGAAGAATGATATCACTAATATAAACATTAAAAAAAAAAATTGCACAAAAAAAGTGAGAAGGACACAGCATAAAATAGGACTGATGGCAAAAAGTGATAACAGGCGCCCTAGCTCTGCGTAGATAGAGAAGATGATAAGAAGCGACAGTTAAAAAGCAATATGACTATGCGTACGGAGACCAAGCCATACAAAACAGCATGTGGCAGTATTGTAGCACATGTTGGCACACATGATGCGGCACTTGACATTTGGACACATGCTGCTGTGCATTACGTGATACATTACATTAGGACTTGTGCTGTAACAACACATGATGATATGACACATCTGGCACATAACATGACACTTGGTGCATCATTTTTTTTTGCAGGACGATCCTTTCAAGAGTAAGGACCCCTTCAGTGACATGAATGGCTTCATGGGAGATCCTTTCGCTGGGGAAGACCCTTTCAAAGCTGGTACGATATCAATCTTGGTCATTACTCGCAGAACATGCGTAATGCCAGTGTATTTTTGTCTACGGTCGTGCACGCAGTTATATCTGCCTCACTCGTATAGCCTCTCAGCCCAGTTTTCGGGTTAATTTTTACAACGAAGCTGTTAAAGGCTAGTTCCCCAGTTTTGTGTCCGTCACTACCGTAATATCCCGAGTCATCGCCCATCCCCGAGCCATCGCCCACCCCATTTTTTGGGCCAATATCGATTTCCGAAAAAACACCGAGTCATCGCCCACCCCTTCAAATACCCCAGCGCGGACTCTGCGATCCGCGAACACTCATCCTACCCGAATGACGCGGCCGCGGACCTTACAGTTGGAGGACGTCCGTGACAAAGTAAAACGAAGGAGGGAAAGACACTTCTTTTTGTTTACGTATTTCCACCGTGAGCGACCCCAAAGTGGTCGTGTATCCGCGCGAAAAGAAAACGACGGAGATAACAAAATAAGAGTTTGTTAACGTAACCGCGGAGTGTTAGGTCAAAGTCTGTCTCCGCCGAAGTAAGGTCACCGCGAACCCGCTCCTTCTTCCCGCCCATCGCGACCGCGGTTGTGCAATATTTTAGGCAAAGCCAAAGCGTAAATAAAGCTTTGCTGGAACGTCTTACACAGACGTTTGCAGAGCGTCCCAACCGTGCATTGATAGCCCGCCGTGCACGGACGCACGTATGTACGCACCAAACAAGAAAGTTGCGCAAGAGCTTGCAATTGACAAGGCGCCCGACTTGGCCCGACGCCAAAGTATTTGCCAACGCGACCGCCGGCTTTCCCGCTTTCCCAGCATTGCTCTTGGTCGCTTCTTTGGTCCGCTCGCTCGCTCGCTCGCTGGGCCTGGTCGGTTTTTCTATTTTCTTGTAGACTTTTCTTTCTTTTCTTTTTTTTTTTTTTTACTAACTAGGAGAACATAATGGTGACATTCTTTCACGGAACAAACGTTCGTGCTATATGCAGATCGGCGGTGTTTCTAGCGCGTATGCAAGCAACGGACTTCGCTATTGTAAAATATTCTTTCGTGAGCATTTTTTTTCTATAAAACAATGAAACTAAATCGAGTTTTGAGTTTGATGTATCTCTTGTGCATCGGCGCTAGATACGCAGAGAAAAATAGGCGGTTTTTTCCGCTTTTTTTCAAGTGTTTGTGCTCACCCACCGAGACATGGCCCACCCCACTTTTTTAACGAATTTCAGGCGGTTGGGGGGTGGGCGATGACTCGGGATATTACGGTAAATAAATGTTGACACAAAACTCGGGACAGCTACCACCATCTATGAGCGACGGCGCCAACCAGACAACTGGCTTGCCGGTTGTTTGGTTGCTGCCGTCGCTCATAGATGGCGGTAACCTTTCCAGCCTTTCCACTCTGGTTTTCACCAGAGTGGAAAGGCTGAGTTTCTCTAGACGTTGTCCCAGAAGTCATCCTCGAGGTCTTCCTTAAGGTCGTCCTTGAGGTTGTCCGAGAGGTTTTCCTCGAAGTCGTCCTAGAAGTCATTTTTGAGGTCATCCTAGACGTCGTCCTCGAGGTTGTCCTAGAAATCGTCCTTGTGGTCGCCCTAGACGTCGTCCTCAAGGTCGTCCTAAAAGTTGCCTTGAGGGCGTCCTAAACGTCATCCCTGAGGTCGTCCCAGACATTGTCCTAGACAACGTCCCTGAGGTTGCCTAGGCGTCGTCCTCAACGTCTTCCTTGAGGTCGTCCTAGATGTCCTCCTAAACGTCGTCCTCTGGGCGACATCCTCGAGGTCGTCCCACCATAGCACAACTTCGCTGGTTTTCCTTCTTCACCAGAGTCGAAAGGCTGAAAGATTTTTCGGTTATGTTTTTTTCAGTCTTTTCAGAAACTGGGGAGAATGCTTCACTTAAAGACAGGGATGGTCGAGGGGTTTCAGGAGTCTGAGGAACTGACGAGGGCACTTGGGGAACCCCTGTGTTTGCAGGAACCAAAAACTTAGAGTAATGACACTTCACTCAGGGATGGATCGATGGATGGACGTTAAAGGCTGTACCCTTTATAACGGGCGGTATCTTGCACCAGCTACCCTAAAAACAAAAGCATGCGATTCCTCCCCCTACCCTATTAAGCCAACATCCTTCCTCCGCATATTTGTAGCTGTCACCAGGCAGTGTGGGATGTTGCCAGGCAATCTTTTAAGGGATTGGGGGAAAAAAAAATTAAAAACGCGCTTTCCCTATTTTTTTGTAGCTGCCTAGTACCATCGTGGCCAGACAGCCTTTTCCGACTTGCCTGGCAGAAAATGCAGTAATTACTTTCTCCGCTCTCGCTGAAACAGTTTACAACGGAGGGAAACAATGTCTAACCTGCTGTGCACCACTCATAAAAGCCGTATTCCAGAATAGTAATCTCTGCAAAAGAGACCAGTGCAGCGCCCATTAACCAAGTTTTCCGATGGGCCGAGAAACTGGGAGAGGCATTTCGTGGCCACGCCTACTTTCGTTAGACTTCGCTCCATATATAAAAAATAAGGGTGCCAACACCTGCCCATTCTAACCTTCTTCGAGCCAATATTCTGAGCACAGCTTTCTAGTGACTCCAGTTGGTGGCAAACCCAAACGACCGGTCTTTGCGCTCTTCACAGCTGACCCTTTCAAGAGCGGTGCGGTCGACGATCCCTTTGCCGGGGACCCTTTCAAGAGCGCCTTCGGCTCCGAACCGAAGGTGAGTCTATTTGGAGGGTGTCAAACGAGGGTGTGGTGCACAAAGGGTGCCAGGTAAGTCGTTCGGGTTAAGAATAGCAAGACAAGCTGGGAAGGAGGAAACCAGCAGTCGTGGCAAGTTTTGGGCGAGGGGCTTGTCCTGCTTTTCTGAACCTGCAGCATGCCACGGCAATTTCTGTTCCTGGTAAAAGAAATGGCGCGTAAGGCATGGACCAAAATGGGAATACAAACAGACCCGCTGTTTCTATTTGTACCTCAAAGGAAAGCAGGAACGTGGTCAAACGTCGTTGCGACGAACCCTATGGGGCTGACTAGAAAGTTTGTTGTGTGAGGCAGTTCGTCCACAAGCTTAGCGCGACGAATTGGACATGTGAAACCAGTCTGCTGCATGCCGATACCTCTGCATTATAATCGGGTGCTGATGGTGCAAATGTTTTAAGAAACAGTGGCACCAAGGCTAGTCCAATAACCTCATAAACTTGGGAGTCATACATTTCGCAACATCAGTTTCTTATGTTACAAAAATTAATCTCCGTTGGCACCATTAGTATTTGCCGACAGATTTTTCGGACAGCAGAATTTCGGACAATCACTATCATTTGGAGAATTTTATGGAACCCACTCGCCCCGTAGAGAATGTATAATGGTAACATAAAGTCTGGACAACATAATCCTCATCGCTCAATTTTCTTTGCCTTTTAGCGGCCACTGCAAGCCGAACTGCCGCCATTCTTGTTTGTTTGGGTTGGGCCCGTAGCCTCAAGACCGCGTTCTGCACATTTTCTATGCCAGGAGGTGCTGTCCATGCAATACAGTAACTGGATTAAGGCTCTAATCGGATTTTTTGCCTCTTCTCGCCGCAATCGAGGTTGATTGGCTTGGCGCTTTTGTTTTGTGCTGGTCACGGAGGGATCGTGGTCATCTAAACGTCCGGGTGCTGTCCGCTGCCATTCTGCGCGTGCCTTCTGCCATCGTCTCGTAGTGTCGAATGGTGCCGAATGCATCTTCAACTTCATTGTCTGCGTCAAAGGCTAGCCTCGGCTCTGACTTTTGTGCTATGCCTCTGGGAAGCCCGTCGAATCCGCGGAGGGATAGTGGCTGTTTAAATGTCCGAACCGCTTCAATGTCTGCCGCTGTTCTTAGTTCAAAATTTTGTCTGTGGACAACTTGACCGACGCTGTCTTGACGTTCGAGAAGTTCACGGACATGGACAGTGCTGGTTACTAATGTGAAAGCATTAGCCGTCCCATGGAGCGAGCTGACGTCATCAGCCGCGCCAAACGGCAGATAAATTTCCGAACCGTGATCTTAGGCATCCCAGCTTTGAAGCCACGCAGAAAGCCACACAAAACGGCAGTGACGTGAAGCCGCTGCGCGTCAGTTTCAATTAGCGCTACTGCATGGCGGTGCTGCATGTCCGCGAGGCAGCGGCTCCACCGCTCCACACACCCAAGGTCAGCGCAGCGAGCAGAGCGCGCACGCTCGACCGTCGACGCGAGTACGCCGCAGACGAAATAAGGGAGCGGAGGAATGGCATGCATGCTTTCGCATTCACAACTCATAAGAAGTGCTTAGGTGTACCTCGAGCCTTTTGTGCGGCAGTCCAACGTGGACCACTGAAGTGTAAAACAACTCGATCGCAAAGAGGCGAAACATTGTCCAGCAAAAATCATAGAAAAAATCGTAAAGGTGCAGGCGAGCTGGTGAATATTAACCATGTTGAATTAACCTCAGACGGGGGTGGATAAGAAACATCAAAACGTAGAAGGGATAGAAAATAGACAGGACGATGTCTCAAACTCAGCTAACTCATTTACTTAGTCTACCTCCTTATATAGTCTCAACCTCAAGGTCATCTTCAGCAACACAAAAGGACGAAGTCTATACAGTTCAAGCGCCACAGTCTCCATCACACAATGCAAAAACGTTAACAACCTTTACAGGTCGACGCGATAAGGCAACATCCATCCACCTTCAAACTTGAACAAAATGATATCTTTCTTTCTTATTCTAAGCACAGTTAATACTTCTGAATCATAACACGCCCTCTCCACAAAAAAAAGAAAAAAAAATTGGCACGGTACTTGCCAATTTTGTGCGAGGCAGTTTGGAGTAGACGCGGTCTTTAGTTCAGATTTTAGGCTAAGTAAACTGATGCCATTTCAAACAGGTGTGAGCGAGTGCAAAAAGGCTCATCGTGAAAAATCGGTATGTTGCGAGACCGGTGTTGTGTATGAAATACCATTGGAGTGTGAATCTAAGTATGTAGGACAGACGTTACGCAGCATCAATGATAGATTAAACGAACATAAGAGAAATGTGAAGAACCATGCACAAAACTCGGAAATCGCAAAACATATTCATGAATGTAACAACTGCATGGCACTCTGGTCGGAGACGGAAATAATACACGAAGAGAGGAACGATGTAAAGAGAGTAGTAAGGGAGACCGTGCGGATAAAGTCTCCAGGCAACTGCATAAGTCAGGCTTCACTACAGCTTGGAAGCAATTCGAAAATTTTTCTAAAAACCTAGTAATCTTTTTTTTTTTTTTGAGTTTTGAGTTGTTTGAAGTGTGACCATGCTTGTGATCTTACAAAAAACTGTAAAACGTTTTGTTTCGTTTGGTTTTTCTAAGTGTGTTGGCCCAACTACCATGCCAATTTTTATTTTCTTTCTTTTTTTTTTAATGTGGAGAGGGCATGTTATGATTCAGAAGTATGAACTGTGCTTAGAATAAGAAAGGAAGATATCCTTTTGTTCAAGTTTGGAGGTTGATGGATATTGGGCCTTATCGCGTCGACCTGTAAGGTTGTCAACGTTCTTGCTTTGTGTGATGAAGGCTGTGGCGCTTGAACTGTATAGACTTTGTCCTTTTGTGTTGGGGGAGATGACCTTGAGATTCAGACTATACAAGTTTGAGACGTCGTCCTGTCTACTTTTTGTCCCTTCTACGTTTTGATGTTTCTTCTCTACCCCAGGCTCAGGTTAATTCAACATGGTTAATTGTCCAGCAAGCTATCGACCTGATTCTCCAGACACTTAGTATGTAAATTGCCTATACAGATCTTTTTTGGCTGAATTCACTTTTTCGGACTGCTCGTTTATTCGGACTTCCGCGTGATCCCGGTCAGATTTGAATAATCGGTCGCCGACATATTTGTTGATTGCTTGTCTCTGGTAGTATTCAGAGTGTGTTGTGGATGTCTCAAAATGTGCGTTCTGAATTCAAGAAGAAAAAGCCAGGTCCATGTCCAAAAGCTCCACATAATCTAGGTTTTAAAATAAATTCTCAGAGAATTTAGAAAATATAAGAGTATTTTTGCAGTATGTTTAATCTCAATTATTTCACGCACTGAATGTGTGCTCTCGTTTATATTGCGAGTTCTTATTGAATCGTTCTATAGGTTTTCATTGTACCATTGACAGGAAGGAGACTACTTTGCTGCCGGTTTTGAAGCAGCCTCATCTACTGGTGAGTATGGGAGGTGCTTCGCTTTTTCGTGTTCACCATTTCTTTTTCGTTATTGTCACGGTTTTGCTCTATACGCACATAATGAACTTTGAGTGGGATAATGAATTACTGTAGTCACTGACAGGGGGAGAGGGGCCAAGAGGAGCTTCAGTTGTCCCGCCTCCTGCTGGGCCTTCTCACTCTGTCACACCCTGCCTTTCTCACTCTGTCACTGAGTATAGTTAATGTGACAACCTGTTGCCTGCTGTTGATTAATGTGGGATAAACCATCCTTGTCCGGCAAATTCTAGATGCTTTTGAGTCTTTTCTGTTGTTTTGTCCTGCTGCCCATTATGTTGCGCCCGCTTTTGTTGCGCGCCTTCCTACGTGCAAGTTCTTGCGTGTTTACCCGATTTATTTCATTTCCAGTTGCTGTCAAGGATCCCTTTGATCCATTTGGCCTTGGCAAGCCTGCGACGGAGGAGACCAACGTACGTTATGGGTGCACCAATGGCACATCCGTCTTGTTACGACAAATCTGTGCAGTAATAGTTTTATACGGCACAAACAAAACATTCTAACATATAGGCATACTACGGCGTTGGGTATCGTCAGCTTCACGCCAACCACATGCCCAAACAGTTTTGGGGCATCTGGTTACCATACATGCGATTCGTGCTACAGATCAGAACTTCCTTGGAAGGCTGTCTGAACAAGTGCTTTTTCATTTATTGAGGCCCATTCGCACGGTGGCATTTGACTTGAAATGTTCTTTGGCTAGTTGTTCAGCATTTTGTGAAGCATGATAAGCATGGCCGTGAACCTCGATGATGATTGGTTAATTCTCTGTTAACCAATCACCGAGCTTCGTCACGTGACCAGAAGGGTGGGCGAGGAGGATCTCGACCACCCGTGCGCACTGAGGGAGAGGAGCTTGAGAGTGTGGAAGGGCTCCGGGAGATCGCCAGGTTCATCAACCCGATTGGCGCCATCCTCGTTTTATTCTAGGATCAACTATCAAGTGAGCACTTGGTACGCAATAAACTGTCCGACGAAGAGCGCCATGAGAGTATCGCTAAACGTTTGTGATGCTAGAACATTTCACGTACGCAACACAGTTCCCTAGCAATCTTTTTATGTCGGATTATGATATGACCACGACTCAACGAGACATCCATGGTTTGTAGGTCGCGAGCCAACCTGCTCCTTGAATCGGTTGCCAATCTTTGTACAAAGCACAGATGTACTGGTTGTTTCCCGTCGTAACTTGACGCGAGTTCTCGAAACCTAGTCAAGGGGTACCGCACGAATAGGCCTTTATCTATAAGGTGTCGTGCGAGTGTGCTTTCAATTGGTGGCGGGAGAGTGTGCGGGAGGTGAGAGAGAAGAGAACAAACATGTGCTCTAGATGAAATGGGGAGATGCAAAATAGCAGGCGATGCAAACCTTGCGTTTCACTCCCGCCAGAGCCGTAGCTTTGGCGGGGCTTCCTCTCGGAAACATTATGCACGACGAGGTTTGCGCCGCAGGCACCAAATGTGTGCCAAGTTCCTCCATGCAGCGTCACTGCGAAGCAATGCACAGTTTGTCTTGCGTTCTCACCGCCTCTTCCACGATAGCGCGGGAAGGAGGCAAATTCTTTTAGTTGTTTTCGGTAGGCCGGGTGCCAATTGACATTCGAGTATAGGTATTATAGTCGCCGACAAAGCGAGAACAGCAAGTCTTTGGAACGCCCGGCCTCCCGCCGTGCTTTGGCTGCATGTGCGCGTGCGAAGGTAGGAAGCTTGTGTCGGAGGTGGGACAACGAAAGCTCCTTTCTGCTGTTCTCAGCTTGCCAGTGAATATACAGTCTAAGCTTGTCATAACTGACCTTGATTTTGAGCAAGATTTTGGTGTGTTGTAAAAGAAGTATCTTGTATGCACATATGAAGTTGAGTCAGTGGTATGTAGAAGAAAACCAGCCAAACTTCACAAGTCGGTATGTTGTATCCAAATGTCTGTTGTAATGAGCTTAGACTGTCAGAAGTTGTAACGGGACTTTTTATGCTTGTTGTCGACCCGGCGCGAATCTCGCACGCAGGTCACGGCCGACGCAGACCCCTTCGGCACGGACCCCTTCGCACCTGCAGGGACGGCGGCGCCCCGCCCCGAAAGCCCCACGCCGGCACTGCCCCCGAAGAAGGGCAAGAACCCGCCCCCACGCCCGGCCCCGCCCAAGCACCTGGCCGGGAGCGGGGGCCCCACCGCCCCGACGGGACCCACGAGGGCCGCCCCGGCCCCGCCCCTTCCCGACGACCCCTTCGCTAGCACCGGCGGCGGAAGCGCCGCGGAATCGTTCGCCAATTTCGCGGACTTCGGCGACTGCTGAGGTTCTTCGCGCCTGCGTTTACGGCGTTGTCGACGACGGTGTTTGGGACTGGTGGTTTTCCTGTTTGGAGGGTTTTGGGGTGGAGACGGCTTCTGGCCCCGAAGTTGCGAGCTTCTGTTTCTGTCGACCAGTGCGTATTTGGTCGAGCCTGTTGACGGCTCACAGCAACTGGCCCCGTTACACGATTTGGCTAACATGCCGGCTGCCCCGAGCAATAAGCATGTTCTTATTGTAAAACTCGTCTTGTGAGCCTGCACCGTCTGCAAACTTATTAGCTGACCCCACCCATCTGCAAACAGAGTAGCAGATGCACCTGCCTGCAAACAGATTAACGGATGGCCAGCCCCCGTGCCCGGCCCCACTTCCGTGACGGGCTCCACGAGAGCTGACCCGGCCCCACCCCTCCCCAACGAGCCTTGTGCCAGCACCGGCGGCAGAAGCACCGCAGAATCGTTCGCCAACTTTGAGGTTTCCGGTGTCGCTGACGACGGTGTTTGGGACTGGCGTTTTTTTTTTGTTCGGAGCGTTTGGGAGTGGGGACAGCTTCCGACTTCAAAGTTGTGGAAGTTTTGGGGCTGAAGCTTTTTTGTTTTTGTCGATGGGAGTTTTGGGGCCTGTTGGCTTCTGTTTTCGTTAACTGGTACGCAGTTGGGCGAGTCTGTTAATGGCTAATGCCTCGAGAGGGATAGGCAACTGTCCCCATTAGGCAATTGGCTAGCATGCCAGCTGTCCCGAGCAATAAGCATGTTCTTATTGTCAAACTTGTCTCATTAGCCCCCTTACCGTCTGCAAACAGATTAGCGAAAGGCAAAGTTCAAGCGTGGGGGTAGTGCAACAACCATGGCCAGCGACAGTATTGGTTGCCAACTTTGTAGATTTGGGTAACTGCTGGAGATGATTGCACTTGCGTTCCTGCGTTGCAGATGACGCGTGTCATCTGTATTGATTCCTGCGTTGGAGGGGGGGTGGTTTACAGCAGTAGGTACAAAGCTACGAAGTGGGCAGCTTGCTCCGACAAGTGAGTTAGCATTTGTTTGCGCTTGCTTGCTCCAAGCAATAAGTCTTGTAAAACTGATCCTATCAACCTGGCTACTGTTTAGCAGTAACATGTGCACAGTTTGCGCGATGGTTCTGTGCAGCGGGCTGACGTGTTTGCGGATAAAATTGCCCGGGACGCCCGTTCGTCGTCTGCAGGGACCATACTAATTCTAAACTTATTTTCAAACATTCATTGTGGTATGACCTTGGCAATGCATAGTGCAGCATAATGAAGTATATTAGAATATTGTTCAACCTATCCACTGTTCGATGCCAGATTGTTCTTCAGTTGACTTCGGCGTTGTGGCCCCATTTTGATCTGAGAGACATCTTTCTGTTCTAAATAATGGTTAGGACATTGGTACAATGAAATTCAAGGGAAAGTCCTTTCATGAAAAATACCCACAAATCCTGCTAACCAAGGTAGGTTAATTGTAATCAGTAAAATCATCACCAGGCAATCAACTGTGAGGTGGCGATGGGAAAACATGTCGGCACTGTCACGTGTCACGTTCTCCGATAGGCTTAGCCGAGACGAGCCTTAATTACGGGTTTCCTGTTTGTTTGTTCAGTCCCGTTCACTTTCGCCTTATCATTGTTTGTGTAAATGACGAGGAAAACGGCCTCTTAAGTGATCGCATCAACTAAAACTGCAGTTCTACAGTAAGAACATGCACTGCCCAAATGTGTTGTCAGCATGAGGTGATCCCTTTCACATTGGGATTCTCTGTGTTTGGGGCAAACAGAAACCCAGTTTCTGCTGAACTTGATGCCATCTCCTTTTGGGTGGTGGTAGCAAGGACAAGCTCGGGGTTGTCGGCCTTCCCACAAGGAAACTTTGCACGCGGGCATCTCTGCTTTACTGTCAAGCTGTTGTGATCTAGCCTAGACTGCCATGGCACCAGATGGGAGCTATTGCAAGGACACAAGAAGCAAACAACTCATCCTTAACGAATGAACAGTGGAATCACGCCAACGAGCAATAGGAACGCTTAAGAAGAATTGACGTTAAGTTGGGGGTGCTGTTAGCGGTTCGTTAGGGTGCGGGTCGGTGGTCCTTTCGAATATTTGGAATGTGCGATAGGTTAGAAAGTAGTTGTGTAATCGGATGTCGGTGAGCGGTGAGTGATTGAAAGTCTTCATTACTTACGGGTGTAGTGTCGGACAGTGGCTGCAAGTGTTGTTGCCTAGATTGTTTGCTGAACTTGGGGGCGTGGGGGGGGAGGCAATGGTTTTGTTCCCTAAAAATGTTTTTAAATGCGTTTCTGGAAACGGCTCAAGTAAAACCACCTGCTTTTTCGAGGTGCCAGATGCCCATCGGAAGGAAACCGGATTGCTTATTCCGTCAACTTGAGTTAATTCATAGACTTTGATTCTAAGTTGGCACCGATCTAGCTGGGAGACTGGTTTATTATGGACAATGATCCAAAGCAGCTTAAGCTTTTACGTTGCAGGGAACTTTAAAACGTATGTTCTGTCTTTAATTGGAGCGTCAGTTTTGCGCCAAGTCATCCGTTGGTGCAACGGTACGCAACGGTTGCTGCCTTTCTGCATTCCTCTTATCCAAGCGGGTCGTAAACTGCCTCGTCACTTGCTGTCATGCGGACACATAGCACCGTCGCTTCTCCGTCAGCCGCACAAATTTAGCTTGCGTCGTCGATTCAGCATCTCGTAACGACGAGACCGTAGTGTCTGGGATGGCGCCTGCCCAGTGTACATAACGGCGGACCCGCGTGTATTATATTGAGTGTGCTCACGAGAGGCAACAACAGTCTTTCGCCGTGTGTGCTTTTATTTTCTTCATTCAGCAACGCACTCGCCCGATTCGTTGAGGATTGCCGCATGTGTTTTGCGTACATAGGGGCACGATGGCTCGCAAGTGTCGACACGCGCAGCACAAAAAAAAAAAAAAAGAAACACGTCTTCCCACAAATGCTGATAAGTTCGAAGCTCGTTAATCGCTGCTTTAGTTTCCTCACTTTTAGTAGCAGCACTTTCTGTTATCGACGCGAAGTAAAAATGCCCACTTTCTGTCTAGCTCGTCAAAGGGAAAGTCGAGAAAATCGGCGGAGGTGTGCCGTTTACTAGTCTCGATTTATAACATTTTTGTTTGTTACCCCAGAATTTTAGGGATTGATTATTCTTCGGTGTTTATCTCGGAGGTTGCCGCCTTTGACACGCGCTTTTGTTCAAAGTACGTGTCTCGTCGATTAAATTGCCGACGTGATGGAGCGCACACTCCGATTTTCTTGAGTCACTTTCAAAGCCAAAGCTCGGTTTTCAAATGCATGTTTTTTTTGTTACATGGTAGGAAGTGCACCCCTCCGCCGGCACGTTTTACGCTTGTAACCCGGAACGCCAGACGAACACGCAAGTCTGCCCGCTTTAAAACTGCCCTCGGACATACTCTTGGTCTTGCACTCTCGAGCCGTGTTTGCACGCATTCCCCCAACGTGGGACAAACGCTTGTCCGTGTTCCTGTCGCATCCACACAATGTTGGCCTACTCGCAGGGGCCAATGGCCGTTGTCGTTCAATCGTGCCGAGCAGATGCATCTTCGCAAATGTTGCATTACTGCCCGATTATTGCTCCTTTCCCATGGTGGTCATCTTGAATGGGCACGAAACAGCTTTTAGTTCATTAACAGATGTTAAAAACTACTTCCTCAAAAGTAACTTTGCTAACACGTTAGCTGTTTTCTTGGGGATTCTAGGGCAAGCTAATATAGTTCTAGGTTAATTACTTAATTTGGTAATGAATGAGTAAATATTGTGACATGCTTCTTATTTTTCTCCTCCAATATTAGTGCAGGATGATAATTTTGCACTGTATTACACTGTACTCAGTATTATACTAAAAAAAAGTGCATGAGAGTTTTTTGTCAATTGTTTAGAATTATGTTTTAAAAAATAAGTAATTTGTGTCACAAAACTATTTATTTTAAAAACTCGAAAAACTTTCATGAAAGTTCTCTCACTTGCTTATTATAATATTTAGCATGATATTTAAATTATCACGCTTTTAACACTGATATTGGATGAAGGAAATGAGAAGCATGTGGCAATATTCACTCGTTAACTATACAATGAACTAATTAACCTACGACTTTAATAGCTTGCCCTAGAATCCACAAGAACACGGGGAATGTGTTAGCAAAGCTACTTTTGAGTATGTGTTTCTATATTTCTTTCATTAAATTGAACATCCGCTTTGTAGGCATTCAATTTGAGCGTCGTAGGACCGGAGCTTTAAATCTAGACTCCAAGTATCGAGGTACAGAGGGAGTCTTATGTGCGCACAAAGTGGTAGTAGAACGACACTAAAAGCGTCCGTTGTGGGGCGTCTTGCGAGGACTACGCACGGATTTTAATGTAGCCCAGTCTCTGCAATCGTACCACGTGCAGCCGCGCTGTCGAGTTTTAACGACTAAGACGTGTAAAGCGGAGTAGGACGTTAGTGTGTAAGCTTAAAACTACCGGTTCAGGTCCTGCAGCCGGCGTTCCCCGCACAGTCGGGGAGAACGTTTAGAGGCGATCCGACGCCGCCTCATTGCAGTCGAGTCGACTAAGCATTCCTTTCGCATTGGGTGTAGATATGTACCTTCCGAGAATAAAGGCCATATGCATGTTCACGTTACGGTTGGTGCCTCCGTGTCAGTTTTGCTGCTCAGTTTAGGGAGGAACCGACTCGGTGCATGGGTCGCACGACATTAATTTCCCCGCCAAATACGGCGGAGAAACTAACTTGGTGTAGAGGTCACGTGACGTCTGGTCATCTGCGTGCTTGGTGCCTGAGCGACGTCGACCAGGAGATCTGCATAGTTACAGTTGTGTGTAGGGCAAACATTTACACATTACGAAAATAAAGTAACTAAATACCGTTACTCACTCAAAAAGTTACTAAGTATGTTGCTCGCTAATGTGATTCAAAGGGAACTTTTTACTCCAGCTATGTCGTCTTTATAAAGCAGTAGCCACTTCCAATGTTTGTTACCATTAATATTTCCTCGCTTTTTAACACGTTCATAAAGAAATAACTGTAGCTGTACCTTATGCACATCTTTTATGGTCAATCTAGTGTTTTCTCATGCAAATTGCAAGTGCAAGCCGAGATGAGAACCAGGTGGGCTTACTATGTTGCACATGTCCCTCAGGGTTCTCCCCACGGTGGGCGGCAGTGGCCCTGCGCCCCACCGCTCCGACTGACCGCCCACCGCTCGATTATGCTGCCAAATGACGATGCAATTTTGCCTGTGCACATGGCTGCAGCTTGTACTCAGCAGGCCCACGTATTGTTGTGCTATCGCATCGCCGCCACTCCTTCAAACGAGAGCGGAGCCAACACCTAGGTAACAAAGCCGTAGTGTTAAATGAGATTGAGTCATCACAGAAGGCCAACGCTGGACACGAATTGGAAACGAGTGCTGCGTCGGGCGCTTGGCTTTGAGTCAAATTTGAGCCGAACGTTGACGCAATCGTCGTGTCCAATCTGTGCCCAGCGTTGGGCTCCTTGGATGGCGCCATCTTATTCAGCACTACAGCTTTGTTATTTAGGAGGTGTTGGCAGAGTGCCGCCGGCAGTGCAGGGGGAGGCGAGGGGGGTGCTCGTCTGAGTAGAAACACAAAATAAAGCAGACGCAACGAATGCGCAACGTGCAGCAGTTCCCTCCGCAGACGAAGAGCGGAGCTGAGAAGACTTCTTCACTGTGCATTGCTTGCTCGCGGCCGTGGCTTGCTTTAGCTTTGCCTCTTCGCTCGCTCTCCGCCTTTCCTTCCCCTTCCTTTTGTATTCAAGGCATCCTGGTTTCTGCTTTTTTACCACGGCTTGGCACCACCAACAAGGCCGCAAAGTTAGAGCCGACGCAAAGTGCATTCTGTCGGCAAGCCAGATTGTGCCCCATTGCAACCAACCCCCCCCCCCCCCCCCCCTTGCGCCGCTCGCATGGTGGTCATGTCCACCCCTAAAAAATATTGGGGAGAACCCTGATGTTCCCCTCCAGAAGTAACAAAATGCCATTACTCATGTTTTTATCAAAAAGAACAAAAAAAAATGTTCGTTCCTTCTAAACAGTAACTACTAGATTGTTACTTTGTTGGCAAAAAAAGTAACTACGGTAGGTCCATGTAATGCGTTGCGCACAAGTCTGGTCCCAGGCTGCCCGAGACGCAGTGTGGCCTGCCAACAATGTTTTAGTGCCGATCCTAGACGCCGCTGCTTTACAGCAGCCCGCCCATCCCGCCATGCTCTTGCGCGAAGCGGCACAACGCTCGACCGAGACTATTTTGGTTTGACAGGCTCACTTGTATCGAGTTCAATCAAAATGTGGCAACTGTGTGGACATGGAATTTTTTTAGTGAAATATGAGTAACCTATGGTAGGGATAAACATGGCAAGTGTGACTAGGCATTTTGTGCATCATGTTCTGGGAACACTGTTCTTTTATACTCGTCATGAGATAGTGAAGTTACATTGACTATGAATATCTGAAGCCCAGTGAATAAAACGCTGGTGCTGGAAAGGCTATGCTCCATTTCATAATTTGTCTTCAGCACTGGCGAAGACATGAGCTTGCTCTTTGCACGTCCCTTTTTTGCTCGGGTGCTCGTGCGATCAAAGCATTCTACATATCCACACTCTTGCGCACATGCCTTTGCAGCGCTGAAAACGGCTTGCGAGATGGAGCATGAAAGGGGCAGGAAATATTTTAAGCCCTGCAGATTTGGGCACCCCCAGTAATATAACGCTAACTCTGCAGCCCCAAAAGAAGTACAACTTTTGGCGTGGTTTCAGAGATTGCCAGTATGGTTGTGCCGACAGACGTGCCATCGCCCAAAGCTCCACGAAGCGAACTTGAGGCCTGTCCCATGCAAACCTCAACTTGCTCGCTCACCAATGCTGCAAGTACCAAGCCTACCCGAATAATGAATGAGATTGTTTCTCTGGCCATGGGGGGGAGTTGCGCGAGTGGCCTCGCACAATTTTTTCTATCTGGCAGAGAAATGAGCTCCACTATCTCACAGTAACGTAGACCAGCACCGGTTGAAGTGAGTAGCTTTGGCTGGTGGTCGCTTTGCACAAGTGCTCTTAAACCCGAGGCAATTTCAAAAGCAAAAAAACTTGCTCTTGTCGCAGTTTGTGCGAAGGTATATTTGGCTCGGAATGTTGTGGTTTGGCAGTTACATAAGTGGGGAGAACTACATCAGGTGTTTGTACTAAAGATGTACAAATCAAAGATTCAGTGTACTCTTTTAGACTGAAACCGAATAGTATCAGCGGCATTGGCCAAATGCTCGCAACGACGTCCTTAGATGAATTCTGCTTTTGGTGACGGAAATAAGCAACGTCAGGCTGTCGACTTCAAAGGCGTAGGTTTAAGAATGCGACGACTCCAAGTTTCCACTGTGCATTTTACGCCCATCATCAAACTTTTCGTTTGCATTTTGCAACTGATTACAAGTGGCCAAGGTCACAACTTGCGACATCCTGCCAAACCAAATCGTAGTAGCAACATCACGATTGGGAGCCTTAAGATTGCGCCACCAAAATTTCATCTGGGTTAAAGTAGCATTTTGATCGTCTCGCAATTTCGGACAAAACACGGAGGCTGTCGAAGCTGATAAGAAAAACAAGGAGCGTCCGTTACTTCGCCTTCTTCGAGACTAAGTAGACAACAAAGCTGGGTTTGGGCATTGGCCGGCACTTCGAGGCTCATACCATGTTGCGAGGTGGTCTGCGTCGGCCAAACGCCAACGCAATACTCGCGCCCAATCTGTGCCCCGCTCTGGCTTCCAGTAGGCGACGCTGGAACTCCAGCACTACGGCATTGTCCTCTAGGTGTGGAGCTAATGCGCTCGCACATATAGCAGGAAAAAATGTAGGTGGAAACGGGGAGACGCAAGGTAACATTCTAAGCCGGGACATGCACAGCAAGAGATGCAAACTTGGTGTCCCACCAAGCTTGCATCTTCTGCAGCAGGGATTTCGAACGCCCATCCCCCAGCACGCGCTCCATGCCCTCTGCAATGTTCTGGCTGCGCGCGCATGCTCGCTTGCGCCAGGACATCCGAAGCTCCTCCCTTCTTTTTCTGCCGGTGACTATAGCTCTGGCAGGGTTTTCTTTCAGACACGCCATGCACGACAGTGTCTGTGCTGTTGGGGCACAAAACTCGTACCAACTTCCTTTGAACATTGCCGCAAAGCTACACAATGCATTCTGCGTCGCCGCTGCCCTTGCCACGATAGCGCAGAAAACGGGCACGCTTCCCTTTTCGAGTCGCTTGCGGGGCAATGAGTGCTAGTCCCAATAAGCCGTTGCCATTCTGCATGGCATGGGTTCTTAAGCTCCCAAATTTCTTTGAGTGTCCCTCCCTAAGCAAACCATTTTCCCAGCTTAAGTACTAATTTAGCCGATTTCAGCCACCCATTGATGCATAACTGTGAGCCCGACAGTCTTTTCAGCGGCTGTGCAAGGGCGCCGCCATAACCTACCTTCAATTTTTGTTTTCTCTTATTGCACTACGACCACAGCAAGGCAGTTTATTGCCATTTTAAATTCTACTATGCCCTTCTCGCCAGCATTGGCCTTTGTGGAAGCTCGTCAACTGGCTCGGCATAAAACGAGAGGTCAGCAATGGCGGCTGTAATCTGGTGCGTGTGAAAAGCGTCTATACACCAACGCACAGCTGCTACGGTGGCTCTGTTGTCGGCGCTTCACCTTGTGGGAATCTGATTCCTGCATTGCCCCGTGATGCGAGCAACTGCGACTTATTTGTAAACAGCGTACTGGTCTATGTCCATTACTGTTTGTGAGGCCCATAAGCTTTTGCACTGCATTATTGGATCAATGCTAGGATCGGCAGGGGTGGTTAGTCGGCCGCCATTCGAGGCAAATAGGGGTTCCTCCAGATTAGAAAGAATTAGCCGCACATTCATTCGACCAACACGATGAAATGCGGTAGCTTTACAGGAACATTGTTAGTGAAAACAATTAGGAAAGGAAATGGCACAGTGATGAAATGGTTGAATATGCCGTGCACACATCAAGGACGACCTCTAGGATGACCTCAAAAACGACATCCTAGAGGTCGACCTCTACCTCTAGGACGACATCCTAGAGGATGATGTCCAGAACGACCTCGAGGACATTGTCTAGGACGACCTCGAGGACAAAGTCTAAGATGATCTCAAGGACGACTGGTCGCGTCAACTTCAGCTACAGGCACTTACAAGCTTATGCGACCGGCACTTATGTGACCTTGAGGACGAGGACTTTGAGCATAGATGTGCCTATAAAGCTACCGCTTTAGAAAAAAAACCTGGTTTATGAATACCTGCTGTCTGGCATGTGTATGGCAACAAGCTGCAGAATAGAATGGTTTGCAAGACGGTAGCAGACCACCTTTATAAACAAACGTTCGGCAACGCACACCCGACGCAACGGAAGAAACGCTTCACGTGAAACCGCACACTGCTGCCATGTGCACCACGTCGGTCGGCATGCGGTCCCTGAGAAGGACCACATCGCCCGTCGCCACTTCGTCGACATACCCGTACCAGTAGATTACCAGTCCCCGACCGAAGCGGTTCCAGTAGCTCTGGTACTGGTCCCTCATGTACCCCTTGTGGCTCTCCGGATCGCCAAAGAGCGCCTTGCTCTCGATCCAATTGACCACCGTACCGTCCACCACAACTGGGACTTCCAGCTTCACATCCGGTGTCTTGTCGTAGCCCCTCTCTCGGAGCACTTCCTCGTCGACAAAGGCAACTCCAAGCGCTCTGAGCTGCTCCTTCAGGTACACCTCGTGCTCCAGCCCAATGTTGTGCCGCAGCGCGTCTGCCAACGGCCCGTACTCGTCGTCGGCGACAATGCACAGGAAAACCTCAACGCTGAGTCGCCCGTCCTCAATGGTGGTCGTGTCCTTCATCATCTGGCTCACCGTCTGCTTCTGTGGTGGACCTTCGTCAGTTTCATAGTGCTTGATGATTACGAGCCTCGCGAGCAGCGCCGGACTGACTCCGAGGTCGTCGGCGTAGCGGACCAGGATGCCCGGCGGCGCGTTTTGGCGGACGCATTCTAAATAGTGCTGGTGGTGTTTGGCGAGGTTCGGCGGAGTGCTGAGGCGGTGGTAGGACCGCTTGGTCTTGCGCTGGACCTCGAATGTGACGATGCTCCGCAGGGTTATCTCTGGGATGCCGGGGAAAGCGGACTTGAGCTCGTCGTGCCGATTGAGTCGGGTCAGGGTTTGGAGTTTCTGGACGATGCTTTCATAGACGGCGAGCTTCATTTTCGCAGCGCCGTGCCGGATCCTGTAAAGCAACCCTTTTTGAGAATTGGAGCTTTTCCTCGAAGCTCCAAAAACACTGCAATGGTCCTTTCTCTAATAAGCTTCCAAATACTTTACTGAGCGAATACAGCACACTCTCATTTGCATTAGTCGGCCACGCCATAAACCACCCCTGGCGGAGTGGTCTATTCGGTGACGCCTCTCTCCCCCACTCTCCTCTCGCCGCCAGAACATGTGAAGACGCCTCGGAATGCGGTTGACGGGGTCGCGGATGCGAAGACTGTACCGCTGCCGCCATCACGCGTTTTCACGGTTCTTCATTGTCGTTTTTTATATGTTCTCGGGGAGTGTCCTGTTTTTCCCCTGCTCACCTTATCTTTGCACTTATTTCGTCTTTTTTGAAGATTCTTTTTAGAGTGCAACTCTTAGGCGCCCATTTCCGGGTTGAGCAGCATCGCCGTCGGCGTAACCGCACGTTGCATTATGGGAAGTTCCCCATAATGATGTCACATGTGATGTCACTAGGGTAATGTCACAAAGTTACCCTCGTGACATTATAGGAAACGCGTATGACGTCAAACTTCATTATAGGAAACATGTCCCGTATGACGTCGCACACATCTAACATTGCCAATATTCCCGCTAAATTTAGCGGGGAAATTTTCCCGCTAAATTTGGCGATAAAATATTACCTCTAAATTTACCCTCCCATGGGGAAGGAAGAGGGGCATACTCTCCCCTTTTCCTCCTCAAGAGCTGCGCTCTAACTTGGCGTTACAAAAAATTGTAAACGTCTCATTTTTTTTGAGTATCGATAGTATAAGGCATAACAATCAATGAAAATCGATACAATTGCACAATGCCAATGTGTTCCGACGAGGGGACAGATGCTGGGCCACTCTACATTTATAGTTGGCAAACCCCAGACGGCCCTCGTTATTCGAAAAAGTTGAAGCAAAAGGTCCATTAGAGCCACGAAATGAGCTACGCTAAGAGTATCCACACTGCATTCCCCGACTGTCTCACGGGTGCCGACGTTCTGTTGCCTAGTGCACAGCGGGGTGCAACTGGTGATAGTTACAACTCGAAAATGGCACTTCCCGAGCCTTGGATGCAGTATCGGGAAGCTCGGGCCATAATTAATGTCTCTCTACGTCCCAAACTGTTCTAACGCTTCTAGAGGGCGGAAAAGTGTTTCCTGCGATTCCAGATGAACGACGAGCAAGCAACGAGATGGCTCAAGAGCCATCACTCTGAAGTGCAGTTTATTTGGTGTATCGACCAACACTACTAGTTGCTTGACATGCCTTGCACATGCGTTGCACATGCCGCTGCGCAGTATTTCTCTTTCCAGGGGCCCTAATCTGGACACTTGGCGAGAAATCTGGCAGCCGTGATTGGACAACGCCGCACTTAACCTTGGCGCCAGCCAATCATAGCCGCCGGGTTTCTCGCAGACTTTTTCGCCAAGTGTCCAGATTAGGGCCCCAGCTCTACCAAAAAGGGGGCATAGTTATGAGGAAGTTCTAAGCGTGGAAGGCAATGCCACACTGTTAGAGGCGTCCACAGCTAGGTGTGATTCACACCATGAACATGGCCAAGAACTTGAGTTCGAGGCATAATAGAGACACGGAGAGTTGGCAGTATGCAGATAGCCCTTTAAATGGAGAGAAGGAATACCGGAAGAAGGGTTTGAACTACCAAGATATTTTGAGTTAATATTGTGCCCGTGTGAGGCCCTAACAACGTAATCGTTCGTACGGTCATCGTGGATGATGGAGCAGAGAGCATTACGTGCGGAGCCAAGAAAAGTCGCTTCAAAAGAAAGAATGTTTTGTATGGTAAATTGGTAATGCATCATGCATCTTTGCTTCTTGTTATTATCCCCAGTGGAGTGCAATCGGAAGTGGAAGCAGAAAAGGGAAATTAAAACACCAAGGCATCGTGCACGGGATCGTAAACTTGCGCCTCGCAGCTACACTTTCTCCTTTCCTTTTCTTCGCTTTATGAAAATGAAAATGCATCCGTGGCACGCCAAAAATCGCAGAAAGCACAGGAAAACATACCAGCTTACCAGCACAGTACTTCCCGCTTTTTTAGTGCTTCGAAAGAGTACGGAACTGTCAGTCCTTCGGTGGTCCGTAGACATTTGGAAATAAAACAATATAGTTTCTAAATAAACTTGATAAATCATGTTTAATTGATATTAATATATATTAATGTTATCCTTGAGTTAAATGCGGGTAATTGTGAATACGCGCAAGCGGCTCTGCTGTTAAGTCATGTCAGTCGTGTAAACAACATTTTTGTCTGCTACCGCCCAACTGGCCCAACGCCCCAATCAATGTCCTGTCCCATGCTACTGCTGCCACTTGCAATGTTGAAGCATTCCGCGCACCCTCCAGAGTTACTATAATTACTGTTGGTAATTTACAGAGAGCAAGCGGCGTAAACAGCACAGAAATATGAGCGATGTCGCGGCGGCCAGTTCCGACGTCAAAACGAGAAGTCGCACGGTGCGCGTCACGAGGCCCTACTCGCCGGACATCAGATGGGCTGCTAAACCCAGGAAGAAGAAAGTTGCCCGAACTGCGGCCAACTCGTGCAAAAATTGCGGCAGCCCAGTAAGGTGCGTATCGTATGAATAACTGCAGCCGACGCGTTGCGCATGAACACGCGCACTTTGCGTCAGAACGCCGTGCTTTGATTGGCTAGATCTGATGGGAAAAATAGTGGGTAGACCTCGAGGCAGCTAGCATTGAGCTGCCCCTCTATCCGAATTTAATAATTGGGGTTGCGTGGATATTTATGCGGCGAGTAGTTGGTCAGCCATTTCAAAGTTGCGATGAGTACACACGCTGTAGATGAGCAATTTAGCCAGTGCAGTACAACTCTTACCCTGGGGTCTTTAACATGCACCACGCCAGTCGTGTACCACTCGTCACCGTAACTTTAAAATGTAGGCCGTTCAGCCTTGTTGGTGTTAGACTGGTGGCGGCTGATAAAACTATAAAACTCGTTTGTTCTAATGCCGTCTAACTTCTGGTTAGCTCAGTTGGTAGAGCTCTCCACTGGAGATGGAGAGGTCCCTGGTTTGATACCAGGACCAGGCGGATTTTTTTTGGTCGCGCACCAGTCACTTAGCTGTGTTACTTCTGTCTGCCCTTTGTTCCCCTTCTCCAGGGATTATTATTGTCATTATTGTCTTTCTTAGTGCCCCAAGTTCATTCGAAGACGCTTCTTCCCTCTCCTTCCCAATGCCCACATTGTTATTAATCCTAGTAATCCTTGAACCCCGTTTTTCGTCAGGTGGTGTGAGTCACTTTTAAAATGGTAGATTCCTCGTCGACATGTGTATCTTACCCCCAAAAAATTACCGCTTTTTTTTTTTTTTTCACTGCAGAAAACAAATCGCCGGACGCTCAGTCTCTGCCCAAATGTAGTGCCAATGGTGCGGACCTGATGCCAAAGTCTCGGAGCTTGCCAGCATTAAACTAAAAAGTCACGAGCAATTTTTTAGATATTTTCGATAGGAAAATTGTGGCTGACAAAGCCCACAAACACGTGGAAATTAACGGCGTCGGCTTACGAGGCCTTACTCGCCGGTCATCAAATGGGCCGCTAAACCCAGAAAGAAGAAAGTTGCCCGAACTCCGGGCAACTTGTGCAAAAATTGCGGCCTCATTTTTGGGGCCGCAATTGGGAATGAGCCCTATTTTTCGTATCTACGCGATCCCAGTCAAAAGGTGTCTTTCCCCTTTCAGGGGTGCACTCAACCTGCTCTGCAAGCCCTGTCTTCATGCCAGCTTGGATGTCGGTTACAAGGAGAAAGTAAGCAGTCATCTCTATGGACGCACGCAATGTGCCAAAGAAGAGCCCAAATCCATTTGAGGCATTGAGTGTGACAAGCCCAAATCAAACGCTCCCGCAGAGCTCGTGTCCACTGTACGATCCACACTTAAATGTCGTCGCAGTGGGAATCGCAGAACTTGTTAATGAAATCCTGGATATCGCATTATTTGCAACGTAACGCCACGAACAAGCTTCTCGGTCAGTGCCGTTGCTTGCGAGTACACTTGGGTCCCACTACTGTCAGTAAACTCTCGTAAAGTGAGAAACATTCTTCCCCATGTGTCGTTAAACGGCCCTTTTCTTTTTTTTTAAGCAAAGCACGCACGCACACGAGGAAGACAAGAAGAGGTACCTGGAAGAGGCACGGTCCTTTGCGTCCAGCCTGGCCAAGGTGTACAACGACCCCAGCGCAGAAAGGCTCTTCTGCCCCGACTACCGGCCAGTGCGTGGACCGTGCGCCTGCATGCAGAAGTACCTCGTTGGAAACGGTGAGCGACTCTGCACGTCGTCTCTCCATTAGCCCGTGTTAGGATACTTGTAGCCGTAGCGTGACATTTCGCCGTAATGTTTGGAACGTGTGCACACTTAAACGGTGGTCCCAAAATGGTAACAAATGATGTCGCAAAAGCTGGAGTGACACGCTGTCTAAAGTTACAAGATGTCCCAATTTAGGCGGGACAGGTCCTGCTTTTCCGGCTTTGGTCTCGACGTCCCGCCAGCATGCTTGTGGAACAGTGTTTTGCCCCGCTTCGGCTCTCCCGAATAGATAAAAGTTGTGTTTAAACGAAAGGACGCATCGGTAGAGAGGGTGCTTTTTGTGATCAGTAAACAAGGTACGCTCTAAAGTGATTCTGATACTGAGGGTTAATTTGCATATGACACGCATGGTATCTACAGAACATATATGCATTAATACTAAAGTAATATTTCAGACCAATGTGTTACATGCACATGCCAAACAGTACACAAACTGTGAGGAAAAGAAATGTGCGCAATTATACGAAATAATAAAAAAGGTTACCCAAATTTGAAGTTCTCAAGTCTCGCAACACGATTCCCCTCCTCCCCGATACGCGTCCTGTCTTGGGGCTCGAAGAGTGTGGTCACTTCAATGTGTCGGATGCCGTGATCCTTACGGTTGGGTGTAGATGTTCTGGAAAGCATCACAAGAGAATGCAAGTGTCGCTGTCGTCCCTACTGCTGGCTGTTAAAGCTTTCGTGGAAGTCTAGCTGAAGAGCTACCTGCAGCAAAACAGGCATCTGCCACACCGTCACTGCTGTAACACCGCCAGAAGCGCGGCTGGCGGCAAAATTACACTTTATTGGCGTCGTCAAGCAGGAATCGAGGGACCACTTTTTAGTATGCGATAAACACGCTAGTCGGAGACTCACGCCAGGCACCATGGTCTCGTTCAATGCGTCTTAGGTTTGTGGCCAATTCCCCATCGGTAATGTGTACGAAGACTGTTCAGTAGCGAGGGAATGCAAGTGCCAGATTTATTTTTTACCATAGATACGAGGGTGATTAATAAAGCAGCCAGTTTGGAAGGCTTGCGGCTATGGCATGACATCTCGCTCGGCGCGTTGGTTTAGGTTTGTCTTTGGTACTTGCGGGTAATGGTGTATTCGCACGGCGGATCTTCATCTCCGGAAAAAACTTAGCATGCCATTGATCTGCGAGGAGGAAATGCCGTGAGAAGGAGGAGGTTGCGCAGAAAATCCGAGCGCGCATTCGCATGATGGAGTCTCGTGTAATTCAGTTGGTGGAGTCTTTCTTTCGGTGAATTTGTTTGAGACATTCGAGGGCTCGAACAAGAACCAGGAAAAAAAAAAAAAGAAAGAAAAGGAAAGGAAGACGCCTCGCAGCTCAATGCTGATGGCTGTAAGCCTTCCTCAAAACAAGAGGATTAGTCATTCCAACGGGACGATATTTCGTAGGCCAGTCGCAGGTTCTCTGCAACTCCCTGCAGGCTCAGGCAATGGGCAAACGTCTATGACGCGGGGTGGGCGTGACCTCAAAACTTGATCATATTTGATTTTTTTCTCAATAAAAACTTTGTCGTCCACACCATAATGTGCACAGAGACTGTTCGTAACTGGGAGATGTAGTGCCTTCTTGTTTTTACCATAATTACGAGGTTGTTTAAAAAAAATGACTGCGCTGCGGTTATTTTAAAACTTTCGTTGGTCGCACTGCCTTATGGGAGCTTTTCGTACGAGGTCGCTGTCTCTCCAGTCACTGCTGTGCAGGTTTGAACGTATTACGTCAGTTAAGTTGTGTCTGTGGTGCGAGAAACAATGGCTGCCCCACTTGTGATTTGCGTGAAAGAGCAGCGTGCAGCGATTAATTTTTGGTGTTCGGAGGCTGTGTCATTGTGCCAATATTTATTGAAGACTTTGTGCGCAGTATGAAGGAAGTGTTTTGTTGCAAAGAAGCGTGTTTGAACAGATAGGGAGGCTCAAGGAACGACGCACAGCGGATAGATAGACGATAGACGGATAGACGAATGAGGATGATGTGGCAAAGCATGTGAAAATCACCAACAGGCTAGTGTTTCAAAAGGTTTGTGTGAGGTGGGTGCCAAGCCCTCGAACTTGTACTTAGGGATTGTGCATGTTTTCGTGTGCCGTAGGTCTTTCTTTTCAGCCTCGCATTTGAAATCGTGTGGTGCGACTTCTTACTTTTGGCATCCATGCATTTCCAGGGGAAGGCCGGGATCTCCGAGTGCAGTCGCTGCTTCCTCTGCTTCACGAGGCCCAGAAGCTGTGCAAGCAGAAGTGCTACGATTGGAATGAGGTGAGTCACCAGCCCTGGTTCGGCTAGATTCACTGGGCTCGACCATCTTTACTCCAGGTTTTTTTCTGAATGAATTCAATCCAATGAATCCGAGCCATTCCATTGGTCCTAGATGCTATGCAACAGCCTGTGAGGGTGGCTCAAGGCCCAAAGACTTCAACTCAATCTATTGTGTGTGACTCAAAGTCAAAAGTATCCAATCGAATTCATTGGTCTTGTATGCTGTCGTACAAAACCATGCGGGCAGCCGGGAGCCCGCACAGGTTGTTGCAGACAGCTCAAGGCGAAATAATCCAATCCGGTCCATTCTGGGCAGCTTATGGCTGTGAGAATTCAATCTGATTCATTGTTTTTATACTATTCAACTACCCACGCGGGTGGCTGATAGCCCAAAATATCCACTCCAATTCATTGATCCTATAAGCTCTCCAACAACCCATGCAATGCAACTGATAGCCAAGAGTATCTAATCTAAACCATTGGCTCAGTTGCCGATCAAGTCGTTTAGTTGGGGACAGTTAAAGCGCCCGACAAACTTTTAGGATGTTTGCAAGATGGCATGCAAGGATGACGTGTGTGCAGATGCATGCTAATGTACAGTCTGGTGCAAAAATCTGCGGGAGAAGCTGAGCCAAAAATGTTTCGGTGAACAATGCTCTTCTCAGTAAAGACGCACAATTTTCCTAGCATTATAGAGTGGGATACCTTCTATAATGATATACGGTTGCTTGGAAGTTAAGGTTATATATATTTTAGGAATTCTCAGATCATACAGTGTTCAGCACGTGCCCGTAAGCGGTAGTTTACATAAAAGGGCCACCTCTGCACCATCCCTTCTTTGTGTGACTGAAGCTTTGCTTTTTGTGGGCTCCTGCAGACCTTGGGTTGCAGCTGACAATAGCGAATTTTGTGTCGATGCAAAGTTGAAGTGAGTGGTAGATGCGTCACTCGAAGATTTAGGGCGTTATATCGTATAACGGCACAATTCTTTTAAAATATGAAAGATCACGTATTAGAAAGCGGCACCATTCCTAATTGGTTCAGAAATACTATAGATTTTTTTAAAGTTACAAAGGAATAATAAGAATGCAGGATCAACGGGACAACACCTGCCTCTCTCGTCTCGTACGCTTATTTTTTCTTTGTGTCCTAACTTCAAACATCACACGCTGCAGTTCGTCCAAATTTTCCTCGCTTTGTGGCAGTCTTTAAAGGCAGTTTTTGCGCTACCCATCCTAAACAAATTTTCACAACACCCAGGCTTTAATCTTTCCGGCATGCTATTTATTATCTCTATATTCAAAAGAGCTTTGGAGGGAATGGCAAATCAAGGTGATGATAAAACCAACATCCAAATTTTCTCACTCTCCCCAGTGGGTTGACGTCACATGCATAACTTGCCAGTCAAGCGGGCAGTCTTAAAAAAAAATACTGTACCAAATTTTCCGGACTATAGTCCGCACCCGGTGTATAGTCCGAAGAGGCAAATTTGGGGTCAAAAATGAAAGTTTTTGCTTAGATAGTCCGCACCTACTGCATAGTCCACACCCAGTGCGTGGTCCGCACCTGGTGCTTAGTCGATACGAAATTCTTCTCATACGCCTTGACATAGGTGTGTTTTCTTAGCTCACAAAAAAAGCCTATAATATACATAAATTATCAATAACATACTCTTTTATTCACAATATCCGTCCCGTCTCGTCATAATCAACGATATTGAAAAGCATAATTCCTGTATAGTCCGCACGCGTAGATAGTCCGCACAGCCAGAAATTTCAACTTTTAAACATGTATAGTCCACGGACTATAGCCCGGAAAATACGGTACTTTGTGCTGTGAGGGTCTAGGGGTTTATTCTACATAAATTCACTCCACATGAGCTATGTTCCAACCGTCACAGTCATAACTTCCTTCATCAGGGCATGTCCCCCGTGAGCAACAATGCCCTGATGTGCCACCCGCTGGGCAGGGTGCGAACTCCGTGCCGAGCACGGTCTGTGGCGCGCGAGCGCCTACGTTCTGTGCGTGGCCGTCGCACGCACAGCCCGCACCCTCATAGTGCTCATGTTTTTTTGTTTTACTGGCAATTGAGCTTAACCGGCATTAATTTGAATCTGAATTTCAGGCCATCAATCTTCTTGTAACCTATTGGGAACAAGCTAACATCCGACGTCACATTCTCAGTGTTGCCAGTAGAGCCTCTCAGCCTCTTAGACCAATTTTAAAACTTCAAGGCTTTTTCGAAGAAAAAAAAAGAGATTATTGTGATTTGTATAGTATTGGTTTACTAGCGCCCATGTGTCTATTTGTGTGTTGAACCAATTTCGAGGCAAATCAGTGACCACCAAAATTTTGCCGGAGCTCACCTTTAATGATGTAGTGTTGGATATGAATAATGTTCCTGTTCAAAAAGAGTTACTGAGACTGTTCTTGTAGTATTGTCAATCGTAGCTGAGTACAACCGTGCTTCAGAAACCTAACTCGCGACTCTTTTTATTGGGGTGCATCGGTAGAATGTATTGCCCGGCGGGTGCCCAGGTGAAGCGGGTGAACGGCGTCCAGACGGTGGGGCTGGGCAATGGCCAGAAGCACAGCGAGCAGTTTGAGCAGTTTGTGGCCCAGCACCGGCCGAGGCTGAGGGAGCTGCGGCTGTGCGAGCGGGCCACCCAGAGGGTCCTCTTCTACTCCAACAACTTCCTGCACCGCTGCCTCAAGACAGAGCCAAACGTGAGCCTTTGGTTTTTAAGGAAGAATGCCTCTTATGAGTCGTTGTTACAAGGAAATTGCTGGGAGGGTTACACGACGTTAAGGCTAAGATTCGAGCCCCAGTGGGGCTTGAACCTGGGTCGGCACGGTGGCTGTCAGATATTATAAAGCCACCGAGCAGCTGGCGTAGCTGGTCTGGTAGGATTGCACTGCTGGCAAAATGGGCCGGCAAGAGCGGCGTGACATCGTGCCTCTTGACCGCTCGCCTCATCAAAGGCCGACGACCAGTTCGCGCTTTCCACATTTTTTCTCGGTTCCTCCTCTCCCCCTTCTACCCTGTCTACCGTTGCCTGTTTCCTCCTCCCCCATTGTGAGGAGGATCTTCTGCCTTGCAGAATCTCGAGTTTGGTCGTCAGCCTTTAAGATCACGTTTGTGTAAAAGCCATATGAGGTAACACCCGTGCGGTGCACTCGTTCGCTTAGTTTCACCCTGGCTAACATCGGTGGTCCATAGTGAAAAGACTAGCACAAACTGCAGACGGAGTGAGTGTGGCTTTTCCTAGTGTCCCACGTACCGTGCAAATGTGCGGGGCACGTTTTTGGGCTTTCTGGTCTTTGTCAGCACGACTGAGTGGGCAAAAACACCCCCTGCCGTGCTAAGTGTACTCATTGCACAATATCGGTTTTCTCTCTGCCACTCGTGCCTGGGCTGATGGGACCCGTTGGCAGCGCATGAAAAGGGGACTTTTGTTTCGGTTTTCTCTTTCGTTGTTTGAGAATGGCGAACCTATGTCGTTCAACCTCGCGCTTTACCGTGAACGCTAAGACCTAGAAGTTACTAGCGAACTCCGAGTCCGACGACTGTGAAAACAAAGTTACAGTTTTGGTGTGCAGCACCTTGTCTCGAAAAGTACAGTAGGAGAAAATGTCGTTTGTTGGAGGCAAGGAGTCATAAATCAACTTTCTGCCCCTTAATCGATGGGTCTTCGATAAAAATATTGACTTTATAATCCAGGCTACAGCGTTAAAGGGATCAGAACTTGCGTTTGGCATGTAGGAAACAAACGGCACTCAAAGGATTAAAGCAGAATGTGTTACCTGGCTGGCACCTGACCGATTTCAGTTTTCCACTCCCGAAGCGAAAAATGAAACATCTAACACTGATGCAGCGCTCATCTCCTCACCGATTGCACACGAGTGCTAGTTGAATGTCTTGATCGAGATGATGGAAGTTACTTTGGAAATGTCGTTGCGAGGAGGTTAGCCTGAGTGGATACCAAATCGTCATTGCGAGCAGTACCTACTGGTCACGTCACGTGATCCAACGTAGAGCGACGATCTTCTCCTAGCAGAGGCTGAGAGAGCGAGAACCAGGCTTCCCTGGAGAAAGAATGTCCCTAGTTATAGCCCCTCACCATCACCTCCAATTCATAAAAAGGGGGGGGGGGGGGGTAATAATAATATTAATAATGATGTTCCACGTATGTTCATACAGCCCAAAGTTAGTCAGCCTCGTTGGGCGTCTGGTATCTCGGCTGTAGATGAGACATTTGGCTAGTGCAGTGCGACCACTAGCCTGGGGTCTCTAACATGCATCACGGAGTAGCGACTCACGGGTGGGGTGGGTGACGACTCGGAATTTCTTAGGAAACTAATATTTTGCCCAAATACAGTAAAACCTCGTTATAACAAAATGGGATATAACAAACTAATGGATATAACAAAGCAATCATAATTCCCCTTGCTTGCTAATAGGGAAGAAATGGACATTGGCTATAACAAACTAATGGTTATAACGAAATAATTATGATCGCTCCTTCAACTTTGTTATAACGAGGTTTTACTGTAGTGGGGTGGCCTAAAGTCCGGAAAATGCAGTTGTTGTTATAGTAGTCGTCTCCGTGTCGCAGAAAGGCCGCCGCGTCCAGCGCGTCAAGGGCAAGGCCGCGCTGGGTCGGCTGAAGACGCTCGAAGAGATGGCCTCGGAGACGTGCTGCCAGCAGCGCTGCGCCGCGCTGGCGCGGCGCTACGCCACGCTCGTCGAGCAGTGGCGGGAGCGCTCCCAGATGGGGCAGACAGAGAACCGCCGCGTCCTCGCCGAGATGCTCACTCCCAGCGGCCCAAACTCGACAAACTGCTACAAGTTCATCTCCTGGGTGGGTACCAGGGGTCCTCCCCCAAAAACGTACAGTGTGTTTTTAAATACATAAATAAACTATTGTATTTACTCGAATAATAGCCGCACTATTTATGAACAAGGCCCTTTCATCTGCTTTCCCGCAAAACACATATAGAGCCAATCATTACGTTGCGCATAAATAACAAAGCGAATACCCGGATCGATAACACGATAGTTCATACAAATGCAATCTTCACAGATGTTATCTTCGCACGAAGACGTTATCTCATGTCCTGTAAACAGCTTGAATCATGCTTTCAATTGCGGTGATTGGGAATTCTCATGCTCCGTGGAAAAGTGAACCCTCAGGTTTTCTTCATAAACAGTGCAGCTATTACTCGAGTAAATACGGTATGCAACGTCGAACATTCATTTTCTGCCCCAAATGTAGTGCTTGCTGTCCAAACTCGATGCCAGAGTTTCATACTGAACTGTTACCTTATTCGTAAGTTATAAGCAGTTTTTAGAAATTGTTTATGCCCCATTCTCCCATCGAAAGTTTCAAGCAAATTGCTTATAACTTTCGAATAAGGGAACGGTTAGTTTGGAAACTTTCGCATCTGGTCCAGACTGCTAGCGCTACATTTGGACAGAAACCGAGCTTTTGGTGACGCACACTTTATTTTTGTGGCCAAAAAATTACCGTAAATATTTTTTGAGGGACGCCGTACTACGGTGCCCGGAGTGTGTCTCTGACTGGAGTGGTTACGGCATCCTCACTAGTGGTGTCTCGACTTCTGCTCAACGACATGCGCAAGACGACGTCGCCTCGCCTCTTTCCCTGGCTGTCGTGGGACCGACCGCCAGGATGGCAACATCTGACAACGTGACTCCCATGATGTGCCATAAATTTTTGCCACAGCAGGAGCACTTTCGAAGCATGGGCAGAATGGGACGGTAAATACACCAATTGAGGACCCATTCTGTAGTACTACTGAAGAGCGTCGCCTTCTTTTTCCATTCGCCGATAATTCCTCGTAGCCTTGGAGCAATCACTGTGACACGTCGCGCCACCTAGCTCAAAATATTTGCAACACTGGGAAAGCCCTTTCGCTAGCCTGCTCAGTCATTGGGATGTCCATGCGTCACTTTTTAAGATCGCTATCAGCTGTCGCTGAAGAGCAAACGTCGAAGCTGTAGGCACCATTATGTATCGGACTGTTGCAACCTCGAAAGCTCAGCGAGGCGTGAGGCTCCGCAGGCTCCCGTCAAGGCTGTCGGAAATACCACGTCATCGGAGACGAATAAATGCCATAAAAATTGTAAACTAAGCATTTTATTCACATTACATAACTCGAGACGGATTTCTAAGTGTCCTATTTGACCCGATATTTGGAATTAATGCTCTCAAAACACGGCATTGTTTATGGGTTCGACGCGACGACCGAGTTGGATTGGTCTTTCAATATTGCCGCTGCTCTTCGCTCCGCATGCATATCGTTTCGACAATGTTTTCTGGACATTTGCGGAGTTTAAACTTTGTCTCCGCCTCGCCGGTTGCAGAGCGGACCGTCGTTTGCGTCTTTAGCTCTATTGCTTAACTGCCCGAGATGGTCGCTCTATTTCAACCCACGTCTACGGTTCTCGTCCTTGCTGCGAGAATACTTGAGAAACAATGAAATTTACGTACCCCACGATAGAAACTTCTCTGTGCAGCATTTTTTTGTGTTTTACGTAAAAAGAAGCATCATATTCAATTGACGAGAAAGGGGCATCAGCTTGCGGCGAGTAATTGCATATGGCACCGTCCAAACTACGGCCAGCTTGCACAAAAAGCACATTTCTCAGACACCACAGTCGTCTTCAACGGGACGACGAGATAATGGGAGACGAGCCGCTCCCCAAAATGAGGTCCGCTATTAGTGTGGGAAGAGTTCACCTGGAGAAAAGGGAAGTAGGACCATCAAGGAAGAGGGGAGGGGGTGCGCTTTTAGATTTGCTGAAGCTGGTTTGTCATGCTGTCAAATGTTGCCATCCTGGAGGTTGTCCTCGAGAAGTGGGCAAGTAGGGCCATCAAGGGGAAGGGAGGGGCACTTTTAGATTTGCTTTTGTAGAGGAGAGAAGCTCGACGTAGTCTCTGCTTTGAAGATCTTAAAATGCACGCAAACAACGAAAAAAAAAAAAAAAGATGACTGCCTTTGTTTACTTGGTTTTACTGAAATTTGGACACCAAATTTTGCTCTAGTTCCCATTTTGGGTTCTCCAAACATATCGAGGAAGGCACCTACTAAAACATTTTAATGTTATAACGCCACAAGCAAACACGTGTACTTGTTAATGTATATGGCATTTGATACGTTTTGAAAACAGTTGTTAGTGTAGTGCGACGACGCGACACTCGGAGTTGGTAATAAAAATGTTATCTCTCGAGGGTACGCCCGCGGCGCCACCCGATCTTAGCCTTCCCTCATTCAGCTACGATGGCCTCGTGAAGCGTGGAGTACCTAGTTTTAGGTGAAACTTATCCTTCCCTCTGCGTTTGCAAATTGTAGACCTTACACCTAAGTCTGACGAGGAAGAAGCTTCTCAAATCCTCGGATGTCATGTGTGCCGGTTAGATAGTGTGTAATTGCATTCTATTCGTAACGGTGGCGCAGTTTTAAGCGGTCGCGGACAATCGAACGACGACTATGCAGCACGTGCGCGCGTCTGTCCGAAGCGGAGGGTTACCGCCGACGCAACACCGCGCCAACGTGGACCGAGGTCGCGCGACACTGCGTCTCCTGCAAGAGCGGCAGTCGCTTCTTGCAGTGCTCATTGGATCAAAAAGGAGATATCGTTGCATTACGCTGCTCCACAAGTGGTGCACATGCAGTTACTCTAGGTGGTACGAAAGATATTCGAAAGAGGAGACCGCCCGATGGGAAAGGCCGATGTCATCTGCGGCGCTAGAAGGTCTTGCCAGTATTATCGGCGGCTCATAGAACAATCTGTAATGATTACTATAATGGTATGTTGCATCTAACACATGTCTGGTTGGGTGCCTTTACCACATCTTTGTTTTGGTTCCCTCAACTATTAGCTGGTTATGTCGCAACTGTGTAAAGGCGTAAGCGCTTGACTACGTTACGTGGGACACAACCTTGGGTTCGTACGAAGCATGCTTGTCCCAGTGGTTTGTTGTTGTAGCTCAAAGTCCTACAATGTGCTAGCCAGACTCGCAAAATAAACCAGGTATGCACCGGAGTAATGACTCTTCAACCATCTTATTGCTTAAAATCATTGTTGCTAGAAGTTATCTGAAACTTGATCTGAATTCGCCGAAAATGCTTTTCTGTCCTCCAGAGATGTAAAATCAGTGGGCAACAGAGCAGAAAGATATTGTTCCAGTCTCCTAACACCACGTCTAAAGCTCAGAAAGTCACATTCTAAAGCATGAAGTACCGATTAAAGGAACCCCCCCAATCCCAAAACTTCCCCTTTCTGTCCATCTGTCCATGCATTTGCCGCTAAATTCAGCGGTGGAATTGACGTCGCATGACCTGAACACTAATTCAACTTCCTGGCTAATTTTAGCGGGGAAATTCATGTCATGTGACCTGAAGTTACGAGACCTAATATCAAATCGGTGTCCCCACTAAACTTAGTGGGAAAAATGGGTTCGCATGACCTGGTGTCACATGGCCTATACGGCAATTCAGTTTCGCCGCTAAATTTGAGCACGCATTATCGGTTTCCCCGCTAAATTCATAAAAGTATATTTTCTCCACTCCCAAAAATGACTGTAATGTCTTCTACACAAATTAAAACAATCGCTTGATCCTTAATTAAACGCCGCATTTGTCGCTACCAATGTTTTTTAATGGCGGTGCCCACGAATACTCTACGCCTTCTTCTTGGCTTTAGTCAAACGTAGCCAAGCTGTGTACTGCGTGGATGGGAATTAATACTGTGGTTTGTCGCAATCCCGATGGTGGTACACAAGCGGTGGCATCTGTGTCGGACACCTTTCTGCCGTAGCTCGCTGTCCAGCCTAGCCAGCCACTAGAACTCGCCCATTGTCAAACGTTGCTTGTAGTAGTCAATCAATTGCCGTTGCTTCTTTCAGCTTACTCGTAATGTTGTAGTGTTACGAAGAACTAATTTTATGTCTGGTGACACCCGTTGTACTCCCGCGTAAGGTGTTTGTAGCATTGTAGTATTTAGCCGTATTTGAGTTGGTTTCATTGGGTATGATAAAAAGGCTCTCCTGGAAATGAAAGGTTGCAAGATGAGCATGTCTTCCAAAACTTGGTAAAATGCCAGCTGAACGTTTGAAGGACACACACACAGAGACAAAACAAAAAGGCAGGCACACCGCTGGACTAGCAACTGTTTTAATGAAATAATCTTTCTCTATAAAACGCTAAACGGATTCTTCCTCTTTTTCTATATATATGTGTTTGTGTCCTTCAAACGTTCAGCTGGCATTTTAACAAGCATGAACCAACTAGCTCTCTTGAAAACGTCAGAAGTCTTCCAAAACTGTCTGTCAGGATCTCGCTTTTTCCTGCCGTGGCTGTAAATTTGGCTTCAAAGTTGAACAGCGAGTAATGTGGGAAAATAAATTTTCCAAGCACATTTGCACGACAAAATGGCATTTGTTGGGTCAGGTACACGATGCTCTCATAACGTGACTGGGTGTCGGTGGGGAGAAATATACCTGTTTAACTCTTCAGGTGACAGCTGCGTTAGCACGTCGCCTATTTTATTCGGTGGCAAAAAAATTTCTCGAGGATTTTTTGTACACGTGTTTGTATGGGTTGATTGAACGAAGCATCTGTATAGTAGTTCATGCTGTGTGATAGCTTTCCTATCAAAAGCTATCACTGTTTTGGTTGTTTTCGCACGAGTTTTTGCGCATGTGCAGATCTGTTCGATTGTCTGCATGAAAGTACGAAGTTGGTAGTTAGTGCTTGTCTATGCTGTATGTGTTCCTTTGTCTTTTTTGCACTTTTAAGCCTTCAAGTTATTGTTAACCAACCAGTTATTAAATGTTCATGCTCTTTCATTTTTGATTCATTGTTCTTATCGGCTGTTGCGACGATCTTACTGGTGCAATATGATATGAAGCATGTCTGTAGCAGTTTGCGCATGCTTCATATAGTCTCCAAGTGCACGGCAGTTTTGGGGCCAAAAGTGTCAAATATAAGTTTGCTAATCTTTTGTTTCCTTCTTTTGATCCGGTTGCAGGTAACCGGTTGCAGCTTCACGACCATTGCAAGGGTCAGCAAACAGATGCTGCTGACCGGAGGAGACAGGGAGCCTCCACCGCACGGTCTCAAGAAATTTTGGAATGACAAGGGACCATTGCAAGAGGGAGACGATGGCTGTCAACAAGCGGCACCCTAGACATTCCTCTCGGTTTTCTAATGCTCTCATTTCTTTTTTTTTCTACTTACAACTCTCTGCAAGAAAATAAAAACGGTCAACAAAGTTGGTAACTAATGAGCCGACTCGTTGGGCGTCGATTTGTTCATTTTTTGCTGCCTACAATCTTGCAACAATCACTGCTGCTGTGAAAAAAAAAGGGTGCAAAACCACTTGTTAATGTGCAAAATGACACAACTTCTCGCTCTCTGGGTAATTCATTTGGTGTAAGACGTTTCGGTGTGGACTTTTTGGTGCACGGACATTTCGGTGTATGAACCTTTCAGTGTGTGGAGTTTTCGGTGCATGGACTTTTCAGTGTATGGACTTTTTGGTGTTTATCTTTTAAAATCCTAGTCATCTTTTGATTGTCTCTGAATGTATGTTGCATATTCAGCTGCTTACATTTACATTTTCATACACTATTTGTGGCCTCTTGGGTATGAATGACTTTGATCACCCTAAAAGTTACAATTTATTTGCCACGTTTACTAATCGAATGACCAAGGTATTATCTTTGGCTTACTTGTCCCTGCTTGGCACTTTGTTTCCAGCTAGTGTATATGTGGTCACTTTTTTATACCATCGTTTCGCCTTACCTAACCTAAAGCTAAACCGATTCTTATTATATACCCTTAAATTGCATCAATGCCTGTCGCTAAGAAAACGTGTTGCACTTTTGTAAAAATATTGTTTAGCCTCTCGTAATGACTGCCTTCACTGCTGAATTTATATATCTTTATGCACATTAAAATCATATTGTTACATGGAAGGCACAGTTTTTATTCGTTAAAGTCTGCAGGTATTTTTTTATATTTTTCGTAATGCGGAGCTCAAGTTCGTCTGCATCTTTTGCAGGGGTTGCGGTGACGTCAGAACGCCGAGCTCTGATTGGCTCTAGTTGAAGGATAGTGGGTAGACCTAAAGACAGACTGCTTTGAGGCCTACCCACTATCCTTCTATCGGTGCTCGGCGTTATGACGTCACCACAACCCCTGCAAAAGAAGCAGACGAACTTGCGCTCCTAAAAGTCAAAAGCAGACGGCTAAATTAAGATAAATCTGCAGTCCCCTGTCAATACATGTAGCTTTTATACATCGAAATATGAAAAGTTTGCAAAGGTCTGCAGTGTCTTCTGCAAGTTCAACTATTCATTTCGAAACACACATCGTATTTACACCGACATGTCCGTGCACCGAAACATCCGCCACGTTTTCAAGTTCTTTGTTTACTATCGTTATGGTGCCTGGATCGCGTCTTCGACTGGTGTGTTTAGCGTCCTATCCCGCCCATACATCAAAAGTGGTCCCAATGTGGCAACAAATGACGCGAGTGTCATGCTGTTGCCTGTCGCGATCCTGGCGGTTGGCCGTAGAAATGCTGGCGAAAAGCACGAGCGAACGCGAGTGTCGCTTTCGTCGCGGCGTCCCTTTAGGCGTCCCAACTTCCGGCTGCTCTAGCTTCCGTGAACTGTCACAGTGGGAAGCGACCTGCAGCAGAACAGGCGTCTGCCACTCTTACCACAACTGTTGGAACACCGCCAGGGTCGCAACAAGCGACAGCATGACACTTTTATGACGTCATCAGGCGGAAATCGAGGGACCACTTTTTTGGCCGCGGTAAACACACCAGTCGGAGACGCGTTCCAGGCACCATACTATCGTCGGACATCGCCAGCGTGCGCGGGCGGTTCCACCAAAACCGAAACTTAAGTTTAGAAACGTGATTACTGGACGTTTATAAGCCTTTTAATTGTATATTATTAGAGCATATGCACGCAAGAAGTACATCACTTTGAAAGTTTTAACATAATTTCAGCAGCGCTTAGAAATTACGGGTTGCGGCCGAAAGTAAGGTCACGTGCCTGATGAAAGGACCTCGCTACCAACGCCCTACTCTGCTCCATTCACTAACACCTACGGTGACTCCGTCACGTGACCCTAGTGCGGCGAGCTACCGTCAGGCGGTCAGGCGCACCTCCAGCAGACGCCGCGGAGTGTGAGTTTGCTTTTCACATTTCTCCCACTTTTACCCGTCAAATTAGACTACACGTTCCTTGTTTTCAAACACGAACATTCCTTGCTTCCAATAGAAACGGGCCGCGTTTAAGCTCCACGTCCGTCGTTTTAGCCATACCGAGAGCAGTCCGGTAGGTGTTGTGAAGCCTTATCGCTTCCTTGACCTATGCTTTCGCCAAATTGACATATGCACCTGCCCGTAAGTGGTTACGTATGAGGCACCGATTCACGTCCAGATTCTATCGTGAAACTACGATTTTTGTCTAAGCGGACTGTCTATCAATATAGGGTGCTGACTCAACGAGAACGATCGTTGTAACGCCGTTGAACCCGCCCGGCTGGCGTGCTGAAGAGTCGAGAACGTTTCGTAGGTTGTATGAATGTCGGATCGCTGCTGTGTGTCACAGTGATGGCTATTTTGATGTCACTGCGTTGACTTGTGTGGCGTCGACGACGTCACGGGAACATTGCCTCGATTGTTCGTCGCTTCGCTATGTAGTCGTACCGCTAAAGGTGTCGCCGATGCGAGCTTTCGGGGCAGAATATTCAAGGCCGGTATTTTGATCGGAAATCGTTCTCCAAACTCGTTGTCAGGTGCCGGCTACGATTCAGAGTCTTGCTTGAAGGTTTAGAAACCCTGAATGTGGCCGCCCTGTATCGGCTTTGGGTAAACATCGCGCAGTTGTTTTGATCCGGCAACTCATATCCTTCATAAACAGGCTAGTTACCTGCCTCAAACGTTTGGAGAAAACTTGGAATAAGCGTCAGAATCTGTTTACTATAGACCGATTATCTTAACGTTCATCATCGTAGCCTTTTTGTTTCAGTAGTAAAAAGGAACAACTTTTGAGGTATATTTGACTGCTATCAAAAATTGCTGGTAATCAGTTAAGGTGTGAGAGTTTTGTATTGCAACCTAGCTCACAGCCTTCGGTGACGCTCAAAATGATATCTTAAGCACAGAGAAATCTCCCGATTTTGACACCTCTCAAAGTAATCGAGCAAGCTCTCTGAATGCCAACGTGCTATGTGTCTAATTTCGTACACGACTGTTGAAATATATTGGACCCCTGATGAGATTGGACAACCTTAGGAGTGCATCATGGCAATCCAACTCGACGAGCTTTTACCCTGTCACTCCAGCCCTGTCGTTGGATTTTTTTGTCTCAGTGGCTCTGAAGCAAAGTGCCAGCCCATAAATCCCCATTCGGTTACGTGTGAAATTAAATTCCCCGTGTGATCTGGGCCATCGAAAAAATATTAACTGACGTTAATAGACCATTTTCTAAATGCAGCCTGCTCAAGTGCATGGCACCTGTTTCATGCTAATGACAGTCTTCCGATAGGTGATAAAGGAAGAAGTTCATGACATGTGCCGAAGCGGATAACACAGCTGGGGAATTCTAAAAGTTGGCACGGTACAGCAGCCAAGTGGGACTTGTTCGGACTCGTGTCTAATTCACTTGGCGCATTCTCAATCGACAAGTCCCCTATTCTGGTTAATTTTATCAATGGCTTTACTCAGGTCAACGGTTTATACAATATGGTAGTTTTTCTGTCACCATTAAAACTGAAACGTAACGTAAAAGAAATGTCGGCAAAGAACACATTCCCGTCTGCTGCTGATGCGCACAGTTGACAACGCCCCATAAAATGCTACATTTTTACCGCCATTAAGGTATGAAAAGTTGAGCCGATATTTGAGCCACCAGATGGCACTGAACTTAGAAAAAAAATCTCTACGGCGTATCCCACAAAACAAATTTACGAGGTTTTTTTATCACAAAAATGAAATGTGCATTGGCAAACACTCAGTCTCTGCCGATCTGGTCCGTGCGCAGTCCGGACCAGATGCCAAATATTTCAGAACTACCGTAAAATACCGAGAGATGCCTCAGCCCCGAAAAATAACCTACCCCCTACTTTTAACACAATTTGCTATTTCTACAAAAAAAAAAAAAATTGAAAGATAGCTTTTTTGTAGTAATTGCAGGGCCCTGGCCAATTGTGACCTCAGCAGAAATGGTGTTACTTAGCCCCGGCAGGATATAAGCAGACATTGCTGACAGAAGAGGACAGTCGCCCCTCCCTGCGATTACAAATTTTGCCAGTCACAAGACCTAAAACTAGCATTTTTTAAACTTTTTTTATATTCATACATCGAAAGTTTGCCCACTCCATATTTTCACCCGATTTGCTTTCGATTTTCGGTGAGCTATCTCGGGACAGCATTATCTTATACAGAAGTTATAATGATTTTCTGAAACTTTCAGTAGAAAAATGGGGCCCTTTCTCGGTATCCTATGCCATTCAGCCTAATGTATTTGTAAGCATTATCGGCCACCGTTTTATCAAACATTTCCTAAATCGTTCTTGGTCCTGAAATTTTGTTCCTCATTTCGAACTGCTAGCACTGCATTTGGGCAGAAACTGAGCGTTCAATGGCACATAGTTAGTTTCTGCGATTAAAGAAACATAGTAAAAACAAATTTCGGTGATGTGGGCTGCGATTATCATGTCGGCTGCTAGACTCTGCCTCGATGGGAGACTCGTCATTTTCGAGCCCCTGTCAACAGCGAATGAACGTTGCACTCCAAAACCGCCGACTTGCAGCCGGAAGCAAGTTCAAAAACGAGGCGTCGCGCGTCATCCTTACTCACGACACACGCATTTTCTTTCCTTTGCGACAGCTCTCGACGGCTCGGCGAGGCGAGGATGGCAAGCAAACAAGATAGCAAGCAGTCCCTGAGTGGTGAGATATACGTCAAACTTCGAGTGGCGCGGTAGTTTCGGCGCTGCCGCTCCACTTCAAGTTGCCGTTGCTGTTTTGTTGACTCGGGCTCTTTTCAAGAAGGTTACCCGTTGCCACGGATGATGAGTTCAAATCGGTCGGAAGCAATGTTTGCCCGACAGGATGTCACTTGGCCTCGAATGTTGAATCGGTGGTTGAGTGTGTTAGCGCACATCGGCTCGGAGCACTTGGAGCAAGGGCACGCTCTGCAGAACCCAGGGACCCCAGGGTCGATCCCCGCCCCTGCTCGTTTCGATCAGAATGAAAGTCAT